TTTGTGGCCAGGTCGCTTCGGAAAAAGAAGCTAATTGCTCAGTGGGTTTTACCTGGTAAAATATAAAGGTTGTCTTTAGTGATTTTCTTACCTTTCTTATACTTTGCACTTCTATCGTGTTTTTGTATTGTTTGTTGTTGTAACTTTCTGACCTGCCCCTACTATACATCTGTGATAAAGAGCTTTATAGCTCATCGGATTCCTCCGGTATAAATTAAGATTCTGGTAATTATATTCATGAGGGTTTGCATGCAAAGTAGCTGTAACTCCCCTCCCATACCTTACCCCGCATGCAAGGGGATAGCAGTGAACAGCTCAACACACATTGATTCAAGAATCCATGTTTTGCATGCCATCTCCTGACCACCTCACAGGCCAGCGAATTTGTAAGTTTCACAAATCAGCGTGTTCCACCAGCCCTTGTCTATAATATTCTGGATTTTATGCATGCACCTTTCGAGTTTATTTTATTTTAACCAGGTGAGAACTATTGGACACGTATAAAAAGAGCTTGGTAGCTCATATGATACCGCTAGTATAAATACTGTATTCTGATTCTGAGACCACGGTAGTCTCATTTATAAGAGCGACCTCTGTCCCTGGCTGTGTATAAGTGTATCAGCATATAGGCGTGGTAATAGTAACATAGCAGTAGTAGTGATAGGTGGGTCAATGATAACGTAGAAGTTGTAGTGGTAGGTGGGTTAATGATAATTTTGTAGTAGTTGTAGTGATAGGTGGGATAATGATAATGTAGTAATGGTAGTGATAGGTGGGGCAATGATAATGTAGTAGTTGTAGTGATAGGTGGGGCAAAGATAGTGTAGTTGTAGTGATAGGTGGGGCAATGATAATGTAGTAGTTGTAGTGATAGCTGGGTTAATGATAATGTAGTAATAGTAGTGATAGGTGGGGCAATGAGAATGTAGTAATAGTAGTGATAGGTGGGGCAATGATAATGTAGTAATAGTAGTGATAGTTGGGGCAATGATAGTGTAGGAGTTGTAGTGATAGGTGAGGGCAATGATAGTGTAGTAGTTGTAGTGATAGGTGGGGCAATGATAATGTAGTAATAGTAGTGATAGATGAGGGCAATGATAATGTAGTAATAGTAGTGATAGTTGGGGCAATGATAGTGTAGTAATAGTAGTGATAGGTGGGGCAATGATAATGTAGTAATAGTAGTGATAGGTGGGGCAATGATAATGTAGTAGTTGTAGTGATAGGTGGGGCAATGATAATGTAGTAATAGTAGTGATAGGTGGGTTAATGATAATGTTGTAGTAGTTGTAGTGATAGGTGGGGCAATGATAATGTAGTAATAGTAGTGATAGGTGGGGCAATGATAATGTAGTAATGGTAGTGATAGGTGGGGCAATGATAATGTAGTAGTTGTAGTGATAGGTGGGGCAATGATAATGTAGTAATAGTAGTGATAGATGAGGCAATGATAATGTAGTAATAGTAGTGATAGGTGGGGCAATGATAATGTAGTAATGGTAGTGATAGGTGGGGCAATGATAATGTGGTAGTTGTAGTGATAGGTGGGGCAATGATAATGTAGTAATAGTAGTGATAGGTGGGGCAATGATAGTGTAGTAGTTGTAGTGATAGGTGGGGCAATGATAATGTAGTAATAGTAGTGATAGGTGAGGGCAATGATAATGTAGTAATAGTAGTGATAGGTGGGGCAATGATAGTGTAGTAGTTGTAGTGATAGGTGGGGCAATGATAATGTAGTAATAGTAGTGATAGGTGGGGCAATGATAATGTAGTAATAGTTGTAGTGATAGGTGGGACAATGATAGTGTAGTAGTTGTAGTGATAGGTGGGGCAATGATAATGTAATAGTTGTAGTGATAGGTGGGGCAATGATAGTGTAGTAGTTGTAGTGATAGGTGGGACAATGATAATGTAGTAATAGTAGTGATAGGTGGGGCAATGATAGTGTAGTAATAGTAGTGATAGGTGGGGCAATGATAATGTAGTAATAGTAGTGATAGGTGGGGCAATGATAATGTAGTAATAGTAGTGATAGGTGGGACAATGATAATGTAGTAATAGTAGTGATAGGTGGGGCAATGATAATGTAGTAGTTGTAGTGATAGGTGGGGCAATGATAATGTAGTAATAGTAGTGATAGGTGAGGCAATGATAATGTAGTAATAGTAGTGATAGGTGGGGCAATGATAATGTAGTAGTTGTAGTGATAGGTGGGGCAATGATAATGTAGTAATAGTAGTGATAGGTGAGGGCAATGATAATGTAGTAATAGTAGTGATAGGTGGGGCAATGATAGTGTAGTAGTTGTAGTGATAGGTGAGGCAATGATAATGTAGTAATAGTAGTGATAGGTGAGGGCAATGATAATGTAGTAATAGTAGTGATAGGTGGGGCAATGATAATGTAGTAATAGTAGTGATAGGTGGGACAATGATAATGTAGTAATAGTAGTGATAGGTGGGGCAATGATAATGTAGTAGTTGTAGTGATAGGTGGGGCAATGATAATGTAGTAATAGTAGTGATAGATGAGGCAATGATAATGTAGTAATAGTAGTGATAGGTGGGGCAATGATAATGTAGTAATGGTAGTGATAGGTGGGGCAATGATAATGTGGTAGTTGTAGTGATAGGTGGGGCAATGATAATGTAGTAATAGTAGTGATAGGTGGGGCAATGATAGTGTAGTAGTTGTAGTGATAGGTGGGGCAATGATAATGTAGTAATAGTAGTGATAGGTGAGGGCAATGATAATGTAGTAATAGTAGTGATAGGTGGGGCAATGATAGTGTAGTAGTTGTAGTGATAGGTGGGGCAATGATAATGTAGTAATAGTAGTGATAGGTGGGGCAATGATAATGTAGTAATAGTTGTAGTGATAGGTGGGACAATGATAGTGTAGTAGTTGTAGTGATAGGTGGGGCAATGATAATGTAATAGTTGTAGTGATAGGTGGGGCAATGATAGTGTAGTAGTTGTAGTGATAGGTGGGACAATGATAATGTAGTAATAGTAGTGATAGGTGGGGCAATGATAGTGTAGTAATAGTAGTGATAGGTGGGGCAATGATAATGTAGTAATAGTAGTGATAGGTGGGGCAATGATAATGTAGTAATAGTAGTGATAGGTGGGACAATGATAATGTAGTAATAGTAGTGATAGGTGGGGCAATGATAATGTAGTAGTTGTAGTGATAGGTGGGGCAATGATAATGTAGTAATAGTAGTGATAGGTGAGGCAATGATAATGTAGTAATAGTAGTGATAGGTGGGGCAATGATAATGTAGTAGTTGTAGTGATAGGTGGGGCAATGATAATGTAGTAATAGTAGTGATAGGTGAGGGCAATGATAATGTAGTAATAGTAGTGATAGGTGGGGCAATGATAGTGTAGTAGTTGTAGTGATAGGTGAGGCAATGATAATGTAGTAATAGTAGTGATAGGTGAGGGCAATGATAATGTAGTAATAGTAGTGATAGGTGGGGCAATGATAATGTAGTAATAGTAGTGATAGGTGGGACAATGATAATGTAGTAATAGTAGTGATAGGTGGGGCAATGATAATGTAGTAGTTGTAGTGATAGGTGGGGCAATGATAATGTAGTAATAGTAGTGATAGGTGAGGCAATGATAATGTAGTAATAGTAGTGATAGGTGGGGCAATGATAATGTAGTAATAATAGTGATAGGTGAGGGCAATGATAATGTAGTAATAGTAGTGATAGTTGGGGCAATGATAGTGTAGTAATAGTAGTGATAGGTGGGGCAATGATAGTGTAGTAGTTGTAGTGATAGGTGGGGCAATGATAATGTAGTAGTTGTAGTGATAGGTGGGGCAATGATAATGTAGTAGTTGTAGTGATAGGTGGGGCAATGATAGTGTAGTAGTTGTAGTGATAGGTGGGGCAATGATAATGTAGTAATAGTAGTGATAGTTGGGGCAATGATAGTGTAGTAATAGTAGTGATAGGTGGGGCAATGATAATGTAGTAGTTGTAGTGATAGGTGGGGCAATGATAGTGTAGTAGTTGTAGTGATAGGTGAGGGCAATGATAGTGTAGTAGTTGTAGTGATAGGTGGGGCAATGATAATGTAGTAGTTGTAGTGATAGGTGAGGGCAATGATAGTGTAGTAGTTGTAGTGATAGGTGGGGCAATGATAGTGTAGTAGTTGTAGTGATAGGTGGGGCAATGATAATGTAGTAATAATAGTGATAGATGGGGCAATGATAATGTAGTAATAGTAGTGATAGGTGGGGCAATGATAGTGTAGTAGTTGTAGTGATAGGTGGGGCAATGATAATGTAGTAATGGTAGTGCTAGGTGGGGCAATGATAGTGTAGTAGTTGTAGTGATAGGTGGGGCAATGATAGTGTAGTAATAGTAGTGATAGGTGGGGCATGTGTCGACGATGGAGGAAAGGTGAAATCTTATCCAAGCAGAGCAGTGACACCTGGAGGTCGCATTGTTAATAATAATTGAAAGTAAAACGAAGATAAATGAATGAACGAAATTGTATTATCTTGAAATATTTAATAAATTAAATCTAAAATCAAGCACTACAATGAAACTAAATAACAAACGATAACTAAATTTGGTGGTGGTAGTGGTGGAGGGGGTGGTGGGGGTAGTGGGGGGTAGTGGGGGGGGGTGGGGGGAGGGTGGTGGGGTGGTGGTGGTGGGGGGTAGTGGGGGGTGGTGGGAGGGGGGGTAGTGGTGGTGGGGGGGTGGTGGGGGGGGTAGTGGGGTGTGGCGGTGGGGGGTAGTGGGGGGTAGTGGGGGGGTGTGTCTTTTTGGCGCGAAACTGCGCGTGATGCCATTCTCCGATGGCTCTTTAATTCCCCAGCGCGGATAGGCGCGCCCGAGCTTCTCCTCGCTCCACATTGGCCGCGGTGCGCGCGCGCTGCCTTCACTTCGCGCGCCCATTGGTTGGAGTGGTGAGCGCCAGCCAATGGTGAGGCTCCGAATCGTGGCGCCGCGCTTGTGCGGACTGGTAAATGTTGCAGGGCTCCGCGCGTCAAAGGTTTGGCGCTGCTTCGGGTGGCTGTAACGATTCGCGCTTTAAGTTTGGTGGTTGTTTTTTTAATCTAAAAAAGTATCAAGTTTCAAACGTACTATTAGTTAACGCGCCAGTGTAAAGATGGTAATTGCCAGTGCAGCATTTGATTAAGTTCATACGCGTGAGTGTGTTGTTTTAATATTGTGGTTTGTGTACAGTGGTTCGCGCGGTACATTGTATTGGGGTCAAAGTATCAGTGACTGCTGTTATTTGTAAGTAATTTTGTTTAAATGTTTTGTTGCTTTTTTTTCTTTACCCTGGTTTGAGAATTGTAACTGGGTGGGATAGTCGTGGTAGATGTGATGCTTTGTTGGATTATAAAGAACTGTAACTGTGTTTTAACGTGTTAGAGTTGTAAGCAACGAATTGCAATACAGTTTAATTAAGTAGCTAATCGCTACTTCGTACATTACATACATAATGTTGTATATGCTGCTTCAGGAGTAGAAGTTAATTCTTGTGACCTGGGTCAGTCGCAAATGAGGACTCATCTTGGTCAGTTCTCATCCTGTTAAAATATACCTGAAAGAACAGTACTGCATACTATTTATACAGTGTGATTTAGAGTAATGCAGTCATTGGCAGTACTGCTCATTTTATAATATATACAAAATACCCGGAAAGTTTGGCCATGGACATAATATAAGTTATAATTCGTCTAAAGGTGTGGCGTCATGGACTACTGTGTACAGTACACTGCTGCAAGTATACATACAATTCACACATTCACGGTATATTACAATATATCTTGGATATTTATGCACCTTTTAATTTATAAGCAGCCTCAGTCAAGTATGAATTGTGCACTCCAAAGGTGCCGTGTCGAAGTAATCATAAATTCATATAGTTAATTTGCACGTTTGTTGTAAAGCTTCGCAAATGAAAAAATGTAATGTTTAATTTCCTTACACTTAATTTCTTTCCAACACGCAGTGCTTAAGTGCAGTTGATGCATTGTGGAGTGAACTGGACGAGCAGCGTTGACTGCCATAAGCATGGAAGGTATGTTTCATTCCTATGTAGTCCTCTACTATTGTTCGTTTTTACACGCTTTTTAAAATTTAACTCACTCTGTATGTTGTTGTTGTTGTCGTTTCCTCATATATTATAACTACATTTTAACTCTCTTCCCAATGTGGTATCGACTGCAAACTTGGTATATTTATGTAATACTGATGACAATACTATATTCTATCATAAAAAAAATAAACCATCTTTTTTTATATGTTATGTTTTGGCTTGGGTCTAATTGTCCACGCTCAACTGACGTTGGCTGTAAATGACCACGGTCCTTTGCGTTATGGCAAGCTTTTGGGCCACTTCCTGGAGTCGTGGAGTTCTGCCATTACTAGTACGGTACATTTCATTAAAGCGTGTTTAAAAGAAAGTATTTTTAATTACACGCTTTTATTAAACTCTCTTAAAATGTCCCATCTTTCTCAGGGCCACACTAAAGAAGGGCCATTGCACAAAACGTCAGCCCTCTATATTTGATGTTGGAATTCAATATAAACGATAAATGTGATATATTTGTTTACGTCTTGCTCTTAAATGAAGAATGTTTCTTGTATACCATGCACTGCACAGACGTTTAGCATGAGAACTGTATTCTTTCAGGTACAAGTTAATAAACGAATTTCTACTTGGTAATCAAGGTCCAGATGGTCAGAAGGTTAAGGGAAATGCAGCAGTGTGTACCGACAGACCAGTTTTAATTAAACACACCCTTCTCAATAAATAAAGTAATTTCATTCTAAATAAGGTGCATGCATGTCAACGCGATAATTTTACCGAAGTAACCTTAAAACATATACGTAAGAGCAGAGCTGCTATAGTGTAACAATGGACAGGTGTCTTAAATCACCTCACCTCCGTCCACCCGTGGAAGTAGACCATATACTTTCTAGAGGGACTCTCTAATGGAAGCCCTTTCGCTAGGAGTGCCGTAAGCAAGCAATTGCAGGGCTGCACCCTCGCTAATTACCTTTCTGTATACATAAGCACAATATTTAAACGTCATGTGAATCCATGGCCAAGCCTCCTCTGACAGCGGGTGTCCTCGCAGACAACGAGGGGGATCTGGATGTCCTGACTTCGCTGCTGGAAGAGGGGTCTCCGCTTTCCAATGACGAGGACGGAGGTGACACCCGGGTCAACGGAGACGATCTCCACGATGATGGAGATGCCGCTCAGCACAGCGGAGGGCCCCACCCATCATGCAGTAACAAAAATGGCACCGAGGCTGAACTGAGCGCCCTGTTTGACGCCGAAGACGATGCGGAGGACAGCGATGCTTTGGTCATTGACATTGGTGAACCCGAGGGGTGTGGAGACGAAATCCGTAAAGCTGATGGTGATGTTCCTGCTCCACGCCGGTCTGCGGTTTCAACTCCGCGCTGTGATGACGGCAAAGAGAACGTGCGGCTGGAGGAGAAGAGCAAGGAAGAGTTGGCAGGTACGTGCATTGTTCTAATTCTCATAATTTACATCAAAATAATCTACAACGGTCACTTACGAACTCCAAAATGTGAGCATATTAAATATTTTCCAAGAAATGTTGGGAGAAATTTTTTTTAAAAAAGGGTACAGCTGTGAGTGCGGATTTTTACACTAAGTAGCGATGATGCTGTGTCAACTGCACCTTTATTCCCATGTGTTTTTTTCGGTAGAGGAGCTGCGTTTGATGCAGGAGAAAGTTCTGAGACTTCAGCAGCAACTGCAGGAGACATCCCCACAAGGTGCTTCCAAACGGCTCTTATTTATGACCGATGCACATTCATGTCAAAATTAATACTTTTTTTTAAACATGTTTGCTTTTATATCTGTAATCCAGTTGTGGTATTTGAGGTTAAGCAAAGATAGCAATTATGGAAACTTTATAAACATAAGCCATTATTAATTTTGGACCTGTAATTTAGTTATAAGTAACTTTGTGTTATTTCACACAAATGCAACATTGCCTACTATAGCCAATAATTTCAGTCTTTAACATCCATGTTAACATTAGATGGTGCACTTTGGTAATTCTCCGCAATATTTCTATGGGTATGTGGCTAGGGGAATATAATCGGCTCATCAATGTGAACGAGTTCAATTGCTGATGTTGCCTACTACATGTTTTTTTGTGATGAAATATACTCGTGTCTTTTATCGTAGCGGCATCAAGTGGAGTTTCATCCCAGCGGAAAGTTGGTGTCAAAAAAACAGAAGCTGCCACGACTGCTTATGTCAAAACTAAGTCCCGGCTCGCACATCAACCTAAGAGCGGAGGTCAGCATGGGATATGACACTGTTCACTCACAAGAGACGGGTCAACCTGACCACACCAGTAATAAAAGTTAAATACAATCATCATAATTGTAATGTTGGTCACCTGTTGCAATGCTTTTTCTTTTGCAAGGAAAGACCTTGTTAAAAATTGTCAATAAGAGCAGGTTTCATTTATTGTAAATATAGTTGAGAACTTTGGAATGTCGTTAATTGTACTGTGACACCAGCATACAAAAGTCTATTCGCAAGTGTTTGCATGGTATGGCGATACTACGATCTGTTGTACAATATAAGGTTCACGATAATATGATTGTCCGATATTGCAAAGTATTATATTGTAATTAAGCTTAGTCGTTTGTTTTGGAAATATATCCTGACAATATTTATGAAATAAACTAATAATTTGCACTTAATAAGAACCTTTAATAATTTTCCAAGGTGCCAATTATACTTCTCAATGCATAGAAATTACCTGTTCAAAATTATTGCTTTATATATAAAAAAAATGTCTATCTGACATTCATGGCAAGTGTTATTCAGACAGGTTTTGTCCCTTCCACCTTCACCAACCAGGACTGCAGCACAATGAAGTAGTGAAACAACCCCCATGACCAACACAGCATTCAGAGGCCTTCACATTAGCAGTCGATTAGTAAAGGGCTGTATATGGTTTTTGTTATAAATAAGCAGTGTGTGCAGTCATACTGTACCATCATGTTGTATTTATTCTGACGTGATGGATTTAACGTGGGTTCTGCATTCCAATGAGGTCGCTGTTGCCTAATACCTATGATGTGATGGCCAGAGAGCTCTACTGCCTTCAAGGACCGTACAAAGATACCAACTGCAAGTCAAGCAGGCGCTTGTTCGCAGAGCCCGATGTCAGTGACCGCCAGCACCAGCGCTGCAGGTGGTGCGACTGCAGGGAAACGGAAGGCCCCGACCACCCTGAGTACGCCTACCACTGCCAGCAGCAGCAGTGGGATGCAGGAAAATACGGAGGTGGAGAAATACTCCGGGTTCCGGATTAGGTGAGTGTTAACTGTGGATACCAACGCTGGGTAACAAACGTATAGATTTCTTTCAGACATTTGACAATAACCAGGTGCTGCTGAGAGAGAATGCTGATATGATGCTTTCTGGCTGCCAGTTTTGAGATTTAGTTGAAGAATCTTGAGTGCTGGTACAATGGCCAGCACTCAAGATTGGTAGCGTGGTGTCAGCAGGATCTGTTGGTCGATTGACTGATTCATACAGCTCTGAATCCAGTTCCAGTGGTTTGCTCATCTATTTTCCTCCTATTTTACGCAGAAGAGACACAATATGAAGTTATGTTTTGTAATACGTGGTGGCAGAGGCTTAATGATTCTCCATCCTCCCATTTCAGTTGTGATTCAATTCTAGAAGTGATTTTTTTTACATTACGCACCAGAAGCCTCTCGTGGCTGTAGAGGTCGTGTCAACCATTACATACAATATTTAAGAATAAAGATATATCGTTTATTGTGTGATTTGATGCACGTCTTGTGAACTTTCTGCTCTTGTAGTTTGGAGCTCCTTTACCCTGGCCATTCTTTTTTAACAACCCTAGTCTGGCATGGCACAGTGTACCAACTGATACAATCTGTAGTATGGTTGACTTAAAATTATGTACTTCATTACTTAAACTTAATGATGCAACATACTTATCACGTTATCTTACAATTCACATTTCAGTATTTGAAAACCTAATTTCATATCTCCAGGCTGGCTGGATTCATTTCCTGAAACTTTGTGGTGCCATTGCTGTGATGATTATTATGATGATTTGAAAGTTAAAGCAGTTTCACTGTTGTATTTTAGGAGGCCTCTTATCTCGTCTGTGGACATGGAGAGGAGGATGGCCGGCCGGCGTATGATTCGCCTCTCTCAGCTGCCAGACAAAATCACGCGCGATAGCTTGGATAACATTGACTGGGTGACCATCGGCGTGATCGTACACAAGCACACTCCGCAGAGCGTTAGCAGCGTGAGTCCACGCCACCACATGCACGGCTCGAGAGAACATACGAATGGGATGGCTTGCGTGGGGCTGATGCTGATGCCCACGTCAGAGCACTGATGATGAATTTACATGAACACTACAAACTGGGCTCTGTCAGCCCAGAAGTAGCCTCCATGCTCTTGACCCACAAGGCTCCCTAAGCTTGGCCCCTACACTAACAAGGCGGAAGGATTTAAACACATTTTCCTATTGTTTCCTCTTGCCAGGAGATCAAATCGAACCAGCAATTGCTGGATTGCAAGTCATGTGTGCTAACCACATCGCACCATAGCAGCATTCTTACATGTTAAAAAATATGCCATATATTGTGGCACCCAGTTTACAGATGAAAAGGGCTACCTGCATCTCGGCCTACACACACATTAATGGCTATATAGCACTTGGTGAACTCTCACTTGGTTTAAAATAACAGACTCCAGCTGTTTTTTTGCCTGGCCTTGAAGGGAGTGAACTTGACTCCTCGTTGATGATGCGCAGGGCAAGACATTCAGCGTGTGGCGTCTGATGGACCTGAAGAACATGGAGGTGTCTGTGTCACTGCTGCTTTTTGGAGAAGTCCACAAGCAGCACTGGAAAACGGACCAGGGTTTTGTTGTGGGCCTCCTGAACCCCACCCTCATGAAGCCCAAGGAAGGATACAATGAGGTGTGTGGCTAACGTATATTTTATTTTTGTACAATGTAAAGCTAAGATTCACGTGATGTTTATGTGTCTATTGGCTTCTATTCCTACAGATATGATTTTATTGGATGCAGAATGACTTGTATACTTGCCTACATGACTGTTAAAACCACAGGAGTCATTGTTTAAAACTTTTTATTTCCAGGGGAAATTGGAAGATAAAAAATTCTACGAAATTCATGCAGACAAAAAGAACACATGATTTCCATAGATGTTATTTATTTCAGCAGGTAGGGCCCGATATTCTGTTAGGCTCTATTTCATAGGTGTCCTGTGAGGGTACAGATGTTTTACATTACAGTTCTTCGGTACAATCACGGTTACATAGGCTGTGTTATAAACGGCAAGTATTGGTAAGTTTTTGTGACCGAGAGCCAACTACATACTTTACATGTTACAGGAAATGGGAATTTGTAAACAAATAATGTTGGAATGGTTTGTAAAAGGTAATGACCAGTCCATGCATGTTACTGGACCCACCACACCCAGACCTTAATTTATGCTCCTGTTAATGGAACTTATGCCAACATTTAATCTAGACTCGGAACATTTTTAGCATTACATGCAGTAGGGAGGAGTGGTGTAGGAATGTACTGATATGATCTTATTGATCAATAAAAATGTCAAACTTCTAGGCAGTATAACGATCACATTTGTGGTATTTTGATAGTTAATAAGTATTTGGTTATAAATAACTCTCCTTTTGTTTTTGGGAGTGTAGATGGTCATGTAAGCATTTTACCAACCCAACAAATAGATGGATTGTCACAGTTTCATTGAATAATTTAGTCTCTTTTCACCATTTTTGTGAATGTATTACCTCTAGTTGGCTCTCGGTCACAAAAAAATAGTTACTTTCTACATAGTATATGAATTTAAAATAATGATACAATACACATGATTGGATGCATATATCATGAGCATAACCAATTGATTTTACTTGGGAAATCAATGCATCACTACGAGCCTAGTTACAATGTTGTGTTTATGCTGGCAACATTTAGTCTTTATTAAATGTTTTTTTCCTGTCACTGCTGCAAGCATATTCCGCCGTTTTGAGCTCCAGATATTCTGCTGGAGCTTTCTTTCCTTCTTGTGCTAATGTTGTAAATTTTCCCTTGGCAAATTAACGTTTGAAATGAACATGTCTTATGTGTGTGTAGCTGTCCATCTCTGTGGACCATCCCCAGAAGGTGATGCTCATGGGGGAGGCGAAGGACTTGGGCACATGTCGCGCAGCCAAACGCAACGGGGACCCCTGCACTCAGCTCATTAACCTGGTGCGGACCCTCACACTCGTCACCTTCCATTAAATTAACATTGGGGCTTTGAGCCACATTGATTTGCAGGTGAACCATTTGAAATCTTTAAAAAATTAAAATCTTACCTTAATTTGTCATCGTTTAGTATTTATACTGTGACCCCTACCCATGCAGTACATCTTGATTTCTGGATGTGCATCACAAGCAAGAATCGAACTTGGGTCACTACATTTTATAGCAGCTCGCTATAACAAAGTGCTGTTAACCTCCACTGCCTATTCATACGCAAGTTCACATGTGTACGGGCATTAACCGCCGTATCCCCTGCCTGCAGATGGAGGGCGAGTTCTGCCAGTTCCACGTGCAGTCGCAGTACCGCAAAATGAGCTCGCGTCGCTCCGAGCTGCAGGCAGGCTTCACGGGCCGGGAGCCCACGATGCTGCGGGGCCGAGGGCGCGGGGCCCTGGGGCTGAAGGAGAGGATCTGCCAGCAGGGGTTCCACTACGGAGGGGTCTCGTCCCCCGCTTACGCGGCCAGCGTGTGAGTAGCAGCGGGCGAGGACACGTCTCGTCCCACCCTCAGTTTGTACACGCGCGCACAAAACGTGCACCTGTACAGCCGTTTTGTCACTCCACTTACGGCATGAGGGGTTCCCATCATGCTTTGCGAGTTGTGGAGATTATTTGACAATACTTCGCCACCCTGGTCATTGCGAGTTGGTGAAGGTGGGATGTATACAATGCCAGCAATTTTTTTTTCTGAACCGCCCATGGACAACGTTGCCCCGCAGCAGCCTATGACCGCTGCTTTGTGCATTGTTGGCCAATGATTCAAGCAATATCCAGCCTCAGTTCTGCTTCGGTGCTGAGTCATGATGAAATCGGGTACTTTGCAGGTGAATTGGTCAAAGTCCATCTGTATATACACAGACACAAATCAGTATCCGTTCTTTATTCTTATAGGATGTTATTAAACATCTATAATGGAAACTAAGAGATGGTATGGCCAGCACCACACCATACCTCCTGTGTCTCCCCAGTGCTGATGTTTGCACATGGCAATAGATACTCATCTGAGGTTGCTTAAATCTGGGTGAGTTTCAGAATAGGATCTTGTCCATTGATGGGGATTGAACCCAGGTTTTTGAGATCACAGTACAATGCTCAGACTATAACACTCATAAGCACGGAACACGTAGGGTGTTGCTCATCTGTGTTGGTCGCCCGATGTCAGTGGTACGCATTCTACATTCCCATAATTAGAGCCATTTTCGCGTTTGAATGACCACTTTCATTTTCACAGTCATTTATTTTATCGAGCATAGAGGGTTGATCTGTTGAATTGTCCCTTGAAGAGGATTTGAACTTGCATCCTTCAGATTGTGGGTTGCACTCTAACCATAGTGCGGAATCCAAAGTGATTTCCGGAACAAATAAGCATTGAAGCAGCGCTCATTTTGTTTACATCTGGGAGCCAGTGTTGGCTCACATATCTATTGTGGAGCAATTTTCTCCATTAGACAACCAATACTGAATCTTGACTTAAAGCTTTCGTGACTGCAGGAATTCATATTCTTTGGGTCTTTCGGTAAAGTCACGTAGATAGGTTGAACGTTCAACCTATCTTGGTATCTAGGAAAACCAATACTGACTTCCCCACAATTTGTACTAATGATATCAACTCCAGAAAGATTATGGCCTAAATCGCCCCTCAGCCATATGAGCTTGCAAGCTTCTGATTACCGCTGAGCGACCAGGCCAGTTTAACGTAAAACCAAATAAAAACTTTATGTACTCAAATTGACAAGGCATGTGTGCTTTCTAAAAAATATTCTGGTGCAAAGATAGATTTGAAGGTGTAAGGTCAGTAAGGCCACACAATATTGTTAATTAAATTAAAATCTTCCCTAAAATCTAATACTCACTAAATAATCGTAGAAGTTTAGGTTAAGTAAAGGTGATAAATTTTAGTTGCCCTTCTAAACGCTACATAAATGTAATTACCTTCTGGTGTGATGTTGTCTTCCTCGTCTGGTATGCAGGCAGTCAGGGGTTCGATCCCGACCTTGCACATTGAGAAATATGCGTTTAGATTATTTGGCTGCTATACATTTCCATATGATAGTCACTTCGTTGAGCTCCCATTTGTGGCTGGGTCGCTTCTGAAAAAGAAGCTAATAGCTCGTTGGGTTTTACCTGGTACCATAAAAATATCTTAGTTTTTTTGTTTATTTTTTAGTGATTTGTACGTATATATGTTGAACTTTCGCACTCTATGGAGCCAACTGTACGGTGCCTTTACTTCCCTATATGTTGTACTCTTATCTTGTTTTTGTATTATTTGTTTTTGTAATGTTCTGACACGTGCCGAGTGAACATCATTGAAGAAGAGCTTTATAGCTCATCGGTTTTCTCCAGGCTAAATAAATATTTTGTTTCTGTATTTACCTTCTGCAGTGCATCTTCCACACCTTCCAAAGGCAGCAAAAGCACACAGATGTCACTGTCTGGGTTCGTGGTGCGAGGCGCAGATGCTGTGCTGCTGCAGGCAAAGCAGAACTTGGGTTAGTATCTTTCACGCATGGATAGTAACTGCTCGCTCTGTAGGTTATTTAACTTCCATAACACATACTAAAACAGACACTTCTCAGTGCTATTCATGGATTGTGCTGCAAATGGGGGAAAAACTCAGTTGAAAAAATACATTTGGGTACTTGAAAGTTAAAAATAGTGAATTGCAAAGCTTTTTTACTTTTTATTCTGTGTTGTTAGAAATGCTGATGTTGTAGACTTACAGTTAATTTAGCAATATTTTCTGTTCTACAATATTTTCTGTTCTACACCATTCTATTAATTTTGAACATGTATTTGACACCTCCTTAAATTTAACGAGGCTTGTGTTCATGCTTCCAGACCATTTATTGTCCTTATTTGTATTACTGTAAATTGTTTCCTAAGTATTAATTTAATTACACTTCATTATCTTCGTTTAAACAAGTGAGACACCATTGCTATTCATGACCTCTTCCAATAAAGAACTTGGAAAATGTATTTAAATAGAACAAGATGGTAAGTTATTGAAATGTATTTGCTGACATTTCAAATAGTTTTTTTTATATGGCAGTGGTTTTGTTTTGCAGATCATATCACATCATTTTAATGTTCACTTTAAAAGACAAACTTTACAAAAAAAATATAAATTGACAGGTTAAAGTTAAGCCATTTGCTTCAAATAACATTGTTCATTACTGAGCTACTCGCTGCCTGTAATATATTTTTGAGAGTTGTATGACTCTTTATTTTGTGTCTCACTTGAGTGATTTTATGATATAGTATTGTATGTATCTTAAACTTCTTTCGCACCGTACGTAGGCAACCGTGCTAATCGGAGGTGCGGGGGAAGGACAGCAAACTAAACGCGAAAAGCAATTCTAAGGAAATTAGTTTTAAATTTAGATTTAAAAGCGCATAGCTGCATTGGCTTCCTAATATCAGAAGGAAGCATCTTCCAGATGGTCGCAGAAGCGGATCTAAAAGCATGCGATGCAGTAATGGTCTTTGGTCGATGGTTAGCAAAAATTGGCTGCGATGATGACCTGAGTTCGCGTGATGGTTTGTGCTCTTTGACGAGATGGGCAAGTTATTGTGGCTCATTTGTGGCACGTATTGCGTGTGTTTTTGACTGGGCATTCAGGTATGGGTCCTTCCAGTGGCAGCGTGACTGGTTGTTCAGAAGATTTTCAGGGCCTATTGAAGGCTCCCACACCTGGGGCACTCAATCTTAAGAAGCATCTGGTACAGATCTCCACCACAGGTGAACAAAACGCAGCCCATACTGTAATGTTTAAACAAAAAAAGAAACACGTGATGTCTCACAGTACATGCCCTCTAAGTTTAACTATGCTTGCTTTCAAAGGTCTCTGCAGGCATATATTTGTATTAAAATGTATATTGCATACACACTGGAACGCAAAGGATGATCAAAACACTTTTGACAGTGAGATGCAGGAAAGTGTACTAACAACAACCTAAGATTATGCTAATGTTGGAGCCGCAACCTTGGTGGGTTAGAGGTCAGACCGCTGAGCTGGAACTGCTGAGTTCCTGGGTGTCAATCCAGACAGCTGCCTGCTATTAATCTGGGTTCTCGAAATGTTGTGAGTTGATTGGTCTCCGCCCAGTCATCAGTGACTGCACAAACAAATAATCACATGAAGTTTGAGTGTACATAATTTGGCTAAATATCAGCTATGAGATTTAAAAACGTATGAGTTTGACTGTCACGCATCAAACATTGCTGTCGGTGGCAGGACAAGTGGGAAAATGCTGCCCTCTATTGGTGGAACCAAAGGTTGTCTGAAAATATTTCAGCTCTGTGATATTTACTTTAGTGGGCAATTCTCTCACAAAGGTTTGCTCTGCTCAAGATGTCGGAATTGATACTGCGACTCATAACATGAAGCCAATCACACAATCGGAATACATTTCGGGAAAAAGACAAATATTTGAATTCAGTTGCGAGCAAGGGTTACTAGAAAAATGTAATGCTGTATACGAGATATTTTTTAAATTACATTTTTGTTATATCTGTACATTTTCTCTTGCATAATACGTGCACATTTTATACACATATGCTATACAGTATCATTTAATGTTCGGCCGTTTGCAGCTGTGGCAACGTGCGTTCACACACACATGTGCTCGTCGTATGTGCGGAACAAGGTGCTGACGGGAAGCCAAGAGCCAACGTGCAGTCAATATCTGCAGCCGAGCTGATTAGGCAGCAGAAGAGGGGACTGCAGGATGCCCGTCGCAAGCGCAGCGAAGACCGAGAAGCCAAGTGCGTCCAAGCCACACAGCCATGTTTTCTCTATTCCTAACAATGCATTCATTCCTCGCGCATAGTCAGCCTATGACCTCTTGCGACAGAAATCGCATGAACTGCTCTCGCTGCCATACGCTGTGGTCTCGAGTGATTTGTTTGATCTACGTATCACCTGTGGCGACCACGGGAGCGGTGCCATTCCTCTTGAGGGTCACGGTCCACTTCGAGCATGAACCACCAAACTGAAGTGCGCAATTATTTTAAATAAAATCGCTTTTCTAAAAAGTAATTGCTTTAAAACAAAACTTTTCCTTGAGGTTAACCGCACATTTGCAAGTGGGATTTAGCTAGACAGCAGAGATATAAGCTTTTTTATTTGTCCAGGAAAGCCTCGGTGAGCATCAAGAGTTAAAAAGGTGGATGCTGTATTGGTATGTTGGGCCTTTTCCCTTTATGAATGTTTTTGGATGAAATTGCAGTATAGGTTCACAAAAAAACCGACAGCTGTAGAAAAGTTTTTTGTATTATTTAAGCCTACCTATATATACTATTTTAAGTAGACATTTATTAAATGGATTTTGAAATATGTATAAGGAATTATATGGTAAATAACTATCGAACTCTCACATAAAGCAGAATTATTGCTGCATGAACATTGAGCCCAGTGACGGAGACACATAGTGAGGGCAAAAAGTATTTGATCCCCTGCTGATTGTGTACGTTTGCCCACTGACAAAGAAATTATCAGTCTACAATTTTAATGGTAGGTTTATTTGAACAGTGAGATAGAATAACAACAAAAAATCCAGAAAAACGCATGTCAAAAATGTTATAAATTGATTTGCATTTTTATGAGGGAAATAAGTATTTGACCCCTCTGCAAAACATGACTTAGTACTTGGTGGCAAAACCCTTGTTGGCAATCACAGAGGTCCGACGTTTATTGTAGTTGGCCACCAGGTTTGCACACATCTCAGGAGGGATTTTGTCCCACTCCTCTTTGCAGATCTTCTCCAAGTCATTAAGGTTTCGAGGCTGCGTTTGGCAACTCGAACCTTCAGCTCCCTCCACATTTTCTATGGGATTAAGGTCTGGAGACTGGCTAGGCCACTCCAGGACCTTAATGTGCTTCTTCTTGAGCCACTCCTTTGTTGCCTTGGCCGTGTGTTTTGGGTCATTGTCATGCTGAAATACCCATCCACGACCCATTTTCAATGCCCTGGCTGAGGGAAGGAGGTTCTCACCAAAGATTTGACGGCACATGGCCCCGTTCATCGTCCCTTTGATGCGGTGAAGTTGTCCTGTCCCCTCAGCAGAAAAACACCCCCAAAGCATAATGTTTCCACCTCCATGTTTGACGGTGGGTATGGTGTTCTTGGGGTCATAGGCAGCATTCCTCCTCCAAACACGGCGAGTTGAGTTGATGCCAAAGAGCTCTATTTTGGTCTCATCTGACCACAACATTTTCACCCAGTTGTCCTCTGAATCATTCAGATGTTCATTGGCAAACTTCAGACGGGCATGTATATGTGCTTTCTTGAGCAGGGGGACCTTGCGGGCGCTGCAGGATTTCAGTCTTTCACGGCGTAGTGTGTTACCAATTGTTTTCTTGGTGACTATGGTCCCAGCTGCCTTGATATCATTGACAAGATCCTCCCGTGTAGATCATGAGAACGGTGATTCCTCACCATTCTCATGATCATTGCAACTCCAAGAGGTCTTGCATGGAGCCCCAGGCCGAGGGAGAATGACAGTTATTTTGTGTTTCTTCCATTTGCGAATAATCGCACCAACTGTTGTCACCTTCTCACCAAGCTGCTTGGCAATGGTCTTGTAGCCCATTCCAGCCTTGTGTAGGTCTACAATCTTGTCCCTGACATTCTTGGAGAGCTCTTTGGTCTTGGCCATGGTGGAGAGTTTGGAATCTGATTGATTGCTTCTGTGGACAGGTGTCTTTTATACAGGTAACAAGCTGAGATTAGGAGCACTACCTTTAAGAGTGTGCTCCTAATCTCTGCTCGTTACCTGTATAAAAGACACCTGGGAGCCAGAAATCTTTCTGATTCAGAGGGGGTCAAGTACTTATTTCCCTCATTAAAATGCAAATCAATTTATAACATATTTGACATGCGTTTTTCTGGATTTTTTTGTTATTCTGTCTCTCACTGTTCATATAAACCTACCATTAAAATTATAGACTGATCATTTATTTGTCAGTGGGCAAACGTACAAAACCAGCAGGGGATCAAATACTTTTTTCCCTCACTGTACCCAGCATCAGGGCTTCAACCTTCAAAGTCTATGCAGCTGGCTTATAGCCCTGAGAGGGAGACTCAAGGTTTGAATGCAGGATCGCAATGGTACCGGTTTGGCACTTTGACACAGTCATTATAGAGCTTATTAAACTGGCTAACAATAACTACATTTATTAATTATTCACAAAATATATATTTTTTGCTTACGTGTACAGGCTTCTTCAGATCGCAGACGCCCCTTCTGCTTCGTGCCACGAAGCAAACCCATCGACTCCGACGGGCACGACGGAGAGGCCAGTGAGACCCGAGCCAGGTGGCAGCATGTCTTCTTCACCGATCCCCTCGCCATCCACCTCGGCCTCGGTCAGGACTCCGCGCATCGGCAGCGGACTCCGAGATGGGGACGAGGTTTTCTTGTTTGACTCACCTCCACAACCGAACAAGCAAGCGTCAAACGCCGATAGAAAAAAGGTGAGGACCCCCCGCCAAACTCTTGACGGCACTGGTCATGCATTTTTTTAAAAAAAACTTACTCGCCGTCAGTTCCAGTGGAAAACGCCGGATGGTGCCACACACCAGTATTGCGGCTTATTGCGGGCGTGGTTTGTGCATCGGGGAAATGTTATCTTGTGCTGTGATATTTCCAACTTGCAAGGCTATGGGGTGGTCAGTATAGATAACATATCTCCCTAGACTTTTTGGTGTTGGTTGCCTTCATTACAACAATGTTTAGTTCTCTACTTCAGACAAACAATGTTTTTGAAGGAATTTGGCAAATGTCCTCATGCAAAACCTTTTTCAAAACAGTGTCCTGAGATTATTTGAGGCAATACTGAATTTATAAAGGGAATTAAATTGACAAGTAAGTGGTGATTTTCTCACCAATAAATGGGAGAAACGACTCAATTCTTCCAACAATTGCATCGGGTATCAATTCAACCTCAAATGGCCCAAATCTCTTATTAGAAATGGTGGAGATGTGGTCTCATGTGTTCACAGCTGCTTCTGGATTGGTTTTATCAGTTAAGATGAATAATGAGCACACGTGCTGGTCGCAGCTGGCTGCTGTGCATAAGCTGCGTGCCAATGGCAAGCAACTGGAAAAGCAGAACCCCAACGCTGTGAAGCGGAAGGTGGCCGGGGAGACGGTGCGAGCCGTCCTGCAGCGCACGGAGGAGGACACCGCCTCCTCCCCAGGTACTGAAGAGTAACCGTGTGAAAGATTTTCCAAATAATAATAATATGCATATTCCCCCCCTGTATTTTAAGGCTAAAGTTGGGGCAGGTTGGGGGGTGGTATATGTTGTCTTCCGGAAGATGGGTTTTAATCTAGTTGGCCAGCATAATCTTCCAGAAGACGTCTCTCTCCCCATTTTAAAGCCGTGCGTGCGTAATCTTCCAGGCATCGCCTCTCCCATAGCACCCATAATCTTTCGATTAATAATTTTTTTTTTTTTTCAAAATGTCCCGAAAGTTTTAGGTGCGACTTACTTTCCAGAACTTGCTTATCTGAAGAATATGGTATAACCCCACCTGGACTTTGAGACCCACATGAATGGGGTGTTTTGGACAGCTGATGGAAAAATTAACTCGTGCGCACGTCAAATCCACTTAGCTTCAGCCATTTGTGCCGCCGCTTGGCTCAACTCAAGTCTCTCTTTTTCCCTCGTGGCTGTTAATTCTCAGAAGAGCAAGGCGGTCAGGAACCGGCTTCCAAGCGAGCACGGCGGAACTCGGAGCTCTTTAACTCACCCGAGTTCCAGCAGTTGCTGGCGGCGCGGTCCAAGCACTCGGATAAAGTGCGGCAGGTGCGTGGGGTGGCTGCGACGCCGCCGGTCGCCATCGCTGCGTGATCGGTGCGCACGCGATGCCGCTACGGGCTCGGTTGTCTTTGAGTTTTTCATGATGACCCATGGGTGTGTGGGCGGCTGTTGGTGTCTCATTTGTTGTGGTTGCCTTAAATAGGATGCTGTAAAAAGTTTATATGTATGTCAAACTTCTTTCGCACCGTACATAGCCAACCGTGCTAATTGGAGGTGCATCTTAATTTATAGTAATTAAGTTATTTAACAAGGCAGCCTGCCAGTTCATGGCACAGGCCACCATATTGCTGTAAACGTTATTGCAAATTAATAGAGAATATAATTTGTTTATCCCATAGATCATCTGTGTAGTCACTTGCCAATGATATCCATGCGAAATAAATCCATGTGCCCTTTTGCCTCAATATCTCTCCTGTACTTGTGTACGTGTCTATATGCCTGTTAATTAGCATAGCCGTGTAGTTTTGTGGAAGTCCCTTGATACCTTTTCACCTGAATATAAGTCTAGGGTGCTTAAAATATTTTATAACACTTATTATAGGACTATCGTTTTTAATGTAGAAAAGTACGGATAATGCACTGTAACATGATAACAAATGTATATTAATAGCTTCAAAAAGTCAAAAGAGTCTCCACTTGTTCACCATCATTGTCAACACATGCCTGGAATCTTCTTCAGGTGGTCTCCAGAGCCCGGAAGCACATTCCTTGTTGTTACAAATTCTCGGAAGTGTTAACATTTTTTTGAAGCAACCTGCATATCCTTTCCGTGTATTGCTGTAGCCCTATTTGTCATTGTCACCGTATCGGCTTGCCTGTCATGATAATTGCCATCGTCCTCGTTTGAATAAAGCGTCTTCCACGGTGTTTTGCCTATTTGGCGGTATGTTTATCCACACCCATAGGCAGAGGATGACCTACAAGAGCAGTACTTCAACGTTCGCGAGAAGAAGGAGCAGATGGAAGAGAAGATGAAGAACTTGAAGGAACAAAAGTGCCGTGTTGTGAGCTGCAAGCAGGTGTAGAATCGTCAATTTTTTTAACAAGTTTTTGCTTTTTAATTACAATTGCATTCTAATTGAGCATTGTGTTACAGCTTAGGCTACCAACTCACTACACTTGAAAATGTATATGAATTACTGGCAACTGTATTTGAACCCAGGATGTCCTTGCTGCCAACTCAGTTATTTGCCACTGTGTTAGCCACCTGAACCGACCAGCTCACTTCAATTGAATGACGTATTTATGAGCTCCGCAAGCTGTATTTAAACCTAATTTTCCTTGTGTCCCCCTGTCGTCCCTGTCCCCTCTCGCCACAGTGCAAGTACACGCACTACAAGGCGCTGGATACGTGCGTGCAGCAGATGCACGCGCTGTCATGGCACGACGGCGTCAAGCGATTCTTCCGCTGTGGCCAGTGCAGCCACCGCACCGTTTCGCTCGACAGGCTGCCACAGAAACACTGCAAGTACGTGACTGGTGGCCTGTGTGCTCGCTGTGACTTCCCCCAGTGCTCTGCGAACGCTATGCCACTGCCGGTGTGTGTGTGTGTGTGCTCACCCTTCCTGTGCTGTGTGTGTGCGCTTGTGCTGTGTGTGAGCGCTTTACTGTTCCAGTGCTGTTTGCTTTACCTTTTTTTTTTCCTGGTGCTGTGTGTACTATGGCTTGTTCCAGTTCTGCATACGCTGTAACTTGATATAGTATGTGGTTGTGTCGATTGTGGTTTATTCCAGTGTTCTGTGTGCACTTCAGTGTCTTTCCATTCCCTATGTGTTTATGTACTGGATGCTCTCTGCAGTGTTTGTGCTGTGGTTTTTTGCAGTGCTACAAGTGTTTACTGTGGGTACTTTAATCACTGTGTGTCTGCTGTGGCTTTTATGCCAGATTTATTGTTTTATAATACTTGTACGAACATTTTAGTTCAAATATTAATCAAGTAAAAATGTGCTGTCATCTTGCAGAAACTGTGGGCAGTTCAAGTGGGAAAGGGACTCAATGTTGAAGGTTTGTGAATGAGAATACGTGAGACACCCACACAATTAAATCTTCTCTTTGATTTGACAGGTTGATTGCCCTGCTTTATATAAAAATAAACAACTCGTTTTTAGTGTTTAGAGAGTATTGCTGGTTTATTAAGTAAACTCTTACCTCCATTTGATGAAAATCGTAGGTGAATGAAAATTTTCAGATGATCATTGATTTTGTTCATATCGCCTCCCAGTAATTTTTGAACCTCAAGTGTGTACTGTTTTTTCTCATCTGGCAATTTACGGTAATAGGATTTCGAATGAAAGGTTAGCAACAACATTTGAAGGATTGAATACCTGCCGCAAATCAGTACTTGATGGTGGTGGTTCATCCTATCTGAATGTTTGGTTCTCATGTAATCCATCAATTAGCATTATTCCTCCCGGCAATTCTTGCTTGCTATATTGGTCTCTGTGGGCATGTACCAGACAGTGACTGTGATTTCGTGTGTCTGCCGCACAGGAGAGGAAGGGGCCAAAGATCGGAGCCGAGACTTTGTTGCCACGTGGCGAAGAGCAGGCAAAGTTTCTCAACAGCCTGGCCTGAGTGTTTGCAAGGAAACTTTCCAAGATGGGATAATACAATTTGACATCTATGATGTTTTCCCTGCAAGTGTTCAATACCGTTGTACTTTTAGTTTGGTGTGGCTATCGAGTGTGGAGACAGTGCTTCTGTAATGAGCACCAAGGGTTGAAGGGGGATCAGGTGCTGGGCTACAAAGATGGTAACGATTGAACAGGGGCGGCCCCCATTTAATTCCTTTTATCAGGGTCACTGTCAACCACTGGTTGGATGCATTTCCATACTACACTGTTTTGACATCTGCCATCGGGAGTGAAAAGCAGCTGAGTGCGGGTGCTGGTCCCACCGTCCCATCTGGTGTGTTGTGCTTGCCCAAGTAGGTGCACAATCATGACACTTTTCATAGGAATTCCACCGTGCTATGAAGCTAACAATGTGTATCTGTTACTCTTTTTTATGATGTAAGCCATCATTTTACCAAAAGTGTAGCATGTGAAGCTTATGCAAAGGCCTTTTTGCGTAATCTCAAACCGTTTGCCTTCCGCTGTATGAAAGGCCCAGTAAAAAAAGTTATAAAGTACTTGGCGGGAGCACTGGAAATGTAAATAATAGCTTTACTATTCTTTAAAGTAACATGTTTGTGTTTATGTAGTGTCTTAAGTACTGTAATTTAAAACAATTAGGATTTTTAATGTAGGAAAACCCTTAACATTTATTTGGATTTTAAAATGTGAAAAATTATAAAACTCCCCAAATAACTTTCCCATTGACTTTTATATTAGTATTTTTGTATGTATACATTCTAGAAATGTTTGCATGGCTACTGATTAATTAAATCATTGCTCTCTTAAACCATGTATTGGTCACCATCTTATTATACATCATGCTGGTTGTACTTCTAATTGATTAATAATTGCAATGTGTTTTATTGGTACATTCTAGTGTGTGCTTTAATGCAATTTCTGTGGATCAAGCCGCTTTATATTTTGGTTGGCATGTAGCAAATATTGGAGCTTGGGTTTTTTTTATCGTTGAAGTCAGCATTTAATTGCTAAAGCATTGAAAGTTACTTTTAAGATGTCTTTGACCCTGATTTCCAGGTTTTAGGCATGCGGTGTAAGTCAACATTTTTATTGAGTGCAGGTCACTGTTGGTGTTTGTACTTTAATGAATAAATGTTCTAAAGTTAACCAATAAGTATTTCATAGTTTTTTTTATCATACTTTAGCTGTTAAATGCAGGTATTTCTTGCAGGGCTAACATTTCCAGAAATACATTTTCGTAAGTTAACGTAATTATATTGTCTCTTATCTAACTACAGACCATTGGCTATATGAACTAGTCTGGGTTTAAGATTTACTCAGCCTTAAGTGACCTTGCGCAGTGTCACACGTTCGTGTTTGAGATGCATACATCCAGACAGTGGCAGCCCCACTGCCTCAACTGGCCGTGCCAGTTGTAATAGCTGCTCGCCACTAGCATTGCCCCATCAGTTTAAGCAGACTTGACAAGGGACCTCTTTATCACTTGACAAGGGACTTTTTTATCGCCTTCACATGTTGAGCACACGGTGTTTCATGTGCCACTGTGGTGTAGAATTTGCCAATGTAGTGTGTGGAATTTTAAGGATCAAATCTGCTCAACTCATGTGTATGGGCACAGTAAAAACTGGTGAAATGTTTAAAATATACTAGTATTTTAACGTTCCAACAAAAGATTTATTCACGTTTTGTAACTAAAGTATTACACTAAAGCAGGAAGCAATTCAAATATGAAAATGGACTTTGCAACATTTTATGCTAAGACAACAAGCTTTTAAAAGAAAAACTGAATTTAACATACAAGCAAATAGGCTTGCTGATATTAGTTGCAAAAATGTATACCATGTAGACAAAAAAACTAGTATTGGTAGTTCTGGATGGATAATTGTGGTCATTTAGTTATGAGCATTACAACATAAACGTGTTTGTAAAGCTATCGATATCAATTTGTGTAAAAGGTGCACTTGAAGGGACATTGCTGCAAGCTCGGGTCTCTAGGTGTGGCTATTTTAGGAGACCAAAATATTTCACATCCAGTACGAGCCATTTGCACCATCACTCATCTGTGAGTTTAAATAGGATAATGGTTGCGTATTATGTTTGATCACTTTTGGATTTGACCCAATATATAAAATCCAATATAGTGGGTACACGCTAGGCCACGATTTAATAATCCCAAAATTAAACTTCATAACTGGACTGATTTTGATGGGAAGTAGCTTATTTAAAAGCTATCATCCAACCAGAAATGGCCATGTGTATCCTACCACAAGTATGCAGGTTTTGTTGAATGTGTTAAACTACAAATAATGCGTCCACTGAACATTAATATTGCCTGCTCATGCGTTTATTACTTTGCGCACGGTTTATTGATATTAATCATCTGTTTAGGCTCAGCAGTTGGCAGCATATCTTGGGTTCTGGTGGTGATGTGCATAGCACATTGTTGTCGAGTGCCTCAATGGATTTCTGCTGGCTCTTGAGTCCTCTTAGTGTGGCTCAGTAGGGAATGTGGCGGTTTAAGCGGTAGGAGGGGTAGAGTCCGTCGTAGTGGTATTCTCTCCACGACTCGGTCGCCTCCCGGGTCTGCTCGTACGTCTCTGCGGAGGACAAACAGCGTTGATCGCACACAACTGAGCGACGGACTATAACCCTAACTGCCACGGCATTAAGATAAAACTAAAAAAAACATGGCTTACAGCAGTAATACTTTTTGCCATTTGATGCTTCAAGCGAAATGCGAGCTTTCAAGTTAACAAACTAAACTCGTGGCCACCGTTGACTCCACAGTTTGATTTTGCACTTGCTTTACCCCTGGAACAGCTACAAGTTAACGTTTAATTGGATTGGATGGTGGCAATGATACCATCTTTGCTCCAAAGCAAAAAACACCAGAGTATGACTACCACAAGGATGGAGCAATGAGGTCGGCTCATGCACAGGATGGATTATGACATCACAAGACGAGGAATGGCATTTCCACGGAGAAAACTTCGTCTAGCAGTGAATAGATCAGGATGACGATTGTCTCAACTCTAGAAGCACAAATAACGGCATTTCAAATATATAAAATCAATCAGGCCATGGTACTTTGATAACTTGAAAACACCATTAATAATCCTGTCCAATAAGCTACCATATTTCTGCAGTTTTGAAATATGAGAGCAATGTGATCCAGATGAAGATATGTCTGTGGATTGTGACTGGCCGCTCCTTACCAGATCGCTCTTCCTCAGCAAAGTTCTCCCGTGCCTTGATCTGCTCCTCGCGGTATTCCGTGCGGCGCTTGTCTGCCAAGAGGCTCTGCGTCTGCTCCGCTGTCCCACACGCGTGCGCATTATCAATGTGACCTCGAACCGAACGGTCGCGAAGCCCTGGACCTCCGCCGATACACATTGTAGGCTGCTGTTAGAGCGAGGGTTATGATGGATCGCAAGGCTCGCTCACTCACCGATGGTTTCACGCGGCAGCTTGACCGAGCGGCGGGGACGGAGGAAGCTGGCTGCTGTCTCCTCTCGCACAAACACCGCATTCGGATCTGCAAGCAGGTGGATAAAAACCATAGTGCAGGCAGTCCCCGAGATACGAACGCATGACTTACGAACATCCGCACTTTCGAACAAACTGCCGTAAGATATTATTTTAACCATCCGAGTTGCGAGCGTTTGGTTGTACTTTTGAACTAAACCGCGGGACTATTTTGTTCGACGGAGCGATCTTCCGTGAGTTGTCGAGAGTCCCAGCATCCCATGTGATGCACACCAACAGTTAACCGTTCGACTCGAGGTAAGTGAAAATAGCATTTATATTTTATTTTCGTGTTTATTTGATGTTTTACTGGATTTATAATACAGTATTATAGTATCACATGCAAATGTATATTTATTGTTTATTAATTTAACAATGCTTTCATTTTTTGTTGAACCGTATCACATTTTATAACGCTAACTGAACAAATACATATTGAGTTCCGAGATAGGAACAAATCGACTTACGAAAGGGCCTAAGGAACGTAACCCGTTCTTTAGTCGAGGACTGCTTGAATAGTCATAACGCAATTTATTTTTCAGGACTATCTCGTTGAGTAAATACATTTTCTGAAGAGTACTGAATTGGGATGTTTGACCAGTTCCATTAAGGAGCTTTTCTTTTAATGTCATTGCATTATAAATTAAGTATGTGCCCATATTCAGGCGAGAGCCTAATAAAGTATGCATTTTTCTCTTGCATAAAGGATACCTAAATATTGATAGCAGTGTTAGTTGTGGTTAACCTTCATGTCCGATGTTTGAGTCTGGCACACAGTAACTTACTATTAGCATTGATGTAATGGTTTGTCATAGCCATTTGTCAGCAAATGGTAGATATTGGGACCATTGACTACAATCAAATCAGTGCATCCCTATGTGTCCATACCCACGGCATATGCTCAGTCTAAACCTGTTCTCTTCCAGTGCACATAAAATCAAATGTTTCGCTCCGGATGACCGCTGCAAAGTATTAACTGTATTTTGATTTAGTGTGCTGATCTTAAAGGTGCATTGAAAAATGTGATACTCCGGCTGATGCTCCTGTTGTTGAGTGACTCATGCAGCCAGCTATGGCTCTAGGGTTTGGTGTTACATGTTATTTATGTAGTTATTTTGATTGAAAGCTTTTAAAATAAATAAATAAATACACCGTTTAAAAATAAATCAATGCAAACCGACACTTCTTTCAAATGTTTCTTGCCGTTGGTTTTTCACACCTGATGACGACCGTTTGCATTATGGTCGAAAAGGCGTGAGAATTTTTGTTTTATATATATTTTATTATTTTATTGTTTCCCTTCAACGTGACTTTACCGAAAGAGCTAAGAATATATAGTTATTGTTAAAAATTCGGTCACAGTCCCTATTATCACTGTTACATTGCATTTATGGCTTTATTTTGGTGATTTCGAAAAGTTTTTTGGTTTGGCCATCTTTTTGTTTATTGTAGTACGGAGTTAGACTGATGGCCTTAATCTTAGTTGTCTTGTGGTTGTTGTTGTTGTTGTCTGACTTGCATCCCACTGGGATTTTTGCAGACAGCATTGGTGTACAGTGCTATTTCAGGAATATTTTGATGTTTTTTTCCTGGATTTTCTGTTTGCACTGTCACATAACCACTTTAAGATGTTTTTCTTGTTCATGTTTTTGTTTTTTGTTTGTTGCGGTTGCACCCGATTCAAGAGCCGAATGGCTCACAGGGCTATACCAAATAAATGGAACTATGAACTATGAAACTTTCCCCTCTAATGGTTACATCTTTTACCCGATTTTTTTATTGTGTTCACGAGTTTCACTCGCGTGTTTTTAAAGAGTGAAGCATTCCTGTTGGCTTCCCGTAATTCATTATTACGGGAGAGCTGTGACTTGCAGGGAACAGCCCTGCAACGCGACACCATGACATTTGCTCTTGTGTCTCAAGCTTAAGTCGTGGAGACGCGCGCGTGTGTGGGTGATGTGATCCATTTCTGACCCCATGCCATTTGGGGGTCCGTCTTTCCGGAGCATCCCTTAATACGGAGAATACAGAAAGTCACGGAGTTGCTACCTCGGCTGTGAGGGTTTTCGTAAGTGTCTGGTGTTAAGGTTGCGGTGGTGGTGGTGGTGCTGCAAGTTGCGTTACCTTGAATTGTCTTCATGAGTGTAGCTGCTCTGCCCTCCTGGATGCCTGTTAAGCAAAACCGTGGCATACCATTTCAGGCAGTGTCGGGTCAATGCAACAATAACCGGAGTGGATTCGCTCAAAAACAAGGAATTGTGAACACACACACATACGCCTAAGCAAACCCTTTCACTATAGCATAGGACATTGATTTGAATTACAGCCTTTGTCCATCGACAAAGTGTCACTCTTGAGTGTTTGATGAGTGATAAATCGCCACAGTGGTCATTGCACATTGGTGAAATGGAGGAGTGCCAATGACCTGGTCAGGAATCACATTTTGAGGTTGCCGAGTTCGTAGTGCAGTGAACGAAACAATCTAAGCGCCACTCCACCCCGTTGGATAATCGTCATCAACCATGATTCATTCACTGCTGGATTGAGGTCTCCCCAAGGCGCTGCCATCATCCCACATTGGGGTTCTGCGATGTGGCAATCCACCCGGGACGTGTGCACACGAGCCGATGTCATCCCTCCATCATGGCAAGCGTCCTCTGAGACAGCATTCCCCTCTTGTCTGCCACCCCATTGTTATTCTCAACCACCGACGATCATCCTGTCTTGCGATGATAACCTGCTCTAGCCCACTTTTCTCAAGAGTCAATATGAAGTCTCTAGCATGCAGTATATGTCTTCCAATGTATGGGTTCCACTCCCAATACAATTCTAAGAATGCATCTCTTGATTTGTGCGCTGTTCCATTTTCTTTGTCCATGTCCACGTTCACGAGGCACGTGTCAGAGCGGCTAATATTCGCTGATAATATATTATAATTGTATTCCTTAGGCACATTGCTTTTCATCATCAAGCTTTACAAAGCACTCCAGCCCACGGTTGTCCACCTGATTATGAAATCAGTTTCATCTCTGTCCACTTTGAATAACTGACCTGCGTTTAGCAACTGTCTCCGTCTGAGAGTTGTTGATCACACTTGATTAACGCAACTCATTTAAATTTCGATTTGAAGCTTTCGTGACTGCAACTCATCTACCTTGAGCCCAACTTTTCAGCCTTCTTTATTCAGCTCCTCTTAACAATTTCTGCAGTTAATTCCCATTGGATGTTGTACCGACTCACCGGCATATATAAATGCGCGCCTTTGTTTCTCAGATACAATTTACGAAAACATCTTGTGTTGCTGTACATACACTAAGAATACACAAAGTACCAACATAAGTATGAAACGACAAGGTGACGTGCTTTCCCACAGGAAGACAGGATATTAGTTATCCATTGTTTCGCCCATTTTCGCATTTAGACAGTAATGTAGCAGTAATGACATTTTAGTTAAGTTTAAGACGATTTTTTCTTTAAAATCGCATGCCAATTTGTCCAGATGACAGTTTACAGTGAACTTGTCATCAAACCATTGGCTCTGTTGGAGGTGGCTACTGTGCCCCATCCGATACAGAACCCATGTTAGGGAGCCTTAAAGTTAGTATAACTGAGTGTCATCTGGTGCATTGAGTTCAATCATAAATTACAAATTCTAAATAAAGCAAATGTATCTCCTCGATATCTGTGAAAAAGAGCTTTATAGCTCATCGGATTCCTCCAGTCTAAATATTCTAATATCTAAACACAAATAATATGTAAAGTATATTGTCAGTAACAAAGAAAATCACTATACACAACTGGTAATTGAGTTTTATCCAAATATTGAGTTTAGGGTAGTTCCAGCTTTTGTTAAAATTTGCATATTTTGATGAACACTACGTAACATTTTTGACTGTGATTTGTGAGCAATACAAACTATTGAATTTAATTGAATCGTCAATGTATGACTACACAGTGTGATAACGCTACCACAAATTATACAAACTATATACAGCACTATTTTATTCATTTGAATACAATTCAAAATAAACATGACCCATGTTATTGCAACACTATATTGTAAATATGTATCTTATTATAAACATTTCGCGCATTTAAAATATTACAAGCCGAGGCCTGAAAAAATATGCATAAGCAAAAATGCATGTTTATTTGCAATTGCATCATTGATAACCATAAGAAAATGCTCATTATATACGTAAATGTACTAACTATTGAACTGTACTCATTGTAACACAAAACCCATAGACTTTCCTTAGAAGCTTTTCCTTCATCTATAGCTCAACTCAGACCTGTTGGCATGCGTAGCTCACATTCCTATTAAGTTCACCAATAAACAGACAATGTAAAACTAAACTACTGTATTTTTAGTTTACCAGATAAGGCCCACTGAGCTATGAAGCTCCTTTTCATAAGCTTCCGAGCCACAAGTGACATATCAACGAAGTGGCTTATCATGTGGGAATTTATAGCAGCCAAATACTCTAAAACGCACGTTTCTAAAATGTGGATGGAAAAACCGGAGGATCCGGATAAATCCACCACACGACAACGGAGAGACATGCAAACTACAAATATACAGGCGTCAGGATCTGGATCGAACCCACCAACTCCTGTATACCACGCAAGGTAGTAAACGTCTCGCCACCGTGGCACCAACGTGGCACCCCAATGTGGCGCTTGAGCTGCAGGGGTGAGTGGTGCTGGGCCTCCGTGAGGGGACGACTTACAGGAGAAGAGCACAAGGACGAGCAGAGAGAGCGCTGTGCGAGTCATGGCTCCTGCTGGTCCCTCCAAACCAGCCGAATGTGTGATCATCTGGGCTACACGCCTCAAGGTGCGTGTGTGTGTGTGTGCGTGTCTGTGTGTGTCTGGCATGCAGATTATATGGTGACGATTGGCCAAGCAGTGAGACGCACAGATTGGCCATGATCCCAGTAGTTGCCGCTGAAAGTTTTGCTCAAGTTTCAGACAATCAATCTTTTTCATACAAGCAGCTCACATCTTAACCTTTTATGAAGAAATTCTAAGATGTATACATGTGCCGAAGAGCCCAATGATCAGATTATTCACAATTTAATCACTTTGCTGTGTGATCGAGCACATTTCAATGAGGAATGAGCACAGCACACTACCATCAGTAACATTACTTAAATATCCTGGGTCAACATCTTTCAATGTCATAACTCAAATCTCACGTTGTGTTAATGATTTGCAACTCAATTTTAACAATGTTACGTGTCCATTTGATGAATAGGGATACTCGGTCACTAAAACAAAACAAAAAAGTCCATTCATGAGCATGTACTAAAATAATGAGCACGAACTAGTGATGAATTTAAACACTTTATTAAAAATAATTTCAAACTCATTTATAGTGAGGTATTACATCTTTTAGGACTCACCTCTACATTTACGTTTTACAATTACCAGCATTTGCTTTATATGCAGAAAACTGTTATCATTGCAAAATCAAAACCAAGAAAGTGCCAAGTTTTAACCCCATATTGTCCAGAGGAAACCTTCCTCAAAAGTGCTGGAACAGTCCCCATCATCGTTCAACAAGATAAACACTCGAGATCAAACTCATTTATGGTTTTACCTCAGAAATTAGGTACTTCAAATGTCAAATAAAATCAAAATGCTCTTCCTAAGTTAAAATGGTTATTTTTTTTGCTTGCTAAAACATCTAATGTGAAATGTGCGAGTCACAACAGCCAACAGAATCAGAAACTCATGGAAGCATTAACGAATTACTTAAAACATGTGAAAACATTTCAGAACACAAAGGCATTGCAGACCAGAATATCAGCTTATGTAGTGGCTCTACGAAAGAGTTCTTCATCTGTCGACCCATATGGCCCGCTGAGAGATATGGCTCGCCAAGACAGAGAAACACGGATCTGAGAGATGCACGAGATAATATAGCTGCAGACAAGAGATAAAGATTAGTGAGATTATAGCGAGAGTAGCGAGGTAGAAGCGAGACCTGGAGAAAAGAGGTCCAGATTAGTTGTTACATGTACAGACGTTTTGAGGACGCCACGTGACGTCATATGAGGAGACGTGGTTCACCAGCACTTGCATAGAATTTTCACCACTACTCATGTGAGGTATGCATTACTTTCAAGTACTTCTGTTCTGCTTGAAGATGGGATATCCAGTGTGCATGTAATCCGTGAATGACCCCATATATTGACCAGGATGGTGCGGCCAATGGCTTTAATAACTGCTGCTTTATGACTATTGGGTCTGAAATAGAAGATACAGTTAAGGCATATTAAAGGGGACACATGATTGGGTGGCAGGGATTCTAAGGGAACCATCAGTGGCGTGAAGGCGCGTGGCGGAGCCCCCTCACAGCTGCAGCCTCTCTCCATTCACGAGTCGTCCCTTGATGCGCCACACGTCCTGCGTGCAGCCAACGCGGGCACCGTCAATCTCACAACTCCCCAACCAAATGTATTAAATAGTGCACAGGCAGTTATTACGCACTGAACAACTGTGAAATACATTCATGTTTTCGCGTATCGTTATTATTTTGGTATATTGCAGTGATGGGCAATCCTAGACTAGTTAGTGAGCCACATGAGCAGCCCTTCACCTCAATGGGCCGCACAAGTTTGACATAGTGCTTGTGCACTAATCATGACCCAGCATAAAAGCCTCAAAACACTTGAATATGAAGCTGGTCTCCCCTAGATCAACTCCTAAAGAGAGGCTTTGGTGCAGGATGCCAGCATCAGCAATAGGGGAGACAAATGCAGCCATGTGCATGTCGCCTGACCAAATGATCCATACTAACTGCAGGTCTCAGCACAATGCAGGTACATGGAGAATCTTTGTCCTTATTCCTAGTGCTAATGTTGACACATTGCACCGAGGTTCTATTTTAAACTGCATTAACCTAAGGGCGACTACGTCCAGGTTCAGAGAGCAATCAGCAATGGTGTTACCTACCACACCGAGGAATAAAACATGGGTTATTAGGGTCATAGTGCAGTCTGTTGACCACTTCGAAGACAAATATTCCCCATGTAGCTTTACAAACTGTGTGGGTAAGTGCTGTTAGTTAGTGAGCGCCTATAAAGGTTGGCACGGCACACGAGGGGGTGTTGTGGCAAGAACCACACCCGGCCGCCTTTGTCTCCCCCGGTGCTAATATTTACACATTTACACATCAGCACCAGGTACTTATTGAAGGCTGGGTCAACCTAGTGGAGGATCAGTAGAGGTTCAGATATCACTCCCCACTGACATTAGGTGGCCGGGTTTGTAGTGCAGGGCCATAACTACGACACCAATGCTCAGAAAAGCGTTCAAAACAGAGTTGCGTACCGAGAAGTCGAGCTCCGTGATGCCGTGGCGTTTTCGAACAATGTCCTTCACCTCATTCTCAATGTTCTCCTGGCTCGTGCCCTTCACCTCGATGTAGTTGCACTCGCTGCTGGCGTAGTGGCAGGAGATAGACTGCGCAGATTGAGGAAACAAAAAGGATGTTATTCATTTATCCAAGAAAGTTGTATCCGAGTCTCACGAGACCATCTTATAGATGATCCTGCATTGTGATGCTTGACCGATTTCTGAATGGGTAGTTGAAATATTAACGAGAGAAAACACGAAATGAGGGGATAACGTGATGTTAAAAAATCCCTACTGATAGGTCAGCCACATATTTTTTGTATTTACATTTAATATTCACAAAGTCTCAAACACGATTATATACGTGATTAACCAATCCATATGTTTTTAGCACCCCAAAAAATGTTCTGCCAACACACCACCATCCTACTACCTGCCCACACCAACTGTCATCAGTTTTATTCAAGCGTGAAATAAAAATGTCATCCATTGCCAATTAACTCAGCCGTTTACAGTGGTTTGCCTTGGGAAACCCTGGCCCTTTTATGAAGGCTGTCTAATTTCCTCCACTGGACCATGGCCACCAATGGCGATGAGCAACGGCCAACGCTCGTACGGGCAAGCAGACAACTTCACTTGAGACATAAATAGAGTGCAGCTGGCAAATTGGGGTGAGAATAAATAAATAAATACATTTCCTTCAGCCTTTTATGACTGCAGCAATTCATATTCTTTGGGTCTTTCAGTAAAGTCACGTAGATAGGTTCATCTGATCCTCCTGATGACGATCGCTTGTGTTGTGATCGAAACATCGTAGTTTTTTTTGTCATTTTCTTTCAACCTATCTACGTGACTTTACCGAAAGACCCAAATAATATAAAACAAAAACCTGTTTCGGTGCAGATGACGGTAGTGGTGTGAGTGGCCCCACCTTGCGGAAACCATCAGTGTTGTTCATGCCGGATCCGTGGATGAGTAGGGGATGGAAGAACACGGTGTCACCCTCCTCCATGTCCAGGTGAACGCGCGGCATCGTCGGGTCATAGTCCCGCACGCCGTGATACATCTTGTTCACGCCGCCCTGCGTGCACGCACACAAAGATCCTTCAACTCACTGCTGGGGCAAGCGCTGTTAGTAAGCATCTATGAAGGCCGGAACGGCAAAACGGGGTGGGTGCTGATGTTTACACACAACACCAAATACTAATTTAAAGCTGAGTTGACCTAGGGGAGGACCAGGACCGGTTCAGATATTTGTCGCCTCTGTTGGCCATAAGCAGGAACTGAATTCAGGCCGCTGAGTTCATAGTTCAGTGCACGAACCACGGCAAAGATCCCCTGTATCGCCTCAACAGACTTTTGGGGCAAGTCCTGTTAGCGAGCATCTATGCAGGCCGGCACCACACCTGGCTGGCTTTCTGCCTCATGGCGATATTCACACATTGCACCAGATACTACTCATTTGAGGCGGATTTGACCTCGGGGAGGCCTCGGACCAGTTCAGATAATAATCGTCAGTGATGTTGGCCTTGAGCGGGAACCTTACTCAAGTCACTAGGTTCGTAGTGCAGCACGCTGCACTTCCACTCCCACACACATGGATGAGGATGCCCATTTGCTGTGTGCACAAGTCATCTGACTGGCTGCATGAGTCCACCAAACCAGCGATATGAGAATAAACAATTTACGAACAAAACAATTTGCTGATGAGGGGTAATGAAGTGAAAATGAAAAAACCCAATACAAATAATATGGTAAAAATGAGAAAGAGGCTTTTTTTTATTGAAATGTGACCCTGAACCACCATAATTTTTCAAATTGTTGCTGTGGATAAATTGTTACATGCCTCATGCGGGAGATAGACTCATTGGTTAAGCTCGCGAATGAAATCTGCTCCATTATTGTCAAACACGCACTTTGATGCGTGTATTACAAGTGAAAAAATCGATTTGAATCCATGAATGGATACACAGTTACTTAGCGGTGACACACGAGCGAATGCACAAGGGAACGGGAGGTGGTGCTTTGTGTGACTACCGCGAGTGTTGCCGCTTATTGGCGGGGAGGCTGCTTGCCCCTTGCCGCACTCACCTCCCACTCAGGGTAGTCGTGCTGCTTGAGCTCCCCCTTGTGAGTGCCGGGCAACACAACCAGGCAGCCGTTCTGCCGGTTGATGGTCTGCATGGCGGTCCACGAGCACACAATGCGGTCGGCCGGACGAAATGGGAAGTAGTGCAAGTCTTGGTGCATCGGGTGGCGTGACGTCTTGGAGCCTGGGTGGGTTGTATGGATGGGTGGATTAGGAGGTAAACATTCTCAGAAGTTTATAACCCGAGTAAATAACCCATTGGGGTCTACACAGTTCTTTTCAAGGGTCACGTCGCATTCTTCCAATCTGTATCACTTGTCTGAATGCGTAGCAACTTTACTATTAAAACTGTCTCTTTGAACGCAACATAGTAAGTAGTAACCAATGAAGGGTTTTGCTTTCTATCGGCTTAAGTGTCACACTCCACATGAGCCAAATTACATGGTTCAGTAATGATCGGGATCATATATTCTATCGAAAGTATAATTGCAGATTTGGATTTAGTACCAGTCAAAACCTATATTTTTGTTCTTTCGGTAAAGTCACGTTGAAGGAAAACAATAAAATAACAAAATCTATATTAAACAATAAAATTCTCACGACGTTTCGACTGTAACACAAACAGTTATCATCAGGTGTGAAAAACCAACGGCAAGAAACATTTGAAAGAAGTGGCGGTTTGTATTCATCTATTTATTTATTTATTTATTTTTCGCCGTTAGAACCACGGACAGCGATTTGGCAGTTTGTTTATAAGGACGAGTCCATCTATGTTCGGAAAAGAGGAGGGGGGAGACGAAAAATTAATGTATGCTCTCTGAAAGCCACCGTAAGCGTGAACAATCAATTAAGACCCGAAATGGTTTATCAAATCCTTCCTTATTTTATTGTTTCCCTTCAACGTGACTTTACCGAAAGAACCAAGAATATGAATTACTGCAGTCACGAAAGCTTTAAATAAAAATTCAGTCAAAACCTGTATCAACAAACTTTTGTAGAGTTTGGGTTAAAACTTCTTTGTCCAAAAATATTGAGTTAATAAAATATTAAAATATTGGCGATTGGAATAGCTTTTAGTTTTAAGCATGGACTCCACTGTATTAATGCCAAATTACATTCTATGGAATATAAAGAGGCCGGTAGCATCACCGTTCATGTGCTCCGATACAATCTCAGTGATCTAGTTTGGATTCCAGGCCACGGGCACGAATGGTAATTATTGTTGTTGTATGCAAGCTGGTCAAGGCCTCCTGTAGTCGATTAAACATTAAAAAATGTTGGTGGTAATTTGTATATTTATAAGTCCACGGACATTTGTATATCAGAGGTGAGTTTATCTGGCGATTATTGCAATTTAACACTTCAAAGTATTACATTTATACCCTTGCAATGCAGCAGTGACATTTATTGACATAAATAGTGCAATATTTCATTCCACCTATTGCACAAGTTTGTTATTTTTGTGAAGTGCAGTTTCAGAACTGGAATAGGTTTATTTATAAATCATGAACTGACATCTTTAAAATGTCCAAAGGGTCTTAACATATGATCCAACAATTTGAACACATGCAAATTAAAAGCAGTCCTAAAATGTGAGCAAATGAAGGCAGGATGAATTATTACCAGGGTCAGGAGGTTTGTTGATGAGCATCGTGTGCATGGCCATAATGTTGGATCCTGTGAAAGCTTCCACATACTGGATGACCTGCCAGTGAATAAACATTAAACTTTAGTCACGAAATAAACACTTTACACACGTTTTAAAGTAAACATCTATTTCATTATTCATAATTAGCCGTCTGAAAATGAAGAGTGAAGTGGTTTCACTTGGAACAGAACTCTTGCTGACTTTTCACAAGTGTCTTAATGATTAATTCATGCCAGGCTACGTTTTCAAGTCAAGGCAATGCACAATGAGTGGTAACAAATGTGAGCGGTTTAAAAAAAGTCTTATGGCATTCTCTGGTAAGCACAGCTTGACCCGGTAGCAGAAAACCCCCACTCAATAAATTAGATGTAAAAGCTGGATAATATGAGCTCCATTGAGCCAGCATTGTGTTTGCAGCGGTGTTTTTTTGTATCTGCGCTGTGTCAACAAGAGGCAGGCACGTGCCTTTGGATGCTCGCAGTACTCGAACAGAACAGGATCATTCTGGAAATCCTGGATCTTGGTGATGGCTTTTTGGTCAGGGACAAACTCGGATTTGGCTATGGCAATGTCTCGCATGACCACCATGCCCGGTACGGTCATCTCCAGACGGCAAATCTTTTCAAACTGGTTCCTGTGTGTGTATAGAGGGCACTGCTTTAGTAGGGCAAGTGAACAAGAAGCCTTTTAAAATAAGTGCAGCTTAAAATGGATGCACAACACTGAAAGAGCACTTCTTAGGACATTTTTACAAAACAAAGCAAGCTGAGATTCAGTAATGTTCAGAGACTGCTTGTGCTGCTTGGATGGTAACAAATGGTGTCTGGAGTGTTGTGGGTAATGCAGGAGTGATAAAGACCAAGCTGCATGTGGTGAAAGTTTCATATATGCAAGCCAAAATGTATAAAAGCACATCATTTGTTTAAATTAATAACCTGTATTTATCCAGATCCGTCTTAGGAACCAGCCCTTTGATGACGATAAAGCCATTCTCTTCGTAGAATTCTCTCTGTTTCGGTGTCAGAATCCCATTATCCAAAGAGTATCTGGGAAGGAGGGTAAAGGTGATTATTATTACATCGACAAGCTCCGATTTAATTTGTCTTGCCTTAACAATTGCACGCAGTGTTATTGCTTGAAATTTAAACAAGTTTCATGAGTTGTACTTTTAATACGCACCTGAATTTGAGTGGGATGTTGGGTTGGTGCATTGCCTGAGCAGCTCCGACATGATTGGGGCTCTCATAACCAACTTAAGGAAAATCCACATTAATAAATATTAAACTACACTTAATGGACTATGACTATATATTCGCATCTGTGCTTGTATTAAGCATGCTGTTCATATAGAGTATGTGGTATTACTCTGCTCTTAAGTCATTAAGTGTATCAAGATTCTGTCTTAAGACACTATGTTGTCTCTCAGAATAAGGTGTTCATACCAACCGAGATTCCTGATAACAGCCCAGTCACTGATAAATGCACACAAAAAAAACACTTAATTTGTACTGCCACAAAACATAGCTACATACATATTTGAAGGTCCAATGGCATCATAGAAAAACTGAAATTATTGACACTGCAGGTCAGATAATTTCAGGCAAATGACACTGATGCAAGTTTTGTTGCCCGTGGTGTTTTGAAGCAGAGCTGTGCACTGCTGTATGTGACTAACCCTACAAGAAGTACTGATAAAAAAGTGGCAAGAATAGTAAAAGATAAAGATACAACCCTGTAACTGCATGGTCACGCCAATACTGGAGAAAGGGGTCACCGTTAGAGGGAGCTCTAGAGAGTTCCCTTGATGGCATTTGGCATACCCTTCCATGAGCTCATGTCTTTGAAGAGGTGATAGTACCGACGTTTAGCCCCACCACACATGATCTGCCGGTCGACTGTGGTGTATCCATTTATACTGCTGGGTGGGGACAGAGGCGGTGGGATTTAAGAACCTTGCATTGTTTAAACTGCTGCGCCAGGAAAACGAACCAGCGATCTCTGGATCACAAGTCCCGTGTGCTAACCAATGTTTCATGACATGCCAAAAAATTACCTATATTTAGGACAATGTTTTTCAAGGGTCTACATGACCTATGATGACCTTATGAAAGAACGACCAAAGTTCTGTAGGTGGATAGGCACTGAGAGCGCCACTAGTTTATAATCTGTCAGCCTTTGGCCCCATGTCTTGCAATGCACTGTGCTCTGCATGCGGCTTTTGAAATGTTTTATTACTTTTATTGAAAACAATGGAAGTTAAATTATGCAATTATATACATACCTGGATAAAACACCAAGTAATGTGGTCAAATTAAGCACACATTTAAAATGAGAAAGGTTTTGCATCTACTATTTTTACGTTTTACCCATACCATGTAACCATAATACTAATGCTAATAATTAATTACCCAGAAAAGTCTCACTGACCCTCAAAGCTCTTGTTCGGGAGGGTCCTGCACAGGGATATTTGACCAATTCCATAAATGAGTATTTGGCATATGACGGGGAAACCAGAGAACCCAGGGAAAACCCACAAACGCAAAGGTAACATTCAATATCCTGGCCACCTCGTCGTCTAATAATGCCTACAACACCTGGCAAGCCTCGGAAACAACCCATCCAAGTACAAACCAGGTTCAACCCTGCATAGCGTCCGAGACAAGATGACATCAGTCGCAATTAAGAGTACAGTACTTTGGTTAATAACTAAACACTATTTGCATACAACTAATGTTGTTGCATGGTCTTCTTAAAATAACCACATTCTTTCCAAAGGTTGAATTTAACCAGGTACCGGGCCTCCTGATATTTAATGCATGCACAGCACTTTGTTAATCGACTCCTGGGTGAAGGCCTCCCCACGCAATGCAGGTCGTGGGGTTTATTAGACCAGGGCGCATAGAAGCTCAGTACAACAATGGATTTTCCTCATCTCTGCTGCCAACCATGCAGACTCTTTAACAATCCGTGCGTGCGTAGCGGTCGCCCTTTAAAACACTATCCAGGCTCAAACCTGCTTAGCTTTGGAGGTGTGCTCATGACATGTCGCATTACGGGTAATTTGGTGATAATAACTCGTTATAAAATTGAGACAGCATCCACACACAGCAATTACGATCTCTACGCACTGTAAAAGTAGGTTTAAACGTAACGGTACATTTTTTTTACAGTCGATATGCCAAGTAATAAAGCATCACTAAGTGCGGTTGCAATGACAAGCTTATTTACAGGCGTCAAATAATGTGGCATTACAGCGTTCCTGAATTAAAACACTTGTTCATTGCAGTGTCGCTTCTCCCGCAGCTGTTTCCCCAACAAATGCAATCCCGGCAAAAATAACAACAAGAGTCATCCGCAACATCAACCGCATTCCACACGACTCCATATGACCCACGTGTAACAACAACGACAAGAGACGCGAACTTTACTCTCCCGCAACAGCGCCATGTAGTAGCACACACACACACAGCGGTAACCACGAGGAGACGTCGCGAGCAATGGGTTCCTAGTTCGTCGTCGCGTGAAGGATACGAGGGGCAGCGTTGACGGTGGACGTCCCCTCAGGTGCCCCAGGTGAACCAGCAGCCGGGCACTCGCAGCGGCCATCGCTCTGCTCGTTCACAGCTCGTCTTCCCCTACCCACCCACCATGTTACGCTCCCCGCCGATTGGTCCCGGCGCGTTAGCCACGTACCGCGCATCGACCAATCGCGTGATTGAGCTGACGTGACTCACAAAGGAGGGTGGGGGGGGGGGGAAACAAAATGGCGGCCGCGCAATATAACCGGCGCCATCTTAGTAAGGGAGTGGAGTTTTAATGTTTGTATGTAAGATACAATATATAGAGCAAACACACTTACATGAACCTTTTTTTATTGTAGTTGAGCGAAAATTTCGTTTGCTCGAAAAATTAGTCGCTATCGTGGCTGTTGCGCGAATTTTTATTTGTTTAATGTACAGGTACCATGTGAAGTCACGTTGAAGGGAAACAACAAAATAATAAAATATATATATTTTCAACGTGACTTTACCGAAAGAGCTAAGAATATGAATTACTGCAGTCACGAAAGCTTTAAAACAAAATTTAGGTACCATGTGCTTGAAGATTCCCAACAGACACAGATGAGGGTCGACGTATGAGGGCAACGTTATCGCAGTTAGCATGGAAAGTTGGGGGCAACCTTGGTCCAACGGTTCAATGCCAACGTTGTCATAACGTTGAGCCAACGTTGGAATGATATGGAACCATCGTTGATAATTATGCCAACATTGAGCCAGCCAACGTTGGCAAAAATACGCATTGTTAGGTAATGAAGTTGCGAAAGAAGTTCAACATTCAACATACACAGAATAACAGTACTCTGTTTTAGCGACGCAGGAAGAAGGGACGGCCACACTTTTAACTTTTTTGAATTGGTGGTCTCAACAATATGGCCAAGTGTTCACCTCGTTGTGTGCTCTATGCAAGGCTGAGCGCATTTAGGGGCCGTCCATAAATGACGTCACGCGATTTTGGACGATTTTTTACCCCCCTCCCCTTCGTCACACATGGTCACAAATGTCTAACCCACCCCGTATAGGTGCGTGACGTCATTTATGGACGGCCCCTTATTGGACATGTGTTGGCCATGACATGCACCATAAGGAATTATGAGAGTCGTGCCTTCCTGCTGTTTGTAAGCAGCACATATTTAGGTGTTATTTATATCTCGGAAACTAAGCAGGGTTGAGCCTGCATAGTATTTGGATGAGTGGCCACCTTGCACCATAAGCTGTTTTAGTGTGTCGGGCTATATGGTGGACAGCAGAGGGCAGAGCAGCAAAATCCAGTTTTGTATTGTACTTCTATGCTCCCATGTTTCAGCTCCCTGCATTTCCCACCCGCACTGACCAGTGGATTGACAAACATGGCTGTAGATGTTCTTGGTTCTTTCGGTAAAGTCACGTAGAAGGGAAACAATAAAATAATAAAAATATAAAGCAATAAAATTCTCACGACGTTTCGACTGCAACACAAGTTTCAAGTTTTCAAGTTTCATTTATTAGGTAGAGCCCTGTGAGCCATGCGGCTCTTAAGTCGGGTGCACCCGCAACAAACAAAATTTGAACACAGAACATCCCAAAGCGACGTCGCGCAATAGAAACATCCTGGAATATACCAGCAAATATTCCACACAAAAAAGAGACTTAATAAAACGCTGTGTGTAAAAATTACAATCATCATCAGGTGTGAAAACCACAGCAAGAAAATTATTGCTGTGGTTTGACTCAAGCCTACCCTATATCATCATCAGGTGATGATGATTGCTTGTGTTGGAGTCGAAACGTCGAGAGAATTTTATTGTTTTATATTTGTATTATTTTATTGTTTCCCTTCTACGTGACTTTACCGAAAGAACCAAGAATATGAATCCATGCAGTCACGAAAGCTTTAAATAAAAAAAATGGATGTAGATGTTCATATACAAGGTGCATGGTTGTTGATCGAATGCCATTGTACATAGTTTTCCTCATGTCACATTATTATTTGTTTGAAATGATTGGTTTGAGTGATTTGTCTGCGCAGTACGGCAGATTGTGATCTTTGTGAGCTGTCGTGGGACAGCGGAGTGAAAATAATCGAGGTTTTGTTGTGAGACGTTGGTTCTTAAAGTCGAGGGATAAATGCATGTGGGAGGATTAATTGAGAGGAGAGTAGCGAGAGGGATGGAGAGTGCGTCTGTAGAAAATTCTACTTAGAGAGATTACATAAACACCGAGATCTTGAAAAGTGCACAGCTGCGTGTGGGGAGGGTTGGACACGTGTGTGGCATTCAGGGTAGGCTTGAGTCATATAGGGTAGGCTTGAGTCATATAGGGTAGGCTTGAGTCATATAGGGTAGGCTTGAGTCATACAGGGTAGGCTTGAATCATACAGGGTAGGCTTGAGTCATATAGGGTAGGCTTGAGTCATATAGGGTAGGCTTGAATCATATAGGGTAGGCTTGAGTCATACAGGGTAGGCTTGAATCATACAGGATAGGCTTGAGTCATATAGGGTAGGCTTGAATCATATAGGGTAGGCTTGAATCATGCAGGTCAGGGCGGCACAGTGACGAGATGTTAAATACCTCTCCAGGTATACAGGAGGTCGTAGGTTCGAGCCCAACCCTGACGCCTGCTGTATATTTGTAGTTTGCATGTTCTCCCCCTAGTCGTGTGGATTATTCTCCGGGTCCTCCAAGTTTTCCCTCCACGTTTAGAAACTTACATTTAGAGTATTTGGCTGCTATACATTTCCAGACGATACGTCACTTACTCTTTGGTTCTGTTCGGTAAAGTCACGTAGGTAAAAAATAAAACAACAAAAAGTCACCTACGTGACTTTACCGAATAGAACCAAAGAGTATGGATCCTTGCAGTCACGAAAGCTTCAAATCGAGATACGTCACTTCGTTGAGCTATCATTTGTGGCCATGTCGCTTCTGAAAAAGAGCGATGTAGCTCAGTGAGCCTTACCTGGTAAAATAAAATAAAAAATAGTTTAGTTTAGGGCCTAGATTGAAAACTAATTTGTTTAGAATGGCCTTTTCTGTTTAGTTTGTCGTCCTCCCCCGTGCCTCCGATGAGCACGGTTGACTACGTACGGTGCTAAAGAAGTTCAACATACACACGAGTCTGTCAATGTCACCCTACACAAGACCTCCCTCCTCGACTCAACGCACATCCACACAACATGTCAAGACCTCTGATCAAATGTGGGACCTTTATAATGTCACAGACGATTACACGCGTTATTTTCAAAGTGGTATCCGTGGTAACGATATCGTTTATGATGTATTCGTACGGTTGGTTCTGAATCACTGGGGCTTTAGAAAGCGTTGGTTCACAAGACTTAGCCTTTATTTAATAGTGTCCAGCAGAGGGCGACTATAAGGCATGATTTAAAAAAATCGGTCGTGAGACCCAGCTAACGCGTCTGTTAAACTTGTTTTAAAATATCATAGTTAATAAGTGGAAACACGGTTACTTGTTGAACGTTGAAGTCAAGAGTTGGTTGATCACGCAGATTTTGGAAGATGGAACATTTACCACAAGATAGCAGCACAGCAATGTTTCCTGGAGCATCGAGCGAGGCTTTCATCCCGGTTAAGTAACATTCAGCCCTTAACATCACGTTGCAGACACTGAGTAGCAAACACAACAACATTCAAGTAGTGCATGCACCATTCAAGTAACACCAGCAGGTAACACGGGAAACACACGTGGCAAGAAAAAAGGGAGATCTTAAATCAAAGGGCGAAGTTTAAAAAGGTCAGGGATTAAAGCCAGAGCCGCGAGATTTGCAAGCCACGAGCGGGCTTCAGGAAAAGAGTTCGTGTGATTTTTGCTCGTTCTCCGTTCGTTGTGGCACATGTGAGTGGTGGACTACGTGGTGCATCGTCTGGGTTACGTGGCTACAATCGTACTTGCTGTGTGGTTTGTCTTCAATGTATACCCAAGGGTTATCCTATGCATCTCTATGTGTCATGAAGAAGGGTCACTGCCAAAAAAACGTCACATATTCGATATTTTTTTCAGGTCAGTGTTAATCTATCCTATGATTAGTCTCTAGTGGGTCTACTTTTCGGTCAATACTTTGATTTGCACGGCCACATTCAACACTGTGGGCTTGTCTTTTAATTTAACATTTATACGGTGGTATTTTTGGAAAACCATTGGGCTTGGCTGAAGGAATGACATTTTTGTCCCACACACCCGATGTCAAGACGCTGGATGGAGCTGTATCTTATAATTTACAGGCGTCACAAGTACGCCTCCTTCCTCTGACTTAAGCAAGCGTAGGGGTGACTTCTGACCACCGCATGAGTCACCCCGCTGACGTCACGCATAGTGACGTCACGCCACGCCGGGTGTCACCAAATTTGGCCCGATTGCATTCCTTACCGCGGATAGGCGCACCGCGTCCCGGCGAACCAATCACAGCCGCGCTCGCTTCCGCCGCCGTCGCCGACCGCCCTCCCCCACCCAACGCCACCGCCTGTCACGCGCTCTCCAGCCAATGGGCTTGCGAGTGCCCGCTGAGTTATCGGCGCATCCGCGTTGGGAAATCTAAAAGGCGCACCCCATATAACCAAAAAAAAAAACTTTAAATTGGCTGCGAGGGAGCGTGTGGTGGTGGTGGGTGGGTGAGCTTGCGGAGGACGGAGCAGCTCACGCAACCATCGATTGATCGAGATAAAAAAACAGAAGCAGTGGCGAGCAAGTTGCCGGGGCAACGTAAATAAAGAGGCGGGAAATTAGCGCGCGTCTTCTCGGCCTGGGCTAATTTCTTGTTTGCCAAGTGCGGTGGTTAAGTTTATATTGCTGCGGGTTTCGGGTGGCCGTGTGTGTGTGGGGGGTGGTGAGGGTTACGGTTCCGACCCAGCCACGCCGCAACACAACCGCCTTGTGGCGAACATTAATTTGCAACGCGTTGTCGGCTGCGTGTGCATGTGTTGGGGGGTGGTGGGGGGGTTGGCATCCTTATTTTTTTCCTTTTCCCGTCTTTTTTTATTAAAAAAAATTGAAGAAGTCCATCCCCACACGCCCACGACAATGTCTTCGGACGTGAAGGAAGGCTTCTGTCGGCAGGAGTTGAACAAGACCGTGTGGGAGGTGCCGCGCAGATACGTGAACCTCACTTCGGTGGGCTCCGGGGCTTACGGATCGGTGTGGTGAGTTGAGCATCGCTCTTATTATTATTATTAATCAACATCATCATCGTCATCATCGTCAGATTTCATTCCGATGGACGTGTTAGCGGCGGCGGCCCTAATGCACGGCTCTAGTTGACGCGTGGCTATTGTGGTCAACACCACCACCACCGTTATGCTGCATACGCGTTGCAAAATGCACTGTACGCGGTGGTGGTGGTGGTACATGTCATTGCTGCACAGCACGTGGAGGAGACTTTTAAAGCCATGCAAGTTTGTCTGCAAAATTGGCACTCACTCGGTGCATTTTATGCTGTTTTCGTGAAATCGAAGTGAAGTGTTAGTTAATGTGCCGTTGTGTTTGTGCGAGTACTGTGGGTTTTTCTTTTTGGACCGGGCCCTGCCATGAAAATGTGGACAATTGCCACCAACTTAAATTTTGATTTAAAGCTTTCGTGACTGCAGGGATTCATATTCATGGTTCTTTCGAAAGAACCAAGAATATGCCAGAACCAAGAATATGCCAGAATATGCCACCGACTTGTTTTGCTGGCTGAAGATGAGCAATCGCTCCCACACGCCCCGTTTGGGCTCTTGAGTCAATGTTTAATTTTACTGGAGTGTTGTTGCACGATTAACATAATCTTATGCAAAGTTTAGCTTGCAAAGAGACGCGTAATCGTTGAAGTATTCGTAGAACAAATTGTTGCGAGTCGGTGTCATTACCTGTTATTAACGCGTTGCAGTATTGCAATACAGTACTGGTATTACTATCTTGATCAGCTGTACAGTAGTCCCAAATGCTTGCCGATCACATAATTCACGGGCCAAACTTATTATCATCAACTTGCATTATCTTTCATTAGTCTTACCGGTGTTGTATCATTGCACTACGATTGCTAATACAGTTATCAAACCGTTCTGGCGCGTTCCCAATGGTTATGCTGCCACAAATCTTTGGCCAAACTTCTGCAAGCAAATATTTCGAATTTGTGCAATTGAGGTTCCACGACTATTCGTATGTAGATAATTAATCATGTTTTATGTGGTTATTTTTATTCTGTGCTAATTGAAACACCCGCATAGTTACGTTGCCAAATAAGTAATTGCATCAAACTAGAGGAAGCCAATGTTCGGCATTGCCCATGATGCCCTTGTTTATCGAATTGTCGAGTTTATTTAACCAGGCGAGAACGCATGTGGCCAGGGTAGTCTCATATACAAGGGTGACCTGGGAATACATCATATGGCTTACCCTATTACATTAATTACTGTTGTATTACTGTGTCATTGGTTGGCGTCCGGTTCCATCAACTTGAGGTGTTTGGGAGTCGCACCAAGCTTTGTGCTTAATGCGGTGCTTTGTGTTTTTATACTTCCTGCTGTCCTCGCGCCTGTATAAACACTCTAGCGAGCTATTATTGTTTCTGACTTTTCATAAAGCTTCTCAAGCATCTACCCCCTCCTCACCCAACCCACACTGACCAGCCGTGACGAAGTTGGGGTCAATCGGCCGTCGTCAAGCAGTGGAATGACACAGGATTGGATTTCATTCTTTTATAATGGGTAATAGATTTGCATTACGTAACTCATTTCTGGGGCGGTTGTCTCTTTGCCGACATTCAGTAGACTGTCTCATTGCTAGGCAGCCACAGACGTATCCCATCAAACTGCATGAAAGCCATTGTTTGGTATTTTCGAGACTCTTTGTTCATATACAGTGGCATTGTTGCCACTTTTTTGTGTCCTTGCACGCGTAAAAGTTGCCCATTGTCGTTTCCATTTTTAAACGGCAGGGATAGGCAAATCAGGGGCAGGGGGTTCTGATTCTGGCCATCTTTGCACATCAGTCAGCAGATGCACGTGCAAGACACGGGGACGGATTTAAACATCTCCCCCCTGCGTGCACTCGGGACATTTTAATAAGAGCTCTGCTTTGGGTAAACTTATATTTTGATGAAGCTTGGCAGTCCAACCCTCGTGCCCATGAACTTGGTGGAAGCCGAGCTACCCCTGAAAACGAGATGCTTGCATCACTGGTTACGTTAACACAACTAAGCACATTGTAACAGAACGCCTTTTGTTCCGAGGGATGTCCACAAAAATGAAAGGCACATGCAGTACACTACAATAGTGACGATCGTAAAATGAAAGAACGCGCATGTCGCCGTGTGTCCAAAATAATTCGGGTACATGCACGAGTGATTGGTACATAAAACATTGACGATGATGCAAGTGAAGTATGCCTTGCATCGAACATAATTCGGTGCTCTATGTAATCTAATCGCCCGAAGATAAAAGTGAGAAATGTTATCGTGCCAAAGCAAGGCTTTATACTGTGACTTTGGTTTCAGCATTGCTGTGAATGAACGTAGTCAATACTATAATTGAGATCGTTACTGCAACACTTCAATTGAGATTGCCAGCTGTAAAAAAACAAACACGTCTCTTACTGCTGAGCAATGCGCTTTAGTAAAGTGCATTGTTAACATTTAGTCCGCACATGTCCATTGTCTTGAGTGTATTTTTGCTTCCATTGTATGATACTTGCTTATTTGGTAAGGCGAGTACAGTATTGGGTGTTTGTTTGTAAACACATTGCAGTTTAATTCTGCAACTTGTTTCCAATCAGCGAGGAGTGTGCATCACGTGCGCGTTTGTGCCTTTTTGAGCAAAATGGGAGCATTTAATTTAGGCCACATGGGGTTTAGGAGCTTTGGGAGGAGTGAGTAATTTATTCACTTCGTGGCCACCGCTTTGCAATGATTCATTAAGCATATGGGCTATGAGGAATGCACTTTTGTCGCGCGTCTCGTCAACAGCAAACGGGAGAGCAATCTTAAAAGGACAAACGACGTAGTTGTTGTAGCATATGCCCCCACATCGCAGAGCGTGCGCCCTCCAGTGTTATCTAAATGTGCCGAGCTCGTGGAGTGAACGCTAGCAACAGGAACACACTGTCCTGTGCTGTCTGTGCCCCCTCCTCCCCCGTGCCGCACGTCCTCCTCCTCCCCCCAGCTCGTTTAGACTGAAATAACCTTGATGGGGCTGCACAAGTGGCCCTCAGGAAAATGCATTCGTTGGTTATTGCACCGATGCTTTGTGTGTGTGGTTTTTTTAAGTTGTCCCATTTTTGTGACGTTTCGGAGTTGCAAGCCGCGCTCTGTTGTGTTAGAAGGCGCGTGATGGGGGTCCTCCATGCAAACGACGTTGTCCACTCTTTTTTTTGTGTCTTATTTTAGTTCTGTTCCGTGAAATCGTTTGCACAACGTGTCCTGTCATAATTTAGAAACTGCAGAGAACTGCAATCCCTCTGCACCATTTCCTAAAGAGCTTGGGTTTTTTAAAAAAAAAATGTTTTTATTTAAAACAGCGCTTTACTGTTGTGCATGCTTGAGAGTTGCACAAGGCTACAACTTTGTTGTACAGTACAGTGGTACTTGGTTGCTGCTGTTACTAATTAAGAGTGTATGTTGCATTCTGTGCAATGCAGTGACGGAATATTTATGTCGCGGCCATTCTCAATGTCCTTTTGTGCTTGCCGGGAACACTTCAAGTGCACATTGATTTTACGCATTTGTGGATCAAGATGCATGAACCTGCATCGGACCTTTATTGACTTAATACACAGGTCCCTCTTGACTTGGCATCAAAGTGTAACTATCTTATCAAATTTGCCCTAAGTGGCTTAAAGCAGAGCGTTGCCTCGACCTCTCTTTAGCATTGTTTGCATAATGAGTAGCACAGCTAGCTCGTGATGTAATACAGTACAATTATTGACCTTCCTCGGCTTGTATTTGTAAAGCGTTTCACGATATTTATCAAGTCAACTCTTAAGAGTGTACCTAGAGGTTTCAGAAAAAAAATATCCCACCACCTTTGTTATTTAGTAATCTGAGGAGTTTCAAATGTTAAATAATTGAGCCATATTTGGAAAGAGCTCATCAGCATCAACTGCATTTAACAGGAAACTTGACCAACTTCGCGCAAACTCAACATTCTAACATCCTTTTTTTTGTAAATTCTCATCTGCTGGAGTAATTCTTCCTTTGTTGGAAACCACCTGCTCTTGCCTTTTGTAGCTGCAGTTTTCACTTCCACGTGCACTCCGATTTCATCAGTGCTTCTCGCCCACATTCCACATCCCTTTTGCGCACGTTACCTCGCAAGGCTGCTGGTGTGTCCACTGGTTTTGTTCATAAGTTGCCATGCTTTCCAGAATCTTACACTGCCAAAGGCTATATTTTTTTTTAAATGAAAGGCTTGTCCTCCAATCCACGTTGTGACTGTTAGCTCGTTGCCATAACCATAGAATCCAAACACCCCTTGTCATTTTGTTGCGAGTGAACTTCGTTGAAATCTTTCTAAACTGCTGCCACACTTTACCACATTTATCATGTTATACATTTTTCAGTGCAGCAAGGGGCACCGATATTAATAGTCTTACATGTACACTGACATTTTGAGTACGATTAATCATACGCTTATTTGTTCCTTAATATTGGCTTCTGTTAAGCTGTCTGAAGAGATTTTTGCTTGGCGATTGATTTTCTCATTGCTCGTGGTTTTTATTTTAATTCCAAAATCAATTAAATGGTTGGAGATGCTCTTAGACTAATGACTTGAAAGTTTCCCTAGAATTAGTAAATTCCCCAGCTCACGTCAATTGTTTTCTACCACTCTCATTAAATTAGTCGTTGCAGCACCTCTTGTGTATAGATATACAGCAAGGTGTATACAGTATTGAGAGCGTGATATATAAAACACTGCTAATTTGTCATTGACATCACAACGCAGACAACTTAGCCATGCAGCTGACAGAGCTTGCCGAGATGAGATAAGTGCTGGGTGGTGCAAATGTTCAAGTTAACTTGCTCCAGAGCTTAAGCCACTTAACTAGAGTTTGTGCCCTTGTTTAATACAAATATCACAACTTGGTTACTCAATCGTGGCAACATGTTTTAATTGTATTGAACAAGCTGGAGGACAGGAAGGATGCAAGTGAAAAAAGTGTTTTCTCCGGTGCCATTGGGGGCGCGCGTGACGACCGAGCCTGCTGTGGTTGCTTTGCCGTGGCAGCTCATCGCTCGACACCAAGACGGGCATGAAGGTGGCCGTGAAGAAGCTCTCGCGGCCTTTCCAGTCTGTCATCCACGCCAAGCGGACGTACCGCGAGCTGCGACTGCTCAAGCACATGAAGCATGAGAACGTGAGCCTTGCTTGCCCGAGAGACGACGCGGCAGCCAAGTGGTGATGGCGTTAACGTCGAGGGGGGCGTACGAGGAGCACGCCAAATAGTGGCGCGGACCTCAGTGAAAGTTGTATTTATTAATATTACTATTTCCAAATGACTCAATGCTATGGATTTTGCCGGTTCGTTGTTTCCAGGTCCCCTTGGGTGTGGCGTGCCCAAGTCAGGTATAATATGTCCAGAGTGACCCAGCCCTTCCATTGGATATTTGGATTCCATTATACTGTGCCTTAAATTGTGTTACTTTGAAAGGCTTTAGATAATATATTTATTTCTATAATACATTCGTTGGTGATTGCTTTGTATATATATATTGCACGTTTTATTTCTTTGCAGATGGGAATGCAGGGTTTCGGTAAAAAGCTTGCTTTTTACATGAGATTCTGTGCAAACATTTAAAGAATGTAATGGTTACAAAATATACACACTTTCACTCATTGCTTTTTGACAAAATTATATTGCGTTCGTTATATTTTTGGAAAAAAAATATTGCGTTCATCATATTATGTAACTGCTAGATTTCATCAATATCGGTCTGCTATGCTTTGCTTTTATATTCACGCAAAGTGCAGTTTCCTTGCAAGCAAACCACAAGTAATGCTGCATTGCTATGAGATGTCCTCAGGGCACCTTGATTTGACATTTAGCGCTCAGGCGTGTCAATTATCCAAGCGTCAATCTAGAGACGGCTTATCTACCCTGTCCGTTATTGTTATTCTACAGCCAGACGCTCCTCGAGGATTGCGTTGCACAAGGGACGTGTAGTGCGGGATATGCATGTGTGCCCTATCAAAACAAAACGCCTTCGCTCTGGGCTTCGCTGTAGAATGCGTCGCGTAACAGCACTTCCGTGCTGGTTTGCATGGATATGCAATGCACGATTAGAATATATATCCTTGGATGCTCTGGTGCTTGATGAAGGTTCCCTGGTGCTCATGTCAAAGGGTAAGGGTGCGGCGGCGGTGGTAAAAACGTGTTTATGTTGCGGATGAAAGAACCGTGCCTTGCCTGTCTGCCATTTGGAGTTGTGCTCGTGTGGCAGTAGTGATGCTGCTTTTTTATTTTCCTGCAGGTCATTGGTCTAATGGATGTGTTCACCCCAAACTCGTCGCTGGAGGAATTTGACGATCTGTAAGTGGATGCGAGAGCGAGGGCCGTGACGATTGTAACAAGGCGTTGCGTGAATGTCGCCCCTGCTGACATGCAATAAACTCATCGCTGATCAATTGTCCCACCTTGACGTCACACCGTTGGAGCCTGAAAACATTAGAAAGCATTTTTCGGTCGTCATTAGGTGTGTCGGTTTGCATTAATGCAAACCGACACACCTGATGACGACCGTTTGTGTTATGGTCGAAACATCGTGATAATTTTTATTGTTTTATATATATTTTATTATTTTATTGTTTCCCTTCAACGTGACTTTACCGAAAGAGCTAAGAATATGAAATACTGCAGTCACGAAAGCTTTAAATAAAAAATTAGAAAGCATTGTTTACCCGTGGACGTTCGCTTTTTTTGCTACAGACAGCTGTGTTTTGGCTTCTGAGCTACAGTTCATGATGATTTCCCTGTATATCTGCTCTGGAGATGTTTGAAACTCAAAGATATAGTGCTTATTTTCCATGATGTTTTGCAACATAAATAATATTGGCCATAGTATATGTTTATATGTGTTGCTCTATATTCCTTCCTGAAAGATTGTTATCCTAAGAATCTGTAGGTTTGTAAGCTACTTTTAACGTGCGGTCATGTAGAAGAAATTATAAGCAGCTCATTCTTGCGTAGCTAGATTGCAGCTATGCTTGAGCAGGCTGCTCCAGACCACAACTGTTTGTTTAAATGAGCGGATATGAGTAATGAGCTCTGGTGCTTACTGTAAGCAGCCCGCTGTCTTCCATGCTGAGATTCAGACCTTTGCACAAATGTATGTTCTGAGGATGTTCGACTTGGTAATATTCACCTGCATTTGATTTGTTTTATTTAGGCATTTTCAGAATGAGATTTTAGTAAATTGCATGAATTAGCTTCTATCACGTTGAATCAACTGCAACATAATGATCTTCAGTCTTTGGACGGTCCAGGTCATATTAACGTTCACTTGACAAATCTAATTTGTATCACATTCAATCCAGCACTGCCATCATCATCATCCGTAGATAAATGTAATATCTCCCGAGTTCTTTACATTAACTGGGTAATTTTATCTTCGTTTTACTTATTTTGTTTCCCAGGCCACCTATTCTTAATCAGTAATTCTCAAATGTTTTGTCTAGCTTAGTACTTCAAACCTTGTTTTTGTCTGCCCCACATAATCAGTTGCTTATTCACGCATGCAGCACCTGTCCCAGTTTTTCGCTGGAAGTGGGTGTGTGCCATCCCTGGCCAGCATGCGTGTTGGCACGTCCCATTTAATGATAGGGGACGCACTGTGTGCCAGAATCCGTAACGTGGCTTCATGGCACGTTCCGTCCTGTGAGGGCTCTACTTTGCCCGTCTCGGTTAACAGCGTGCGTCTATAAGTGTGTTCCAGTCAACGAAATTACCGAAGTCTTTCCAAGCCCCTGTTCAAATGGCCCGCTGATCATTACTTACTTGCGCATCTCTGTCAGTCAGCCTTCAGCCACTTTCTGCATGTTATTTACGTTAGGTCTCAATCTATGACCCTTTTGTCCCCATCGCAGATGCTCAGTTGGTCCCATTTTAAGACATTCAGCACAGCAAAACTGTAGCAAATTTATCACAAACATGGTATTTGTTGTGCTGTCATACTAAACAAACCCAAAAAACAGGATCGGTGCAGCTGTCCAAGAATTTTACAACCTCTAAGAATGTGCAAGTTGGTCAGAACACTCGGTAGAGATAAACATGATGTGAATGGCAGCACATGTGTCAATATGATATCAGCGTCAAAACTGCTGCTAAAAAAATTGTCTAGATCAGAAACTGGAAACTGACAGTGCATTCAAATGGAAAGATGAAATTTCCAACTTTACATCAATTTAAATTATAAAAACGGTTAAATTGAATAACATAACTTTTAAGCCTCACGCTTTTAAATAATATCAAATGTGGTGTGTAAACACCGGCACTGGTGGGAATAAAGTGGTCTGGCGTGGTCAGCACCACGCCACTCTTGTCTTGTAACATTCCAGCCTGAACAGGTGCTGGCTTTTACAGTATTTACGGTTAGCAGTCATCGATTAAAAAGCTTGGGGGATAATTGCTTCTTTTATGCGTGCATTATGTAGGTATCTTGTGACAGATCTGATGGGCGCTGACCTCAACAACATCGTGAAATGTCAGAAACTTACAGATGACCACGTGCAGTTCCTGGTTTATCAGATCCTTCGTGGGCTCAAGGTGCGTTTGCAATTACTCACAGGCTCCTCAGTTTAAAATGCCATTACGCTGTTACTTAACAGCTTGTCCTGATGATCTAGCCCCACTCAGGAAGGTTTACTCTTAATGCTGTCAATGTTATGATGTCTCTTTCATGGCAGTTTCAGATTTCTCCTGATTGTATTGCACTTCGCAGACCATGCCACATTTTTATCTTTGACATTTATCTTTTGATCGGCTCATTTAAAGGATATGCGTCTGATTAAATGTTGATACCCCTGGATGTGCCAAAACTTCATTTATCTACCAGAAACCCCCCACGATGTGTAAGCACTTTTTTTGTTAAACACACGAGCACATTATAGGCTGCACACATTAAGTAGACGCAAAGATCATGTTTTGGAAAATGTGTTTGAGATAAGCTGCACGCTTGGAGTTTGTTAATGCTCATGCTCGTTCCAATACAAAGCTGTTCTCCACGTGCCACTGTTAAAATGCATGCTTTCAGAGTGCAGTCGGCTGTGAAGCTCATTGCACGTTATCTCACGTGCATCAGTTGAGATTCACATGTTCGGGCGCAGTGCAAAAGAATCGCTCTAAAGTTACAACACTGGACTAGTACTCTCGACAGAAAGGGTTCCATAGGCTAACTGCCTCGGTGAGATTGTAACAATGCATAAGGATCTTGAAAACATTAAGGAACTTAACATTGTAATTTATTTCCCATTATTGTTGTGGCTATTGTTTTAATAACATTTGTATTGTTCTTTTGTAATCCCCTGTGCAGTACATTCACTCAGCTGGGATCATTCACAGGGTAAATCTTTTATTTATTGCCTCTTTGTAATTTTTTATATGATTGTATTTTAAAAGATGATTGTATTGAACTTTTTGTGGGTTAGTCTTGCTGATGCGCAGTATTCTCAATTTATTATTTTTCAGGACCTGAAACCCAGCAATTTGGCAGTGAATGAAGACTGCGAGCTAAAAGTATGATTACTTCTGATGCACATAGTCCTGCAGAGTAGGTGGAAGGCTTGTGTTTTTGAAGGCCTCAACCTTACTACAGCAACCTTATGCATATATAGACAAATGTGTTTTTTTTCCCCCCCAACCATATAATATAGAAATACCACAACCAATTAGTCTCTTTTCTTGTCACAATGAAGGCTGCAGTGTATATCTCTGTTTTTTATTTATTAACATGCATGTCTTTAAAACTAGAATAATTATGCTGAGACATGGAAACATGCTCGTGGCTGTATAAACAGCCTGTGCATTAATGTATGTAGCTGTTAATGAGCAATTAGTGTGAAGTAGACTATACAAAAGCTCACCGCAAACAACCTAATCATACTCAGCCAGCCAAACTGTAACTGCACTTAATTATATATCCATTCAAACGTTGCGGATTTGCAGAAAATACACGCACATGTCTCATTATAAAAGCCCCAAACCCTATCATGAAAATTAGATACGTGTAAAAAAAACAGTCTATACTTTACTGCTGTTCTCAAGGTTGAACTCATGACAAATATAAAATTATTTTTACAGCTTCGCATTGCTAAAGCGCATGTGCCACGTTTCCGTTTGAGATTGCAGTAATTCTGCATTTTGCGGAATTTACAGGTCAATAACCCCTTAAACCGTTGCAAGGGCTCAATGTCTGCACACCATTTTCACCCTCCACTCCGTACCCTTAACAGATCCTTGACTTTGGGCTGGCGCGGCACGCGGACGACGAAATGACGGGCTACGTCGCTACCCGCTGGTACCGTGCACCCGAGATCATGCTCAATTGGATGCACTACAACCAGACAGGTGAACGATGAGATAGCTCGGACACCCACGCTCTTTGTGAACATGCAGCTCACTTGCCTCGAAATACCAGTAATTTCACAATGGGCTTTCTTCCTGTTTGAAAATTGTTTTATAATTTGGCATTTAAAATCACACTATAATCTGTTCAATGTATTGTTTCACAATGCAGTTTTGGGGGAAATATGGTTAATTTGTAACTGCATTATTTACAAACAAATTCATGCATGCTTTCATTTGTAAGTATATTTGACGATCTTGATGTTACTAATGTGGTACATTTCTGATGGCATAATAATTAACGTCCGTGTGACCCAATGGCAAACTTACAGTTGTGCTTTAAAGAAGATGAAGTTTATACTCATGCTAGGTGTGGTTGGGAGCTTAAGAAGCTAAATTTTCTTCCTGATCGAGTACTGAACCAGCACCGCTGGGGATCCTGTACTTGAATCTCACGCATCCTATAATTGAATTTCACGCTCCAAACTATTATTAAACATGTCTCTTTTGTTACTGCCTGTGTTGTGTTTGGGACATACAGTGACGGAAAAAAAGTATTTGATCTCCTGCTGATTTTGTAGGTTTGCCCACTGACATAGAAATGATCAGTCTATAATTTTAATGGTAGGTTTATTTGAACAGTGAGAGACAGAATAACAACAAAAAAAATCCAGAAAAACGCATGTCAAAAATGTTATAAGTTGAGTTGCATTTTAATAAGGGAAATAAGTACTTGACCCCCTCTCAATCAGAGATTTCTGGCTCCCAGGTGTCGGTAATGAGCTGAGATTAGGAGCACACTCTTAAAGGGAGTGCTCCTAATCTCATCTTGTTACCTGTATAAAAGACACCTGTCCACAGAAGCAATCAATCAATCAGATTCCAAACTCTCCACCATGGCCAAGACCAAAGAGCTCTCCAAGGATGTTAGGGACAAGATTGTAGACCTACACAAGGCTGGAATGGGATACAAGACCATTGCCAAGCAGCTTGGTGAGAAGGTGACAACAGTTGGTGCGATTATTCACAAATGGAAGAAACACAAAAGAACTATCAATCTCCCTCGGCCTCCATGCAAGATCTCACCTCGTGGAGTTGCAATGATCATGAGAACGGTGAGGAATCAGCCCAGAACTACACGGGAGGATCTTGTCAATGATCTCAAGGCAGCTGGGACCATAGTCACCAAGAAAACAATTGGTAACACACTACACCGTGAAGGACTGAAATCCTGCAGCGCCCGCAAGGTTCCCCTGCTCAAGAAAGCACATATACATGCCCGTCTGAAGTTTGCCAATGAACATCTGAATGATTCAGAGGACAACTGGGTGAAAGTGTTGTGGTCAGATGAGACCAAAATGGAGCTCTTTGGCATCAACTCAACTCGCCGTGTTTGGAGGAAGAGGAATGCTGCCTATGACCCCAAGAACACCATCCCCACCGTCAAACATGGAGGTGGAAACATGCTTTGGGGGTGTTTTTCTGCTAAGGGGACAGGACAACTTCACCGCATCAAAGGGACGATGGACGGGGCCATGTACCGTGAAATCTTGGGTGAGAACCTCCTTCCCTCATGAGAACCTCCTTCCAGCATGACAATGACCCAAAACACACGGCCAAGGCAACAAAGGAGTGGCTCAAGAAGAAGCACATTAAGGTCCTGGAGTAGCCTAGCCAGTCTCCAGACCTTAATCCCATAGAAAATCTGTGGAGGGAGCTGAAGGTTCGAGTTGCCAAACATCACCCTCGAAACCTTAATGACTTGGAGAAGATCTGCAAAGAGGAGTGAGACAAAATCCCTCCTGAGATGTGTGCAAACCTGGTGGCCAACTACAAGAAACGTCTGACCTCTGATTGCCAACAAGGGTTTTTCCACCAAGTACTAAGTCATGTTTTGCAGAGGGGTCAAATACTTATTTCCCTCATTAAATGCAAATCAATTTATAACATTTTTGACATGCGTTTTTCTGGATGTTTTTGTTGTTATTCTGTCTTTCACTGTTCAAATAAACCTACCATTGAAATTATAGACTGATCATTTCTTTGTCAGTGGGCAAATGTACAAAATCAGCAGGGGATCAAATACGTTTTTCCCTCACTGTACAGGACTATCAGAATATTATGAATTAAGTTTATGAACATGTTATCCTCATCCAACATGCCAACGGTTGTTAAATGCTTATATTTGCTCTGTTCCAGTCGACATTTGGTCTGTGGGCTGCATCATGGCTGAATTATTGACGGGAAGGACGCTGTTCCCTGGCACAGATCGTATCCTTTCTGGTGATTGGTGACGGCTTAAATTTTAAACACATTCATCTACGCTGGTAAGGTATGGGTGTTTTATGTCGGTAGAGCTTTTCAATAGGAAATTTCTACTGAAGGTAACTGAAATGGACATTTATTACGTAAAATAAGGATTTCAGTTATTACTGAAATTCTAACAGCATTGAAACGTTTTTTTTACGTTCTTTGGTATGTTGTGAACTTGATTTTTGCATGTACAACCTTGAGAGCGTTGCTAACATAGCAACTGTTTTACATGTTTTATTCTTGTGTAATTTTCATTATTGTATTTTGGGCTGTGATACGCATGCTAGCATATTCTTGTGAATGGTGATGACACCACGTGCAATTTATGCAGCACGTTAAAGCAGATGGTATCGTTATGGTGATTTCCAAGAACATATCTGGCTAGTTGTAAGCATTGAACCACAGAATATGCAGCTATGTAGCACTGGTCGTATCGTTTGTTTTTGAGCCATAGGCATTGTCATTGTGCATACTTTCCACATAACTTCCTGTGGCTCACTCTTTTTTTGGATTCTAATTCAAACGGGTGGAACTATTGCCAAGGGAGAAAATTACCCTTAAACCCTTTGCAATTGGCACCATGACTCATCCCTATGTCTTGGAGGGGAATAACTGAACATGACTCACATAGTCATCCTACTGAGCCACTGTGGAGATGGGGGTCATTGGACAGTCTTGAAAAAGTGAATATGAAACTTTTGGAATTCTTTGGGTAGCCTTACTTTTTGAGCACAACTTGTCTGGGAAGGTCACGAGTGATGTCCGGCATTGGTTTTTGTTGTTAACTATTCCTCTTAACATAGTGCACATTCATCCATTAGTCTTGTGAGACACGTGCTTGATGAAAGGTTTTGTAACAGTCATAACTTTCCAGCAGTATGCCTTGCCCAGTTGAGGTTAGAAATGTGTAACCAATCAAATTTCTTTCGGCATTTATTTCATATTTGTGGTTGTGATGGAAAAAAAGCAAGCGAGGGTGGAGGGTGGTGAGGCTTGGGCGTAGGTCATGTTGCAAAATGTGACCGGGAGGCATTCATTGAACAGAAAATGAACAGAGAACACTATTCGAGAAAGATGATGCTGTCTTGTTTTTTTCTTTCTATACTGAATGATTAACAGTTTTTCATTTAACTTTCCCCACTGGAAAGAGCCAATATTTTATTACCAACCTAAACAGTAGTGGTTTTTACTTGTGCATGTATTTCCCTGCGTGAATGTTTATGATTGTATTTCACTGGGAACCTTCATAGTTTACAGTACATGAATGCTGGTGATGGAAATTAAAACAGTCTTGTAAATTTAAGGGATTTATCAACAACACATTGTAGAAAATGGCAAAAGTTATATTCGTGAATTAATTCTTGATGATTTATTATTGCAATTTATAGACCTGTGAATATTTGAGTGTTATCTCTTTGCACGTGTGGAATATGTGCTGCTGCTGTTTACTTCCACAAGCAACAAAATCCCCAACAGGGAGTTTACCACACCTTTTAAAAATAATCTTGAAACCTCCTGAGCAGTTCGTGTTTAAACAAAAAGTAAAAAAAAAATTGTAACAATAATACCAGTGTGTAATAATAGCATATAAGTCATTGCAAGTGTGAGTTGGTGGTGGAAATAATGCGGCTGAATTCTATGTAGGTCACCGGTCATTTTCAATTTCATCTCGTTATGAAGAGCTAGAACGGATCGAGGGGTGATGATGCTTGACATGCCGCATAGTGCCGGAATGCTGTGTTGATGTGTTTTATTGCATGAATGGGTTTGAATTTGTGAGGTTGGTGTCTCCAATGTGCAATGTCATTGTGACCCAATTTTTCACGGCGTTCCATGCCCTGCTGTATTGTGTTCGCCAGAGGGAGAGCATTTAGTAGCTACAGGAATCGTTATTAAAAAATAATTATCTTTTTCATATGAGATTACATCATCCATGATTCAACCACTGCTGGATGAAGGTCTACCGAGGTTATTGCCCTTCTTTCATGGTTCTGCGATGCCACAATCTATTTAGCTGATCTTATCGATTCATCTCCACGGTGGTAATCCTCTTGAGCATTCCTTCGTTAGGCTGCCATTCATTCACCAGTTTTGTCCATCTGCTGTCATCCCACTTAGCAATATATTCTTATCAAACTCCATTTTCATAACAGTCAATATGATCTGTCTAATTTGCGTTTTTGATCTACGAGCTACGTGTTTCTTGTTATGTCTCTTGGTGTAATTTCCAGCATGCATCTCTCCATGCTACTTCATACACTTTTCAGGTTTTGTCCTATGTTCAGACTCGACGTTTCTATTCGCAGATAATATTCATTGATGGAAAAAACGTTTTCTTTAACCACATTGGCATATTGCTTTTCATTATAACATATTTTTTTTCAAAAGCACTCGATCCTGATCTCGCTGGCCTCTTTATTTTATTATCTCTATATCAGTCTGCCTTCAATATATTGTAAATCTCTACTTTGCTTACTTTAGAAAAGACCATGTGCTTTGGTAAACGTTCGTAAAAATTACCAGGAATCAACCTGTGCTGTAAAAAAATGTGCAGCTATGAAAATGCTGACCTCTGGGGCACGTGAATTGCTTCATCTGTGTTCAAACCTTAGCCTGTGGAGTGGTGTTCCTTGTAAGTGTGCTAAAAAGAGCAACTTAGACGACAAGTAAAATCCTTGTCGTGTCTTTGTTGGGAGTTGCATCATCGTCAGTCAAGCCGGGTTACAGTGGCACACATCTTTAATCTAGAACTTTGGAGGAAAACAAGTTGGGGGGGGGGAAACTAAAATCATGCATACTTGTGGATTATGTTGCTTTCCAATGTGCGTTTGTTATCATATTTAAAAAGCAGTACAAAGCTGATGATTTTGTTGGTGTTTCCAAGTTTTAGGCAACTCTTGGATCAATTTGGCAATTTTTATAGAGGGCAAATTCTTAATAATGACACTACATTCTACTTACATTTTGTTTATTTTGGATTATCTTTAAGAGTTATCGTGCCCCACCCCCCCGACCCCTTTTGCAGATGGACAAACGGGGCTAACTCATAAAGCGTTTAACCTTAGTTGGAAATAATTATGAAGGGTTTGTAGATCACATAAATAATGGTACAACAAGGGGTTGGGTGTTGTTCTCTATTATTTGTTTCTCCAAGCACTCCAGTTTCCTCCAGCGTGAAAAGCACAATCTTAAAAAAAAACTTCACAAAACATCCCAATGCACGACCCTCTTGACAGAGTCTTGATATTTAGCATGGAGTTCCTGGATTAAAACATTTTAAATGTAAAGAGGTAAAAGTGCGCTGCTGTCAGCTGAGTGACCTCTGGTGGCGGAGCGCATATTGTTCTGCAATGGGAATCACTCGTGCGATTTGGCACGTGTAAGTGGCAAAAGAACAAAACAACTGGAGGATTCGTAGCAGCTGGAGGAAGACTCCAGGCAGGGCTCTCTCCCGAGTCTTCCTTCACGCTGCTCAACCCACACTAGACATCGATCAGCTCAAGCTCATTATGCAGCTGGTCGGCACTCCATCCCCGGAGCTGATGCAGAAAATCTCGTCCGAGTCTGTGAGTGGGCCTTTTCTGGTAGCATCGGGCATCCGTTTGAATAGTTTCTTGCTGCGGATGTATTGATGTTGAGAACAAAAAATCAATCCAGGGTGTCACGTTTCCTGGTCTATTAGCATTTGCTAGCTGCTTTTTGGTAAGCTTGTTATGTTAAGCAAGCAGCCCTAAGTACATGTGTCTGTTAGAATAACGCTGCTTGTCGCCTTATAATACAAGCAGTCTTATTCTTGCAGATACACTAAGTATAGGTGTCCACAGGTACAACACGACTTGTGCTAAAATGCAAATATCTTTGACCTGCTTGTATCTAGATAATACAAGTGGATAGGCAGACATGCCAACAGAGGCCCACCGTGGTTGAGCAATGAATGGCACCGGGTCTGGCCGCCTTCCCGCTTGTCTGTGGTTTCCCGTGTCGCGGTGTGAAAACACTGTGCAACAATTTTTTTTGTTCCTGAGTAGTAAGTGTTATTTCCTAATTGCTTATGCCTCAAAAGTACAGAAAATTCCTATTATTCCCCACAAACTTTGCTTTTGTGACCAGGACAGTGATATTTTGAAATTTACCTATTTTCCAGAACATTCCAGATAGATCCAGTGCTAAGTAAACTTGGAGTAACTTCATAATAAAGGTTTTTGGGTTAGATCGCGTTATTTATAAATGTGTCGAAACCCTCCACCACCCGACATGGCCAATCAGCAAAATAAAGTGTCACTTTGACAAAAGACAATTAGTTCACTACTTTAGCCCACCGGTGTGGTGAAGAGTGAATCCACAACATTTACAGTTTGAATACGACGTTTCGCTGGTAATTACATCCAGCATCATCGGGCAATTCGCCAGAATGGTAAAATTCTCACTTGCTCTCGGTCTTAAATAGAGCAGCAGGGTGACGTCATCATTTAACTAATTTCAGGTGCAGTGAATTGAGGTGGAGGGGGGTATTGTAATTATATAATCGATTGGCAATCAGTCAATGGTTATGATTAGTAATGAGTTGTAGATTGGTAATTATTTGTAAGGTGTGTTGTTGTGATTATATGCAACATTAGTAATCCGTTTATTAATATGTGTTTCCCATATAAGGAATTGTAATATGTATTTAATAATATGCTTCCAAGCAGCACTAAGCCTATAGCTATCAGAACGATTAAAGTTATTTCTGTTTCTCTCAATTTCAGTGGATTCTCTAATTAGGCTTTGCCAGTAATAATTAGTTTTACACAACACTTTAACGTTATCAAAATCAATTGAGTGTCCTTGTTGACAAGCATGTTCTGCCACTGCCGACAGCTGTGTTTGAGATAATTTAACATTTCTTTGGTGTTCTTTTAGTCTTATGCTGATGTTACGTCCCGTCTGTCCAATATAGCATCTGCCACATAAACAATTAATCTGATATACACCTGTTGATAATTTAGGTAATTCTTCTTTCGTGCAAGATACTAGTTTTTGAATTTTGTGTACTGTACCAAATCGTACTGTAATGTTTTGCTTTTGCAAAACACGGGCTCATTTGTCAGTTACTCCCGAGATATATGGAATTTTAATTGTTTTAAGAATCTGATCACTTTCAGCAGTGTTGCTTTGCGATCGTGATTTGGCATTCAGTGCTCTGTTAATTTGAGTATTGTAGCCATTCTGTCGTAATGCTTCTTTAACGTGTTTGATCTCTCTCACTAGACTTGCACCATCTGACACTGTTTTAGCCCGATGCATGAGCGTCTTGATAAGAGAGGATTTCTGAGCTGGATGATGATGCGAATCTGCATTCAGATAGGCATCAGTGTGCGTTTGCTTTCTGTAAATGCTGTGTGTTATTTTACTGTTTATGCTATGTCCAAGCAAAATATCTAGGAACGGGAGTGTGTTATTCGCCTCCATTTCCATGGTGAACTGGATGGCCGGGTTTTGTGTATTGAGATGATTTAGAAAATCATTAAGTGTATTTTTACCGTGTGGCCAGACAACCAAAATGTCATCCACATATCTAAACCAAAAAGATGGCTTTAATGTGCTCAAGGCAAGTGCTCTTATTTCAAAGTTTTCCATGTACAGATTTGCTATAGCAGGAGATAAAGGAGAGCCCATTGCTGCTCCTTCCTTTTGTTTATAGAAATCCCCTCGCCATAAGAAGTAAGTGTTATTTAAACAATGGTCAGCAAGTTTCGGAATATCTTTTGGTAAACCTGTATTCTTTACTAGTGTATCAAGTAATTTAAGCGATTCGTTAATCCGATATATACAGAAGGTGTATATCGGATTGTTTATGTGGCAGATGCTATATTGGACAGACGGGACGTAACATCAGCATGAGACTAAAAGAACACCAAAGAAATATTAAATTATCTCAAACACAGCTGTCGGCAGTGGCAGAACATGCTTGTCAACAAGGACACTCAATTGATTTTGATACCGTTGAAGTGTTGTGTAAAACTAATTATTACTGACTAATTCGAGAATCCATTGAAATTGAGAGAAACAGAAATAACTTTAATAGTTCTGATAGCTACAGGCTTAGTGCGGCTTGGAAGCGTATTATTAAATAATACATATTACAATTCCTTATAGGGGAAACATTAATTAACGGATTACTAATGTAGCATATAATCACAATAACACACCTTACAAATAATTACCAATCTACAACTCGTTACTAATCATAACCATTGACTGATTGCCAATCGATTATATAATTACAATACCCCTCCTCCGCCTCAATTCACTGCACCTAAATTGAGTTAAATGATGACGTCACCCTGCTGCTCTATTTAAGACCGGGAGCAAGTGAGGGCTTTACCATTCTGGCGAATTGCCTGATGATGCTGTATGTAATTACCAGCGAAACGTCGTATTCAAACTGTAAATGTTGTGGATTCACTCTTCACCACACCGGTGGGCTAAAGTAGTGAACTAATTGTCGTTTGTCAACGTGACACTTTATTTTGCTGATTGGCCGTGTCGGGTGGTGGAGGGTCTCGACACATTTATAAATAACGCGATCTAACCCAAAAACCTTTATTATGAATAATATTGGTCGCGAAAGCCTACGTGTTAAATTGGAGTAACTTCCAGAACATTCTAGAACTTTCCAGTAATATAAATACAGGGGCCTTAAGCCCACTAGTTTAGTTCCAGCTGCCTAAGTGGATACATATCTGCATTTTTCTGAGATGGCATCAAGAGGCTGCAAGCTTCCGGCAGACACATTTTGCTTTGTCTGCGGCCAATTTATCAAGACGAGCGAAAAAGTACTCTGTGGAAGCATCTGCTAAGATGTATGAGGTGTACAAGGCATATTTCAGCATGCCTGTCGGGGATCAAGACAAACCCTGGGCACCTCATTTCACCTGCGAGCAATGCAAAATAACTCTGGAAGGTAAGATGGACAATTGTTGCTTGGAATTTTATGTTCTAAAATTTGTAAAAATTAAAAAAATTGTAAAAGTTTTTAATAAAAAAAATGTTTTAGAATTTTCAATGTTATTGAAAAAATATCATATATGAAAAATGTTGCGAGAATCTCTTACACATTAGTCATGGGTGAAATAAATGTATTTTTTAGGATGGTACAGAGGGGAAAAAAGCCATGAAGTTCGCTATCCCAAGAATTTTCAGGAACCCACTGACCACTCAGGCAACTGCTACTTCTACATGGTGGGCCCTTCCAAACCTCGGACTGGCAAGAATGCACCTGCTATCACGTATCCGGACCTTCATCCATCGCCCCGGTGCCACACTGCCATGAGCTCCCCGTACCCACTCCTCCGGAGAAAGAGCAGCTGTCTCTAGAAGAGAGCAGCAAGTCAGAGAGTGAGGAAGATGTAAATCCAGATGACAATTTCAGAGGTGGAGCTGAGAAGAGAAACCCATACTACCCCAACCAAAAAGACTTCAACGACTTGATCAGAGATCTTGGTCTCACCAAGTCCAATGCCGAGCTTTTGACGTCTAGGCTCAAGCAGTGGAACTTGTTGGATGAAAGTGTGCAAGTCACAGATCAGAGGAAGCGTCACCAACCTTTTTGCAGCTTCTTCACCCGTCAAGATGGGCTCTGCTTGTGCCACAATGTGACCAGTCTGTTCGAGGCAATCGGAATCACCTGTAACCAGAATGAGTGGTGCCTCTTCATTGACAGTTCATCCAGGAGCCTCAAAGCCGTGCTGCTCTATAATGGTAACAAGTACCCGTCTCTTCCCCTGGCTCACTCGGTGCACCTCAAAGAGGATTACAACACCATCAAGACATTGCTGGACGCCTTGAAGTATGATGAGTACGGCTGGGAGGTCATCCGAGACTTCAGAATGGTGGCATTACTGATGGGTCTCCAAGGGGGTTTTACCAAGTTTCCCTGCTATCTTTGCCTTTGGGACAGCAGGGACACCAAGGCGCACTACCACAGGTGGGACTGGCCACAGCGGACCGAGTTCTCTGTGGGGAGGAACAACGTCAAGTGGGAGCCACTAGTGGACCCCCGGAAGGTGTTGATGCCACCACTGCACATCAAATTGGGCCTTATGAAAAATTTGTCAGAGCTGTCGATAAGGAAGTCAGCAGCCTTCAAGTACCTTCAAGACTTCTTTGTCGGACCACAGATAAAGAAGATCCTGGAGTGCAATGAATTCCCCAAGAAACTCACTAGTAAGGAGAAAACGGCTTGGAACAGTTTTGTCGCAGTGGTTCGTGGCTTCCTGGGCAATCACAAGGTCAAACTATGTGGAGCTGGTTCAGACTGGTGAAGAACTACGGCACAATGGGCTGGAGGATGTCCCTCAAAGTCCATATCCTTGATGCTCATCTTGATCAATTCAAGGAGAACATAGGAGCGTACTCGGAGCAAGGCGAGCGCTTCCACCAGGATATGCTGGACTTTGAACGCCGCTATCAAGGACAGTATAAAGAGAACATGATGGGAAACTACATTTGGGGGCTGATTCGTGAAAGTTATTTACAGTATAATCGTAAATCTCGAAAAACGACTCGCTTCTAAATCTATTGTAGTCATTTTTGTATTACTTTAGTATAAATACATGTAAATTTTGATTCATGTGTTTTTTCTGACTTTATGTGAACGAAAAGACGTACATTTGCCCGTTTTCTCATTGAAAATAGGTAAATTTCAAAATATCACTGTCTTGGTCACAAAAGCAAAGTTTGTGGTGAATAGCAATTTTCTATACTTTTTCGGCATAAGCAATTGGGAAATAATACTACCCAAGAACAAAAAATGTGTTCCATAGTGAAATCTGTACACGTCACAAATTCTACACCGTTTTGAGATGCGATATTCACGAAGAAAGCTGGATAAAAATAAAAATATTGCAGACACATGTATGCAGATGCTTGCAAATATAAGATCGCTTGTCGTAAAGTCCTAATCATTGATATAATACAAGCACTCGTACTTGCTGACACCTACAGAGGTAGTGTATAATTTGATAAAGATATGTATTTGAGCTATGTCCTGTACATATATACGTATATATGCCATTCAATCAAAACACTTAAGTTATGGTTTCTGGTTCTTGTCCTGTTCGATGTTGATTCCGAGAAGATGCTGATTTGCATGTGAAAAATCCTTGTGTGCAAGCTTAACAGAATGGCTGTGTTGGACCTACGCATTCTTGCCGTGTTGAGAGTGTGCACATTTTGCATAGCCAATTTTCACTCTGTGAAAATGATCAATGATGTTTACTGGATGTTGCTATTTGTTTCTTCAACCAATCCCATTTTATGTTCTCTCGCACAATGATCAATCCATTTTGACTGCCACTCATTTCATATCACAGTGCTACATTTAGAAACAATGACCCCAGCATCCAGTTTTTCCAAACGTTCGCTGCTATAATGATTTCCAGTCAAAGATGCTTTTAAAGGCATTTTAACTTGACTGTTTTTTTTTGTATAGAACACCCTGCCTGGCTCCTTTTGTTCCATATATCTGCGTTGAAACGGAAGATCCATAACTTCTGCCGAGTTGGAGAGTGCACTGAATAGGCCAGGCACCTGTGCATCCTCGGTATTGTGACTGTGACTTACGTATTTTAGAGCAGCACCTGTGCGTCTGGCTCTTTTTTTTACCACGTGGTTTAATTAATCTGTAATTTAAACCACTACGCATCGAATCGTTCATAATCTCCACCGATGCTGCCGTGTGTGTCACTTGCTTTTATGGCTCCTTAACACTCCCCCCCCCTTCCCCTCCACGCGTGGCCTAGACATTAACCAGCTGGTAAAAATCCTGCAGCTCACGGGCACACCACCCCAGTATCTGATTGACCGCATGCAGAGCAAAGAGGTGAGGATGTCCCCCTACTGTCCAACATGAGCACCGGCGCCTTCGGGAAGAATAATAATATGGCAGTGGCTGTTTTGACGCTCTCATCTGCGTCTAGACAAGCAGGTGAAGTGCTATGCTGTCCATGTCATTTAAACCTTTCATTTGATGAATTATTGATATGCTGGCTACCACCAATGGCCATATCTCCCAGAGAGCTAATCTCTTGTCAGATTTCGGAAGCTCGGGTAGAGGGCCAGATCGTGCTTTGGATTTGTGACCCCATTGCACACAACAGTCGGCAGGGCTACGTTGTGGGCAGCATAGGGCAGTTCGGCAAAACCCATTATCCTGTACTAAACCTCCACATTTATGCTGCCCACCTTCACTAACCCGTACTGACAGCGGGATGAAGTACTGATCAATTAACCCCATCGACCGGCATTGCGTGAGGCCCTCATCCAGCAGTGGACTGAGAACATATCTATGTATGTAATACCTGCTACACGCTTCCGTTCTGAGCAGAGCTAGCTTTTAGCATTAGTGGCAAGTGGTGTTTTACTTAGGATTAAATATTTCTCCCATGTTTTACTCTCATGCTCTTTGCCAATTATATTAAAACGGATGTTGATGTAGCCATAAGTCTTAATTTACAGCTTGCTCTCATGGAATCAAAATATTGTGGTTGATGACACAAATCAAAGCGCTAAAATCATTACTTAAGATTAACATGCCTTGCACTTGCATGACAACTAACATATGCATATTCCCATTCCTTGCTCTTTCGTTTGCCCCCCCCCCCTCTTGATGTGAATTTCTGCTTGAGGGAGCCATTTGTCTTTTTATTGTTTCAGGCCAGAAACTACATCCAGTCTTTGCCTTACACGCAAAAAAGAGACTTCAAGGATGTGTTCCTGGGAGCCAACCCACTCGGTGGGTATTCGCCAATAATCCTGGGGAAGCAAACTTAATTAACGAGACCACATGTTCTTCAGTAATTGGCTTATTCAGCTACTAGAGAAAGGGTTCATCAACTGCATTGTCTGGCAGGTCACGTTGTAAAATTGGAATGTTGTGCTGTGAGGACCATGTGACGTTCTTCCGTCAGAAACATGTGTTTAGAGTATTTGGTTGCTATACATTTCCACGTGACAAGCCACTTTAATGAACTATCATTTGTGGCCAGGTCACTTCTGAAAAAGAGCTATATAGCTCAGTGTGCCCTTGGTAAAATAATAAATAGTTTATAGTTGTATAACATCTGTGTGAGCTCACTAATCTTGAACTCTCGTCTCCAGGTCTCATGTTTTGTAGGTCTCTCCTTCGTCTCACACATATTGATAGTGTTAATGGTGGTAATGTTATTGCTACTAACTGCTGATGAAGTTCAAGACTTTGCGAATGTAATTACATGATTCTTGAGGTAGCGTTATATCACAGCGCCGAGTTGGGACTGCTAAGGTCCTGAGTTAGAATTGAGATAGCCGCCCGCAATTTAAATGGGTTCTAAAGTCTTGCAAGTTTATGGTTTCGCCCCAGTCACCTATGATAACATGAACAACTATATCGGTTTATCTTGCAATAAACATCGAAGTCATATGGCAGAGCACGTGGTGAAATGCCGCCCTTTACTGTTGAACAGGTCACCTTTGAAATCTGCTTCTGTGGACCTTCCCAAATGCAAACGTTTGCACTCCCCTGCAAGAGATCCGAATGGATACTTTGTCTCTGACATAATGACATTAGGACTAATAGGGCTAAAATTGGAGTAACATGACATGCATTGTAGGATGTATTTCTACAATGCATGCATCAAAGTTAGTGTGCAAATATGAATGCTTTCCGATTCATATTTTGGTTTTCCAAATTATACCACGATACATTACGTAGATTCATAACAGCATTACGACAATTTTATTTATGAAGCATCTAAATACAACCATTCATTAAGATGCTGATTTGAGATAAACGTTGAAATACGGTGCAGCTGAGCCAGGGTAAAAGAAGAGTGGCCTGCACCACTGCGTTGCCCCGAGTTGAGTCCAAAGCAGGCGCCAGGAGTTGGGGATCACCCAGGAGTAATCCGTTGAGTGCTGGTGCTGACGGAGTCCGGAAGGGACAATTAAACAGTTGATCCAGAGCAGTAAATTGAAGGCATTGGGCATGTAAATGCGCATCGCTTAATGGATTTAAATGTATTCTTGGACTCGATACTTGCCAAGCATATGGAAATCAATTCATGATTCGATTCATCTAAACCCTGCAGCCACTAGAGGCAGTAAATTCCCCACAATGGCAAAACAAATATTAATCATATTGTGCCCCCAAACTGTGACTATTGGGGGGAGTTAATCTCTGCATGTATTCACAGAGATTCACCCCCTTTGATTCAATAAGCGTTCAGTTTGTCTCCATTTCATTATCAATACTTTTTACAATGTTTGTATTACCTTCTCCATTGTACAGTTTTGTTCACTTAATTATCATAAATGTAACATTACAATTTGCATAAATACTAAACGATCAATTCGTCACACAATCAGATAGATGCAAGTATCATGAGCATTACACTTCAACAATAAATCGATACAGCATTTACATGCTTATTAAACCAAGTCCTAAGTGGATGCTGGCTAAATGATCCATCCACTGAAGGTGCATCGCTTAGTGGGGAGAAAAAACAACTCGTTCATCTACGAATCGAAGCACCACTCTGAACCTTGGAACGGATGCATTCTTTAATGGCCCATGATGTAAGTGAAATTCGTGAAATTGACCATGTACGTATGTTGAACTTCTTTCTTACCGTACGTAGCCAACCGCGCTCATCGGAGGTGATGTCAATGATCGTGCAGCACAAAGCACGCTGCGATTGGGGCTTCTCTTACCTCGTTTCTCTCACGTGGCCCCTGCAGTGGTGGACCTGCTGGAGCGTATGCTGGTGCTGGACACGGACCAGCGCATCACGGCGGCGGAGGCCCTCGTGCACCAGTACTTTGCTCAGTACCACGACCCCGACGACGAGCCCGAGGCCGAGCCCTACGACCAGTCCTTCGAGAACCAGGAGTTTCCCGTAGAGGAGTGGCGGAGTAAGTGATCGCCCCCCCCCCCCCCGCAACTACTGCACCCCTGTTGTACCTCTCTCCCAGCGTATTCTTTTGTTTACAGATTTAGTTTTTTTTGTTTTTCCCTCCAATTATATTACAGCTGTACGATTGGTGTCCTGATGTGCGACAAATACATTAATTCGACACAGCTATCGGTGTATCAGCCACTGTCAAAGAACAGCCTCCAGAATTTTGTCAAAGAACAACTTCTCAAGTCCCTTTTTAATCGACTTCTTTAGCGACACTTGGGGTACACATCTAATATGCCCTGCAGGTGAATTAAACATCGTTTACTTTTTAATTCTCAGAATTAGGAATAAGCCAAAGCAAGTGAAACATATGAGTCAATATCTATTATGTCGGCATTGGTGTCTGAGCAGACACCATCAACTTGCTACACTTGAGAATTTTTATCTTAGTGGTGCTGGGGATTTTCAGTTTCTAGCTGGGAAGCGTCAATGAGGAGGCTCGGTGGGACTTCGTAGAAGACTGGTAGAGGAGGTTGATACATTTTGCAAATAATTACGAAACCTAACAGAGGGGCCTTAATGGAAATCCTAATTAAAGGCAGCCTCGTACAATGTTTATATCGGGACATTTCTAAATGAAGCTGCATTATGAAGTTTTATTGAAAAGGTGGATTGAGAACAACACGTGTAAAGAGTTTCATCAAGAATGTTCATAAACGAGCCCCAGCAATAAATCTTAGCGCAGTATATATGATGTTTGTATGTTGAACCTCTTTCGCACCGTACATAGCCAACCGTGCTAATCGGAGGTGCCATTGAGCATGCACTCCTAAAGAGTCTGGGAGTGCAGACTTAGGTTTTGTTGAGGACTGTTGTGTTCATATTCAAGTGACGCACATTTTGCAATGGTGCGCATGTGTGCCTGGACGTGCGTGACTAGAAGCTAACACAGCCCACAAGAGGGCAGTACATACCAGCTTGTGCGTAAAACGCCAAACAGTGCTGTTAATCAAGAATCCTTGCCATGTAAGCAGTATTCTTGGTTCTTTCGGTAAAGTCACGTAGAAGAGAAACTAAATTATAAAAAATATAAAACAATAAAATTCTCACGACGTTTCGACTGCTACACAAGCAATCATCACCAGGTGTGAAAACCAGAGAAAGAAAATTTGCAAAAAGTAGCATTTTTTTTAACGTTAGCACCACGGAGAGCTACTTGACAGTTTGTTCAGATGGACGAGTCTATCTATGTTCGGAAAATAGGAGGGGGGAGACGAAAATAATGGATGCGGTCTGAAAGCCACCGTAAGCGTGATGATTGCTTGTGTTGCAGTCGAAATGTCGTGATAATTTTATTGTTTTATATTTTTTATTATTTTATTGTTTCCCTTCTACGTGACTTTACCGAAAGAACCAATAATATGAATCCCTGCAGTCACGAAAGCTTTAAATCAAAATGTAAGCAGTGGTTTAATTGTGCAGTCGGTTTGCTTACTTGCCTATTTTTGCGTGCACTTGTACTGCCTTGCAGCTTTCTTCACTATGCAGAACTGCATGTGCAGAGAAACGTAATACTAATAAATTGGCATTTAGACATGAGAGGAACATCTTGACCTAATAATTTTCAAAATTATGGTGAAAACTCATTTTGTCGATGACGGTTTGTAAAGGCTATTAGCCCATTTTGTGTTTGTCCACGGCGTTTAAAGCAACATCTCACGTAAGATCGATTTAGTTATTTTTTTTACTTTTTACCAGATGTGCAAAAAATAGTCTGCACAGAAATGCCCCCAAATTGGAGTTTTTAAAACTTTGCCACTGAATTGATAGGACACAGTTCTATAAGCAAAATGTTCCTTTTTTACGCCCACTCTGGGATTTCCTCCGGATTGACCATGACTTTGAATGGGGGGCCAAAAATCGGGAAGAAAATGTTAAAGTGAGTCACCATGTTTAAGGGCACAACATCAAAAATAGAAATGCGGGTGCATATCCGACTGGCCACAAATGAGTATAATTACAAAACACCACTTGTCAGCACAGACAGCTGTGTAGCCTTTGGCAGTCTAATTCAGTTAAGATTTGAAAGTTTTCATCCATCGAAGGGAGGCGGTTATGGCTTGAGTGCTTTTACAGGTTTCCCTCACTTTAAGCCATAAATGTGTTACGAAAAAGGGCGCACAAAGCGGCTACTATTTTAACTTTTAATTTTACCAGGTAAGGCGACCTGGCCACAAATGGTAGCTCAATGAAGTGGCTTATCTTGTGGAAATGTATAGCAGCCAAATACTCTAAACTAAATGTGGAGGGAAAAAACTGGAGGACCCGGAGAAAAATCCACACGACTACAGGGAGAACATGCAAACTCCATATACAGGCATCCAGGGTTGGGATCAAACGCACAACTTCCTGTATACCAGGCGAGATAGTTACCATCTTCGCCACCGCGGTGCCTTCGCATCTCCGCCACGAAGCGAAACCGCACGAGACGGCTGCCTGCCGAGTAGCACATACAGTACAAACGATGTCATGCGTCCAACCGCATATGAGTGAATTCCCACCGAATGTAGCATATATTGAGGAGAAATTGGTTCGCCGAATAAATGCAAAATCGCACAAACTGAAACCGCATACAGCAAGGGAAACCTGCATTTTGAGACCATTCTGAAGACATTTTATTTTTGTGTGACACTTGCTGGATTCAATTCACTTGAATGTTGTCCTTTATTTAACCATTCGATGCAAAGGAGCAGAGATGAGAAAATGATTGTCAAACTTTGTTTTGGAGAGAGGAATGAAAAACATCTAATCGTTTGAAGCCAACAGGGACATGAATATAATGAACACATTTTTCAAAAATGAGTTTGAGATTCAGATGCAAGAGACCGAATTAGAAATTGATTGCCTTGATTCACATGGGGAAAGCCACAATGCCAAAGATGTATCTGTCTTCAGAATATTCAACACATGAAGTCACAGGCTTGTGCAATGCAAGTTAGATTTCAACATAGCCAGTGAGAGCATATATCTTATCAGCTAAAGTAAGATGCATTCTGACCACAAGTATTGCAGTTAATGCAGACATGATTCCTTGTAAAAGGTGTTTTTTTGTTGCCATAAAAAAGGGGAAAAAACCTATTCTCATATTTTGGTACTGGTAAAGGAGGTCCCATGATGTAGATGCTCAGCGAGAGCTCTCATTACTCTGATAGTGGCATTGTCTTTGTGTTGTACGCCTTTTGGCGTTCTCTGGTCTAACACCGTTTGAGACGAGGCTCAAAAGAAAGTTGTCTCTGGTGTGGACCAATCGGTTTCTAAGACAATGCATATATTATCAGTGTTTTTTTGCAGTCTGACCACAAGTATTGTGGTTAATGCAGACATGATTTCTTGTAAAAGGTGTTTTTTGTTGCCATAAAAAAAGGGAAAAAACCTATTCTCAAAAGTAAGATTGTTAATGTAAACAAATCCAGTTAATGAGGTAAGATAATTATGGACTGATTATTCTATGGTTCTTTCGGTAAAGTGACATAAATAGAAAAAGTAATAACAATAAAATTAAAAATAAAGTGAATAAAAAATAAAAACATCGACGTTTCGATCGCAACACAAGCGGTCGTCATCAGGAACAGGGAGGTTAGCCTCTTGAGGGTAACCTGTTTATAAAGGTTTAGAGATGGGCGGGGCAGCTAATGTTAATGTACAAGAGGGCTCTGACACTGGAAATAGGTCTACACCAATCAAAGAGCTGTTTATAAAGGTTTAGAGATGGGCGGGGCAGCTAATGTAATAAAGGTTTAGGGATGGGCGGGGCAGCTAATGTTAATGTGGGAGAAGGCTCTGACACCGGCAGTACCCACATTAACAGCTGCCCCGCCCATCTCTAAACCTTTATAAACAGCTCTTTGATTGGTGTAGACCTACTGCCAGTGTCGGAGCCCTCTCCTACATTAACATTAGCTGCCCCGCCCATCTCTAAACCTTTATAAACAGCTTGCCCTCAGGCTCACCTCCCTGTTCCTGATGACGACCGCTTGTGTTGTGGTTGAAACGTGATATTTTTATTGTTTTTTTATTCACTTTATAATTATTATTTTATTATTATTTTTTCTATCTACGTGACTTTACCGAAAGAGCCTTGGCATATTAATTCCTGCAGTCACGAAAGTTTTAAGTCAATTTATAGACTGATTATAACCAACATATTAAAATCCGCTATGGAAGAAAATGAATATGACTACAATAATAATAGTCTTAGTTTTTTCGGTAAAGTCACGTTGAAGAGAAACAACAAAATAACAAAATATATATAAAACAATAAAAAATTCTCACGACGTTTCGACCATAACTCAAACGGTCATCATCAGGTGTGTCGGTTTGCATAAATTTATTTTGAAAACGGCATATTTATTTATTTATATATATATATAAATAACGCTTGCGTCACGCGCAACGATTGGCTGTTTGCCAGGACTAGTCCATCTATTTTTTGAAAAGAGGAGGGGGGAGACGAAATTTGTTTTTATGTATGCTGTCTGAAAGCCACTGTAAGCGTGAACAATCAATCAAGAACTGAAATGATTTATCAAATCTTTCCAATGATTGCTAAGATAGAATCCATCTTCTCGGTTGAAATTGTCTCTGTGTTTGTATATGTGGATAGCCTCATGAACGAATCTCTCATGGAAGCCAGATGGCTTACAAAGAATAAATAAATATGCCGTTTTCAAAATAAATTTATGCAAACCGACACACCTGATGATGACCGTTTGAGTTATGGTCGAAACGTCGTGAGAATTTTTTATTGTTTTATATATATTTTGTTATTTTGTTGTTTCTCTTCAACGTGACTTTACCGAAAAAACTAAGAATATGAATTACTGCAGTCACGAAAGCTTTAAATCAAAATTTACAATAATAATGTAATGGACAGTGGCAAAATAAAAAAAAACAACCTATTCAAAATATGCGATTTGCGCAGAATTTTGCAGCAAAATTGCAGTGCATTCCAGATTACAGGATCCACGGAAACCCGTCAACATGTTACCGTGGAATTTGAGTACTACTGTAAGTGATTAGAAAGTATAAATCAGAAAAAAAGTCAAGCAAGAAGACAGACTTTGTAACAACAATGTATGTTTCAAAGACTATAGGATAACTAAAGGCATGATCATAAATAAATAGTTTTATCCATCTCAGGCTATACCATGTCTGTCACCCGTCGTGACGTGGATCAGAAGCACAGCAATTGACAGAATGCAACAAAGCCTGAACGTTATGCAAATAAGCATGCAGAGGTGAATACTGGAAATCACACAGATGTAAAGAGGAACATGGTTTCGAGAGTATATGCAAATTTGAGACCTCGTAGTGACTTACAGAAGGTTTGGCCAGAACAAATCACTAGATGCAATTTAGTATTCGAGATTGGTAACGGAATGGCTGAAAAAATTGCGTGCCTGAGAGGTTTTAACGCAGAGATGGAGCAATAAAATCGGCTCCTGCAGCAATAATATGGAATGTAACATTGTCAAGGCCGTGATGGATGACTGATATGCAGAGGTCTTCATCCAGCAGACAATTCACAACGGCTGATGATTATCCTGGAACAGTTAATCGACTTTACCGCTTTTAAATATCTGTAATGTACTAATTGTTATTGTTAATGTAACTTAATAACAGGCAATTTAAAATAATATTTGGGGTATTACAACTGTACTGAATAGACAACTTTCCATTGATTACACAGTCCCTCACGTGCATTTCACAGCAGCCTAAATGAGTCTGGTCGGTTACATGTACTTTCCTCTTTCTACCGTCTTGACTTTTTTTGGAGGGGAGATGGACTTGGGGAGGAAAGTATTATGGAATGGCTCTCCCTTAGATGAACTGTTTTACTTTCTACTTTAGCCACGAGAAAACGGTTTGGTTTGGAATACTGCACTCAGGTCAGGAGAGATTGTATCTGAGAAGGGGGCAAAGTATGCAGTCTGACCAGTTTTTTTATGGAATTCATTTAGCCCATGGCCCTGCAAGTGGTGTTTTATTATTATTATGTATATTTAGCCAGTAAGAGAAGGATCACATATAAGCACAATTCAACCTTAATCCTCTTGCAAGTGACCCACTAAGGATTACTAAATAAGGGATTTGAATTTAACTCTGTGCCTTTTTTCCGGGCGATTCTAAGAGCATTACAAATATTTTACTAAACTTCTGGGGATAAACTACTCACCTTAGTGAAAAAGGAAAAGCCGACTCCTGGACACCAGGACAAGATTGAACAAGCAGGCCACCACAGAAAACTTTGTCGTTAAAATAAACACAACTTTAAGAGCCCCTGTAATAGAGTAGCTAAAAAAGATAACACAACTTTTATCATGTATTTTGAAGTAATAAGTAGGATTGTGTGAAAGTGGGGCAGGTTCTTGTAGAGTGTGTATTGTCTCTAGCCCTGTGGGTTTTAGTCCAATAGTTTTGTTTAAACCACGAATATCATCTAAATAAATTCGTCTCATTCTTTTATGTTCACTCGGCAATAATCTTTAACTTTTGGTGACTACACACAGTTTCAGATTCTTACTTGGATAGTTTATATTTTCTAAAAATAAGCAATAACTTGTTAAAGTTGGGTCATTGTAAGTGAACTGATTTTTTGCCAATACTGGTGTTGTATGATGTACAATTTGTGCCCCTTTATGATTTGTAGGTTTTTTTTATGTTGCAGTGAAGTTAGCTGGTGTAAAGAGAAAATAAGGCATCTGAATGCAACATTGTCAGATTAGCTGCTTTAGCCACATGTATAGTGTGGGTTAATAGTTCAGATACCATTTATATGCTAAACTTTATTCTTAACTACAAAATAATTGACGTATTAACGCATGACACTCTAGTTGTACTGTGTGTGTGCGCGTTGTAAATAGTATAAATGACCACAGGTTACCGTTGATCATCTGCCGCCCACAAGACAGTACACAATAGAGGTGGTAATTGACCACTGGCTCAGCATACTCATAGCTTTGAGACCCACTTATTTATTACGGTTGCCTTTTGTGTGTTTTAGGTTGTGCACAGCATATTTGATAAGAGCGTGAGGAAGGTGGTAACCCCATTGGAAAGGGAGAGACTTTACCAAAGGGCATCTTGGCCATAATCTCAGTGGTTACTCATTAGCCGTGTTTTATGCATGCCTGTCATGTCTAGATTCTCGCTCTTGTCTGCTTCATGCAGGACTTACCTACGAGGAGGTCATCAGCTTCGTGCCACCAGACCTTGAAGACCTCGACATGATGGATGCGTGACGGCAAATCCGCAAACATGCACACACACGCTCGTGCACACTCACGCGCGCTCGTAAGCATGCACAGCATTCTATCAAAACGGTCCATCATCCCGCAGCAGTTGGGTGGCATCATCACGACGGTGTCTCTTTAAGAATAGGCTCCCTCAAAGTCCGGATGCACATACGCAGCGAAAAGGATTACAGGGTATGGTGTGTGGTAGTTTTAAGCATGCTCTGACAGTTAAAATTTAACCATGGAGCAGACTTCCGTTTGGGAAAGTAAAGAGACCACGTGGCACGGTAATGTCTCGTGTCCGAGATTTAAAGGGACATGTCCTGTGCAGTCCATTTGTAGGCCAGCGCAGTGGTAATTCGTGCTACCTTCACCCTTTGCTGCTGGCAATTGCATTCAGAATAAAGGACATTTTTTTGAACGTGCAAGTTTCAGTATCCTTAATAGAAGCGCCCAGTTCGGCTTTACGGGGGTGCATCAAAAACTAAGAGTTTGCCCTTAGTTTACAGCCGTGATGAGTGTTGCCTTACCGGCAGGGATTGACTCGCTGCGGTAACCACCTTGGCCTAACCACCCCCCCCCCCCACCCCCGTGCTACAAGACATGCACAGAGAGTACTGCATAAAGTGCATCATCCATATGTTTGCCATTGAGCGCTGCGCTACCTGTACCAAAATGGGCATGCACTTGCACGCGATAAGCCGTGGCTGCAGCAGAAAGTATGCTCGAACGCAAGTACACACATACGCACACACAGTGTTCTCACTGGTATATTACTCGTGTCAAAGTTACAGACAATCACAAAACCGTTTCCGCAGGCTGCAATTAACCTCGAGTCATCCTGAATTTCACATATATGTTAAAACCGAGATGTTGTAATAACATGCCACTGAACATGTGTACACCTGCTTACATGTATCGCAATATATGAATGGTATCCTCGAACACCAGTGCATATTTTTATGACATTAGTATTTGGAGATGGGCTTTAAAAGTAAGCCGAGCAATAGGATTGTGTGACTTCTGTCTTTTTGAAAGTTTTGACAATTGCTCATGTGTGTGAAACTTCAGGTAATTGCGAAAAATGTTAAAACGAAAACACAACTGGTGTATAATTTCCAGTCGACTGGTAAAAGTGGTTGGGGTTTTTTCAAACTCTGCGTGTTCCTTGACACCAGGGTATATATGTTGAACTCCTTTTGCACCGTACTTAGCCAATCGTGCTAATCGGAGGTGCGGTTGTACAAACACCATTCCTCAATTGTATCGAACATTCAAGTTGTCTTGTAGTTCTCCCCCTGTTGCCTCCTTGGAAAAAGCAACAAAGTCGCAATAAGGAATGCAGATCACCATGCGGCAGGCTTGCAGGTTGCCAGACAAGAACGTGTTCAATTTTCTGGAAATGGGGTGTCAGAATTCTACTGCACCCTCAATTTACGAAAAACTCTTGTGTCCTTTTTTCGTGGGAGTAATGAGCATGCTTGTTCCATGCCTTTGACGAGCTTACAGGGACAGCTGTCAAAAACACCCACCTATTATCCCAGGATGCTTTGCTTTATATACCACATCACAAGTGCCTCTCTTTCCTGTAGACAGTGTCACGGCCAGTGTGTTGCCACTTTGATGAGCCATGTTTCGTCCTATTTCATCACAAAGCAGTGTTGCTTCAGTTTACATAATATTGCTAGTTTCTAGCCCAATGCGCCACAGCAATATGCCATCACTCAGCATTTGTCACCCGTCTTCGGCTTTTTTGTGTATTTATTTGACTTCCAAGCAGTGGGTAACACTGCTATGTCTTACCAATAGGCCATATATCACAGCATGTATTGGGCCATCTCCAGTTTGCAGCCTGCTATCTATTCACTCCTGGCCTTCCATTCAATGGAAAGGCAGGCAAAAAGTAAAAGCTGTCGCATGCAGAATTATTTATGTTTCAAAATGGTCTTCACCCTTAAAGTGTATAACACTTTGCTACTTTGGGGTAGACGTTAATGCATACTCGTGCAAAAAGGGGTTTATTGTTTGATCAGTAGCTCATGGATACGTGTGGGTTTTCTATTTTGAATGTGAAGTTAATTCCTTTTCGTGCAGCATGTTACAATCAAGTGTTGTGTACTTCATAGCTTGCAGTGAAGGAGCATCGTCTTGTCGACCTCACATCTCACTGCAGCAGTCTTCAGTTGTGTTGCATCCGAGCAAGAAAGTGTGCGCTCTGTGACACAACGGGCAGCAATTACATTTCTGGAAATGTATTGGCCATTTATTATTCAGGCTATATAAGTGTGTGTGTGTAGTTGCAGAAGCTGTTCAAGTGTACATATACACAAGTACGAAAAATAAACCACAGAATTGTCAGGATAAAATTCTTAATGCAAATGATTAATGGATGGGCTTTTGTTCTGACCCCCTCTGTTGGTTTTATTTTTTCCGCTTTTGCGTCAAAGACCTATCAAGTGTAATACTATATGCATACACTGCACTGTATACACACCGGGTCTGATCTATGTTGACAGATTCCTTTCAGTGGTTTTATTGGAGGGGGGGGGGGGGGTTACATCGCCAATGTCCCCTTTAACTAACAATAGGGGAAAATACCATGGCAGTGTTTGGGCCGTTCAATCAACACGTTAATCAGACTCGTAATGTTACGCAGTTTATAATAACGCGTGTGTCACATAGGTTAAGGAAAATCCACAAACTATTAATTTGTTTTTAAAATGAAACGCACTGCATTTTTGTGGAATTGTGAACATCATGAACATGAAGAGTCAAAACTTGTATGATGTGCTGAAAGTCTGTTGCCCCTGTTAGAACGAAGTTTCCACGTCTAGTGCGCTCGGATGTCTTGCGTATGTATAAACTGCGCCAAGCATCAGTCTCGCTATACAGTATGCAAAATGCGTTTGTACATATACACGTACGTTTAACGTTTCTTTTTAGTGATCTATTTGCCTTTGGTTTCGGTTTAAATGCGTCATTTATATGCTCCGGATGTTTGGCCGTTCGCCACTTTTATACGCCACTGCTTACGAGTATCGCCACGAGCAGATTTTTTTGGGGGACGTGTCACTGCAGCCCCAAACCCCGAAAGAAGAAGTAAGCAAAGCTCACATCATCTCTGATCTCCAGGGAAAGGGGAACCCCCCCCCCCCCTATCAACTGAAACAATGACTACGGAGTACAACATTTGCATTTTGTTTTGCTTGCCCATTGGTTTAGTCCGAAGGTGGTGCCCTTCAGTGCTGCCACCAGTGAGCCACTTGTTGAGTTTAACACGTGGCAGGCTTTCGCGACCAATATCCATCATAGAGGTTTTTTTTGGGTTAGATCGTGTAAAAATATGTGTCGTTAAACCCGCCACCACCCGACGCAGCCAACTAGTAAGGGTTGTCACGTACATAGAACGTGCCAATTCGTGAATAGTTTCGCCAGTAATTACAACTAGCTTCATCTAGCTAGTTTTAATTACTGGCGAAATGTCGTACTCAGATTGTAAATGTTGTGGCTTGGCTCTCCAACACACCGGTGTGCTGTACTCGTGACGAATTGGCATGTTCTGTTTACGTGACAACCCTTACCAGTTGGCTGTGTCGGGTGGTGGCGGGTTTAACGACACATTCATATATTTACGCGATATAGCCCCAAAAAAAACCCATATTGTGGAGTTCTTTCCCATTCAAAACGCACACATGTATTTTCCACTATTGCTAGCTATCGGCTCGAAACGTTACCACAAGGCATATTCACTCCCCCCGTTGAATCCATTTAACAAATGTGCTCGTCGGCAGCGTATACGTCGTCGCAGAGCACATGCGAAGTACTCGTATATTTTGTGTGTTCAGGCGTTAGCGCCACCAGCAACAACACGCGGACATCTTATTGCATGCGTTTTGCTGATGTTCATTGAAAATCCCCTCCGTTCATTGCTTGCCAATACTGAGTCTTGCACTGCGTTATTGAGTGTCTGCCAGTATACGAAGAGAGAGTACTGTATTTATATGCAATAATATCGCCGTCTCCTGGATTCCGTTTATATATAATCTGTGTGAATTTTATTTAAAGATTTGTTCCCCCCCTCCCCTCCCAATGTCATATCCACGCTTCTATATTGTTTAGTTGATCAGCCATTACGTTAAAAAAAGTTTCACTCTGTGATGTATATTTTTTATTTCATAGCAGAGGTTCATCTTTGCGTGTGATTAACGAATAAAGTGGCTGGTGCTTTTATGTTGCGCAGTCTTACTGTTGTGTTTTTGACTCGTTTTCTGTAAGGGTGCCTACATTCTAAATTGTGTTTTTTCAGTCGCATCGATACATGAGGGTGACGTTACAAACAATAATGTATCGATATGTAACAGCTAAATAGTTACATCAGATACTTATTTTTTTAATAATCAAGGTTTGAAGTCCAGATCGTGCTTGGATCGTTGGCCACCACGCACAGATTTTTACGGAAATTATTTTACGATGCTGCGTTGGCTGGCAGTGATGCCCTAACCACAATGAACCAAAACTCCGCAACACATTGGTCAATAACACTGTGGCCCAATGGTCATAAGCTTATAGATGTGATGTGAAGGGGCCATTGCTCAAAACGTTCCCTATTTTATATGGTTCCTTGTAAGGCCACAGTGTTATTGACATGATTATTCTAGAACTTGCGGAGCTATGTTAGTAGTAGCAGAGGGCAGTGCAGCAACAATCCGTTGTACTGTAGTTCTAGACTGCCACATCTATGCCTCTCGCCTTCCCCAACCCCACACTGACCAGCATGGTGATGTTTGGTCAACCCGTTAGGCGTTTGGTGGCCCTCATATCCAGCGGTGGATTGACAAAATAAATGTTCTAGAGGTAACGGAGTTTAAAGCGAACGAGGAAAGTGGACTACGGGGTGTTTAAGGTCGTTTCAGATTTGCGGTAATTTCATTTTTTTTTTAAAGCTGCACATAACTCGCTCCTTGCTGCAACGAACCGCGGTCGTGGACAAATGCAGAAGTATATTTAAACAGTCGAGAAATCCAGCGTCCCCCCCCCCCCCCTGTGGCGTAAGTTTGGAGTAAAAGCGAAAAAGGAATTTGGTCATTTGGCAAATTATTCCACTCGCCCGAACAACCGCGGCTAACGGCACGGGTTAAGCGAACACGTATTTACGGTAAGAGCGGACCGGTTTCGGGGCAGTGTTTGTAAATAAGAGTTTTGTTTTTGGGTTCGATTGCGCGTAAATATAACGCGTCGTTAAACCCGAAGCGGCCAATTGGTAGGGGGTTGTTTCGTTAACAAAACGTGGCAATAAGATACAAGTCCAGCACACCGGTGTGTTGGGAGAGTAAAGCCACAGCATTTTGACCATTCGAGTTACTGCGACGTTTCGCCGGTAACTGCATCCAGCCCCATCAGGCGACGGCCAGAGTTGTGGATACATCCTCCTGTTTGTACACAATACGGTATTGATGCCGCACGTTCATTATTCATTCACTACGAGAGATCTGTTCGTACACCTCCACCAACGCACATTGCACACAAACACTAAAATACATAACCATGACATTCACGCGGGAATCATTCTCGAATTAATACATTGGGGAACGCAGTGAACGAATAGACATGTTTGTAGTATTCTTAGCGCTTTCGGTAAAGTCACGTTGAAGGGAAACAATATATATAAAACAATAAAATTCTCACGACGTTTCGACCATAACACAAACGGTCATCATATTTTATTATTTTATTGTTTCCCTTCGACGTGACTTTACCGAAAGAGCTAAGAATATGAATTACTGCAGTCACGAAAGCTTTAAATATAAATGTTTGTAGTAATTGAATACTCGCGTTGTCCTTATTTTAATTGGAACAACGGTGATATACACAGACGTTGGCATAAAAGACAAATCAATACAGCATACAAACCTAAAATTAAACCTATGGCAACAAAAATAACTCCATTCGTCACAGACGTGTAAGCACGGCACACAACAAATATAGCTCACACGACCACACCTATACACAAAGACAAAATATCTCACAGCCTCGACAGACCTTTGGGACAAGTGCTCTTCGGGGTAACGATGGAGGCAGGCGGGCACCACGTCCGCCTGCCTCGTGGCAATATTTACACACCTGCACCACGTACTCGACCACCACCACATATACTCTCATTTGAGGCCGAGTCGACCTGTGGGGAGACCCAGGACCGGTTCAGATCGTCGTTAGGGAGTCGAAATCGCCGGTCGCCGGGTTCGTAGCTCAGCGCGCTAACCACTGCGCCACCACTCCCCGACCCCACCTCTATCCATACAGGTACAGAGCCACACACCGTCCCCACCACCACCACCACCTGTGCCTCTCTTCCATTGGCTGTTACATGCCGTCTTCACCTGTTGAATAATTTAAGTCTCGGCGCATGCGGTAGGGGTGCGGGTGGGGTGTGAAGTGTCGCTCCAACTATTGCACCGATCGCACGCATTCTCGGTCAAGACACACGACCACCTTGTACACTCACTCACTCACTCGTCCACCCCACTCGTCCAACTCACCCCACACGTCCAACTCAACCCACACGTCCACCCTGCTCGTGTTTACCCAACGCGATAACCACTGCGACACCGCCGCTCCTGTAAACACTGACGACGCAGGAGGGTGTCTTCGTCTTCGTCACCATCATCATCACCATCATCATCATCCTACCTGTGCCTGCAGGTACAGGGTGACCCAGCTTGGTCCGTGAGACAGAGAGATGGCACATGCCTCGTCCCGCAAGGGCTTCTACCGCATCGAGATCAACAAGATGGTGTGGGAGGTGCCCAAGCGATACAGCCAACTCTTCGCTGTCGGCTCGGGAGCCTACGGGACTGTGTGGTGAGCGAGCACTGACTCGTCGGCAACACTGACTAGTCAGCAGCACTGACTAGACAGCAGCACGCACTGACTAGACAGCAGCACTGACTAGTCAGCAGCACTGACTCTTCAGCAACACGCACTGACTAGACAGCAGCACTGACTAGTCAGCAGCACTAACTAGGCACCAGCACACACTGACTCTTCAGCAGGGGAGTGCTTCAATACACGGCAGTACAAGCAAGCTGTGTGTGGACCTGTTTTGACATTCATCGTCTCACTCATCAGCAGCAGTCGGGATTGCGATAACCAATGCAGGTGACCTGCCATATGTTTATTCGCAAAGAATACAAAATGGGTCCTAGGTGTGGGATTGACAAAGCTAATTGGTACATCGGTAGCAGCAATTGCTTTCGTTCCAACACATTGATGTTGTTATTCACCTGCGTTTTGCTTTCGATGTTGTGTTTTTCCATGCCACAACGCTTTTAAAGCACAGACACAAATGCCACCTGTGTGTGGACCTGTTTTGACATTCATTGTTTCATCAGCATAGTCGGGCTTTCGATAACCAATGCAGGTGACCTGCCAAATGTTAATAGGCAAGGACTCCTATACATAACAAAAAAATGATCCTAGGTGTGTATGGGCAAAGAACATTGGTGCATCGGTAGCAGCGATTGCTTTTGTTCCGATACATCGTTGTTTTAATATTCACCTGCCTTTTGCTTCCCATTTGGAGTTTTTTTTTACCGCCACAACTTTTTTTTAAAGCACTGATACAGATACAAACTGGACTGTCTGTACGTTGTTGACAGGTGTGTATTCTGTAGATGGGGTTTAGAGTTCAGATTGTGGAAAGGAGACACAAGCTTGCTCTTTGTTGAGTGTTAATACCAATAGGCTTGTGCCATTGTATATGTTTAATTATTCATTATTATGAATCATTCCATTTATCGATTTATTTTGGAAATTAGACTTAAGTGTTAACCCTTGAACAACAGCCTATAAAATTATGAGTAATCTTTTTTTGTAATATGTCCTGTAAAATGATGTATGGTGAGACTGCAGCGACAGCCTGACCACATTTATTTGCTATTTATCTGCAAATTATTAATTATTTTCTTCAATAATTAACATTGATTTAGAATATTTACTTTGCTCTTTCTTGAAAATAGTTAAGTTCAAACGACTATGAAAAATATCGAACGCAGGGAAAACGTCAAGGTTTTTGTTCTTCTAATAGTTTAGTGTACATTAATGTTTAAATTACAAACATCCAGTGAGCCATGCCGATTTTCGGTAGTTGTGAATCAACAGGCCTTCATTTTTCATTCAACATTTTCCGGAATGCTTCTAGGCCGGCCCAGAATAGGGACTATTGGCATAAGGTATGCATATTCCCGATAATCTTATAAGAATGTCCCCTCTGTGTTCCTATTGTCCTTTGAGATCGAAATAAATAGAATTCGGACAAAATGAGGCAAGATGGATGTGGCGTGCCAATATAATCAACGGAACCGTGTTTCAAACACCAGCAATGGTCATTCCACCGCTGCATGAATGCCCCCCCCCCCCACTGGGGTTACACAAATAGTATTGTGGATTAAACGGCTATTTAGAAAGTTATGTAATTAAAACTCACGAGGCAGAGGATATCCACCGAGTAGATGGAGCGATGAAATCAGATGGGCAGGGTTTTGGTATGGATGGAGGCAGGATCATGAGAGATGGTGGCAGCTTGCGAAGGCCTTCTGTGATGTGGTCATCTGCCTAGCACCTGCACATGAGGCTGATCTCCTTGCCCCATCATGCTCGGTGGACGTAATCTCAAGCACGTTCCATCCCTCGGTTGCCACTCCATCATTATTGTGCACACCTAAGCCAACCGTGGTCATCGGAGGTGCGGGGGGAAGGACAACAAACTGAACACACAAAGCAGCTCGAAAGAAGTGAGTTTTCAATCTATTTTTCAAAGGGCATAGACCCCAGTGGCTTCCTAATACGGGGGGAGTAAGAGCGTTCCAGACGGCCGCAGAGGCGCATCTGAAAGCGCGCGATGCGGTGACCGTCAATGTTCAATGGCGAGTCGAAAGCCGCTTCTGCGAGGATACCAAAAGAACCGACCGTCATCTCGATGTGTCCGCTTGGCTTAAGTTTGAATGATGTCATGAACGTGTGTTTGCTATCTTCTCCACGTCTTCCGCTTTCTGTCTCGCAGTTTAATTCCAAGCGTGAATTACCCCCCACTGCTTCTTTGCACACCTTTAAGTGTTCCGAAGGACCTTGCTTATGAACGCACATGTCGTAGGTAGAATAGGTTTGTGAGCGATGATTGGAAACTTTCTCACTGTGGATACGTGCATGCATAGACCCTGCAATTGTATATCACACTGTGTTATCCCAGCAGGGCGTATAGTATTTGAACGGCGAAATGAATTAGTAAGCATGAAAAATGTATCCTCCACGTGGGTCATGAGGACTGGAGTTTGGAAAAGCCTTGTAGAGCCAATGGAACGTTTTCCATTGAAATCATCTACACATTCCAATATGTGCAGCCGAGGTGTAGGGCATTGTGTGAACAAAGCTAGTATTGTACATACGTAGACCGTGTGATGAGTGGTTTGGTCTGTAGCACCAGGCCTTTGCATGTATACTGCACAGTGCAAGTGGCCTCTGCTGTTTTCTAGCCATCTATGTTGACCGTTGTAGCACGTGACTTGCACTAGAGTACAGTTGTTAAACATCTATTGTATTTATTACATTGTGCGGTTTGTGTCGTAATCTTTATTTTTTCAAAATATTTACTGTGGAGCAGTTTGACCAATGAAGAGCCCTCGCCGCACAGGAGACTTATAACTCACGAAATCAGTAATGGACAGACAGCATTATTATTTTGCTGTAAATTTAGTACCATATTGCTGGGTAATATGTTTTCAATCGCCACATATTGACCTGCTGTCATAAATGTCAGTCACTAAGGTCCACTTTTACATGCACATATTGTAAAAGCACACGGATGGCAATGGTGTGACTTTTTAGAGACACTATATTATTAAACTTTTAAGTTCCATTACAAGTTGTGATTATCTTTTTCATGTATCTGACTTTCTAACCCAGGTTCTCAAGACTTGAAGAATGGGTTTTCACGTGTGTATCATGCAGCAGTGGATTAACACAATCCTGAAACGTTATTTGTACTCTAGAATGCAGCCTGTAAATCGATTTGTAGTTGACGGGAGGAGTAGCGCCCATGGTTAACATGGTGTGCTGTCAATCTGGCTACCTGTGTTCGATTCCTGGCTACGGCTAACATCAAGTGACAAGTCGCATCAGACCATTGTGATGGGTCTCTCTTTCGTTGACTTGGTCTTTAATGAATACCTGTTGCAGCGTGCGAACACGAGTATTGGGGAGACAAATGTGGCCGGGCACTGTGCAGCTCACACCACCACCCCTGTGTGTGCTCTATACCGCCGTAATAGTTCCTCGTTCAGTGGCATGGCTATCGAGTGTGCGCCGGTGGTGCAACTGCACCGGGCCTACGGGCCGGAGTAGCCCAGGGCTCCGGCCTCCGAAGAGGAGGAACATCGGGCATCGTTTACCCCGTTGGACGCCGTGCACCAAGGCCCACGCTAACCACGCGATGCCACCGCGCTTGCGAACACCACTCGCTTGTCCCAGCGGTCCGTCCGCTTATAAGACCGCATTTTCGTTTTGCGCGCGCGCGTGCAGTTCGTCCATGGACTTGGTGACCGGCAGCAAGGTGGCCGTGAAGAAGCTGTACCGGCCCTTCCAGTCGCGCGTGTTCGCCAAGCGGGCCTACCGCGAGTTGCGGCTGCTCAAGCACATGAAGCATGAGAACGTGAGTGTCAGCTGCGTGGGGTCACGCGTTTGAGCTGGAGAGCGATAGCATGGGTGGAGGTATCGTTCGTGTGTAAAGGCATTGTTCACAGAATCGGCCGAGCAAAAACGCAGCCTCGGGAATTATTATTATTTTGGGCTACATCTAAATTGCTCTATTCATTATGCTTTGTAATTTGTAAATAATAATTGGTTATCTACATTACATACCTCAACGTAATTAACAAAGTGAAACGTCACCTATTATATATTTTTCCTTTTATCATCATCACAATCCATGTGCAGATAGACCATAGTAGGTGTCCACTGCACATTTATGTCATTTGTTTCCACCTTCCTCTATCTCGTACCAATATGTTCAAGTGGTGCCTCTATTTCGTACCAATATGCTCAAGTGGTGCCTCATCTTTCTGGCACCAATCTCTGATGTCGTCATCAAGCCATTCCTCTCTTTCTGGTTCCTTACATTTTTCCAAACAACACAATTTTAATTTTCCTGCTGATGACCAACCTACATGTCTGTCCAAATAGTTCCAGGTTACGTCTCATCAATGCCTGCATCATGAGGTCTTCCTTTATGTGCAACCCTTTTATTACGACTACATTGGTCATATTTTGGGTCCAGTTTAGATGCAGTATCCTTCTGGAGGAATACATTGCAAATGCCAATATATTATCTCTGTCAGTCTTTTCAATGTCCGAGTCTCACAGACATACAAAGCTGTGCTGAACACTCACGTTTTCTTAAGATGTTCAGTATGTTCTTTGGTTCTTTCGGTAAAGTCACGTAGAATGATAATAAAATGATTAAAAAATCAATTTATTCTTTTATTATCATTCTACGTGACTTTACCGAAAGAACCAAAGAAGATGAATCATTGCAGTCACGAAAGCTTTAAATCGAAAAATGTTCAGTATGGTATTGTAGCTGATTTTCTTGCTTCTCCAGACGTTATTGAATCCTTTCAAAGCAGTGTTATTTACAAAAGTGCGTTTTTTTTGTTAATTGTGCTTGTGCACCGCTGCCAACGCAGCATCACCAAATAATTATCTGTCTAACAAAGTGATTGGTCATTTGTACCGAAATTACCCGAGTCCCAGCTTATTGGAACCCTACATTACATCACTCAAGTAATTTGATTTTACAATGTGCAGTATTTTGGAACATGAATGACAACTGCTTGATGCTTTGGGTTAAACTCGGTGCATATGGCCATGTCAGGTGGCTGTGCTGAACACTCACGTTTTTTTGAGATGTTCAGTTTGACTACGGCTTTGACAACCGGTGGTATGGCATGGTTGGCAAAGCCCCTGGTGTGAGGAATGAAATTGCCCCTCCCCCCCTTGTCGGTCTTCACTCCCTCTTCATAGCCCAGCGCCTGGGCCCCTCCGACTACCAACGGGCCCCGGTGCAATTGCACTGACTGCAGACTCTTTAGCGTTGTTGTATGTTGTATGCACATAGAACTTCTTTCGCACCGTAAGTAGTCAACGACGCTAATCGAAGGTACGGGGGAAGGACAACAAACTAAACACAAAAAGCAGTTCTAAAGAAATTAGTTTTCAGTTTAGATGTGAAAGTGCATAACTCCAGTGGCTTCCTAACATCGGATAGAAGAGCGTTCCAGACGGCTGCAGAAGCGCAAAAGCTTCGCCACTGATGGGAACACAAAGCCACCATGCAGATTTAAGTGTAAATCCGGGAGGTGGCATGGATAATTGAGGAAAGACTTGGTGATTTCATACCGACCAAGGGCGAATTCAGTTTTTATTTTAAACAATGAATGATAGCGATTGGTCCATGTGGAGAAACAGTTACTACTGAGATTTGTCGTTCCCTAGCCAAGAGTTTGATTACAGTGTTGTCATAATTCTGTGCTGATAGCAATTTACAGCCCTTTGTCAATAAACTGCTGAATGAAGGACTCCCAGAGTCTTTCGGTCTTGGGGGCATGTTGAATCGTACCTCACCACACTGGTCAGTGCGATTTGGTACAGAGGGGACCCAGAACCGGTTCACAAATCACTCGCCACTGAAGTTATCCGTGGCCAGCCATTACTATTGTCATGGTTAGGCTACAAATATAAATGATCACCACCCAACTTCTCAGGCACGTTTAACTTGACGGTTCTATTGTGCATTTTCTGATGGATATTGGCATTGGATGTTTTAATGTTTTTGTCCCATTATGAGTAATGTATTGCTCACGTGTTGCCGACTTAACACCACTTCAGCTTGAACACTGGAGCTGAAAGGGGACTTCTGTCTTCGTGTTTTTGTTTTATTGCAGGTGATAGGTCTGGTGGATGTGTTTACTCCGAATGACACACTGGACCAATTTCAAGACTTGTGAGTTGAGACCACACATTAATTGTGCAATGTAACCTCTCAACAATGTATATTTAAAATTACATGTTCATAAGTCCTATATATACACACATATATGTATTTAAGACTAATAAAGTGCATGTGCGGTGTAGAGTACACCATGTAATAATTTCAGGACATCTTATTGGTTCTTTCGGTAAAGTCACGTAAAAGGGAAATACTAAAATAAACATAATAAAATAATAAAATAATAAAAATAAGACATCATTATTTTTTATTATTTCCCTTCTACGTGACTTTACCGAAAGAACCAAGAAGATGAATCCCTGCAGTCACGAAAGCTTTAAATCGAAATTTCAGGACATGTTGACCTAAGGGAGGCAACATACCAGTTTCAGACACCGAATTGCCAGCAATTTCCCCGTAATGCACAGTGATGTTACTCTGTGAGTTCACGTGATGGATTACCTCGGGAGCAGCAACAGATGAGTAGTGACAAGGAGGCGACTGTGAACACCAGTGAGCGTGTGGCAGGAGTGAATAGGTGACCGAGTGTTGCTTTAATGTTGAATTCTCTCTCTCGGACTGTGTGCAGTGAGTTAGGGACTGGGGTAACCCCACCCCAGATATGACGACAGTGTGTCGCCCTCGGCTTCAATTGTGCGTTGTGTAGTCACAGTAATAATTGTTCTGATTTGTACACCTTCATTAGTGCTGTAAGTTGCTGGGCACTTGGCGTTTTGGGCCTTGGGGTCTGTGATCAGCAACCATATAAAAATATATGACTGTAAATAATCACAAACCCCTCTTGTGAATGGTGATGTGATGTTGGGGGCGCTATTGCAGGTTGACCTGTGCGAGGTTACTCCTGTTATCTGCAGGGCTGTCAACAGATGAAGCTGTGTAATAGGATTAATTTGCCTTCCAACTCAGGCGACTCCTTTTATTCACAAATAATGGCAGATAAGAGGAGGAACTTAGCGCTTCCGGGAGAGCACATTTGGGTGACTCATCCATGGATAAGTATAGATATTGGGAAGAGTTATCCACCAACTCTGGGTTACTCCTCTTATCCACGGATAAGTGTGGGTAACAGTAAGAATCAATCCGTGGGTTATAGGATTTTCCATCCATAAAAGGGGCACGGATACGATTCACTGCTCTGTATAACTCTACCCACGCAAGCACGCAATCCTGCTTCTAAAGAGTCCGTGCGATAATCCCACGTGAAGCGCAGGTCAGTCGAGCCGGGGCACTTGCGTTTGCCTGTCAACGGCACATGCTGTACTTCAGCATAGCGGGAGGACAGTGGGGTAGTGTGTGCGGAGTGTGCAAGAGTGGGGGAGGGCTGGGGTCAGACTACAAAGGGTGGGGAGGTCAACTCTGCCCCAAGGAAGTCTCTCGGCACTGGCAAAAAGCAAGCGTCTTATCGCCGTCAGAGCGGACGCGGTGTTAGCTGTTCTCCAGCCCTACCGGCATCACATCTCTCACCTCCCCCGACATTCCATCGCCCCCCCCCCCAAGTCCCTGCCCTTTTACTCTAAACATGTACTGTACGTGTAAAGTTATTTTGTCAGTCCGCTGGTCGATGAGCGAATCCCAATGCTGTGCGGGCCACGGGGTTTCTTTATTACTGTGCCACGCTGATCAGTGCGGGCTGGTGAAGGCGAGAACCATAGACTTTGGAGCGTAGCACAGGTACAATGGGATTTTCTGCACTGTCCCCCGCTGACAATGCGGTGTCACAGCCCTACAACGCCTGTCTTCACCCATGGTGGTCACCCATCCAGACTTTATTGAGGCTCATCCCCGCTTAGCTTCTGACTAGATTGGGCGCCGTTCCAGGTGATGTGGATTAAGGCACCAGGCTAACGATGTGCTGTAATTCAGAATCGGAATTTTGTATTTATCCTGGAAGAATCCGATGAGCTATGAAGCTCTTTTACAGAGATGGTCAAGTAGGGGCGGGTCTGCAGGTTACAACAACAATACAAAAAACGGTAGGAGTGCAAAGTAGAGGAAAGGCAAGCACGTCACTGTAAATATATACTTTGTTTAAAGTGTGTAAGTGTAAATTGCAGAAGTACATACATTCCTGCAGATTTTTCAAAAGGTGATGGGCAGTTGTAGTGCTCAGGCTCTGCACTTCACACATCTGGGGCAGAACACCTTTCAATGTAGACCAACATGTGTTGCATTACAATGTTATTAATTATCCAGTTTCTCGACTGGCGAACGTGGGAGACTTGTTGATGTCGAAGGGTAGATTGTGTCTGGCCTATGTTTTTTTTAAATTAATAACAATGGTAATAATAATTTACACTTTCTGAAGCGCATTTGACCTGGAGGTCACAAGGATCTGTAATACAGGAATTTGTCACTCCTTTTTTGTACGCATTTTTTTACCCCAATTTTATTCCAATTGTGCCATCTGCATCACGTCATGAAAATTTTTTTCTCCATTCAGATCTCTCGCAGAGCAGTGCAAACCTTTCGTATCAGAGAACGGCCCACAGAAGTGGTTATCACAGAGCTACATCTGAAATCCCTTTGAGTGACCTGGTCCACACAGTAGAGGAAAGCACTTTCCCACCCACTCGTCCACATGAGTGATGTTTGTGATAGTTGAGCATGACAGTCAAACCGAATTAATTCTCAGAGCTGTGCATAGTATAAAACATTGATCACTGCACTTGAGAACCCAGTTTAATCACGGCCTGCTGTTCCAATATCAACACAGGATCACAGCGATGCCAGCTGTGATCCTAACATCTGAGCCACCCAGCCATAGCTTTCCAACCTAGTATTAAGCTGTAACTTCATACGTGTGAGCCAGTAGAGTGTATAACTTGTTTTATTGAGAAGATGTATCGCCACTGATAAAGCAATCCTTGAGGTAAGTAAACTTCTTCACTGTTATCTTAATTGTACACAGCATGTGGCATGTGACTCATTGACATAATGAGTGCGTATGATATTTTTTTGCGTGCAGAAGTCACAAAAGTGTACTTTAATAGGCGAGTCTTGTGCTCACTGTTATTGTCAGAAAATTCCCTTCGGCAGAATTTGGAATGTGACCTCAAATTCCGCGCAAGGCCCCCTGTGGACTGAAAGACCGAATATTTAGCAAATGAGAGCGTTCATGCAGCAACGCAAAGAAAATCAAAGTGCAGCATGAATAAACACACTCCCTACATCATTATCCCCCTTTTGTGCACACTGCAAAATGATTATAAGGTTGTCTTCATAAGCTCCGGTTGAAATAATTTATGCATGAGCTCTCACCGTCTGTTCGTAATGACGGCGGGGGGTGGCACTATAGTTTGTGAACATGATCCAATATAAATGAAGCTTCAGTATATTGTTGCGTTGTTATTACGGACTCACCCTATTGAAAACTGGCAAAATTGATCAAAGGGTTGCTCAAAAACATATAACACAAACCAATTTTTGACAGCTACCCATCAGCTTCCATACTGCGAATTAAATACTTCCAAGAACAAACGCTTGTTGCAGAATCCATGGTTTCCCCCCCTAATTTCTTCTATTCTATAGCAGCCTTGCCAGCCACTTTAGTGGAAGCAATGGCACCGTAAACAAACAATCGATATAATATAAAGCATAGGGATGATTGGTTGCATAGACTGTTACTATTTTTTGTACTAAAGCCGGAGGACCTGGAGGAAAATCCACGCGACCACGGGAGAACAATGAAAACTCCAAATATGCAGGTGTCATGGTCGAGATCGAACTCACAACCACCAGGCAAGGTAGTGGTGCCCAAGGACAAGCGAAGGCTCAAAGATGTTATGTAACCAGTTTACCCTGGCGGAGATTGAGGCCACGGCTAAATATCACTTGTCACTGATGAGCATAGGCACGAATATTACCTGGGTCGCTAATGCTAACCATTCTGTCAGTGCTCCACACAAATGAAGACCACAGCAATACATTCAATTGTACCGTGTTTTTGTACGACTCAAGCAAATGCAATAACCTTGAAATAATAACATCAGAATGGTCGCTAATGTGAGGGGGGCATTCATTTAGCTCATTACCTGTCTGTGTAAGGTTGTGTGCCTTTTGGATTGTTTTTGTCCTTTTCAGTGTTATTTGTATAAGGGCTGGGTTATTTTATGTACAGGTCTGTTAATGGCACTGTATAAAATCTATTTTTTTTTGTTTGGGCAGGACACTAAATAAGAGGGATGACAGCCAGAAACCGCTGCCGACAATTGGCCCAGCTCAGTGATCTTCCAGTAGGGGGAGGACACACAATTGAGTAATTTGCGGGGAATTTTTAAATGTTGTCACATTTGAACCCATACGCGAGCGCACAATGGCCTACTCTTGCAAAATATGTCACAGGATCTTTAACGCCCACTGTGAAACAGACGCCGCGTATTTTTACATATACATCTGCAGTATTAATTATGGCGGCCGCTGGAGTCGATCCATGAGCCTCTGCAACCAGCGGCAAATGCTCTACCGTTGGGCCACGTCACCGGCTGAGGCATTGCAGTATCAAGGCCACCCATGTGGAAATGTATTAGTCTGGAATTCAAGGCCTGGACCCATGAGGTTGAAGCTGAGAGCCACAAGGCCCAGTTGAGGCCAATGCCTTTCAGGTCGAGGCCAATATTGAGGCTAGTCAACAGTCCCGATGCCAAGGTGAAGGACTAGCGCCGGCCTCCTGGCCAAGGACTGGTGTCTCAAGAGCCAAGACTGCAATGCATTAACGACAACTCATTGTAAACGAATTGTTCCCACAGCTATCTGGTCATGCCCTTCATGGGAACGGACCTGAGCAAGATCATGAAGCATGGGAAGCAGTCAGACGACAAGGTTCAGTACCTGATCTATCAGATTCTCAAGGGACTTAAGGTGAGACAATGCACACCACAAATCCCCCCTGACCTGACAGCCACATTGTGAAAGCATGGTTGATTCACCGCAGCCAACCAGATTAAGTGGTGTGTTATTAAAGCCAACGAGATAGCTCTATGACCACAGCAGCTGGCAATGGGGCCATAGTCCCGGAATTGTGGGTTCAGTTCAAATGGTTGTTATTCCCCTGGGTGTCAGGGATTCTGCCGTCGTGCAATGGTTTGTACTCTGGACTTCGATCTCCTGGCGGGGCAGTTGAAACGAAGGTTGGAAGTTTCTTAAAATCCCCTCACCTCTGTCGACCCAGCAGTGTAAATGGGTTCAGGGTGCCTGTGTTGGGGTCAATCTTCTCCAGACGACTGGCCATTGTGGAAGAGTAGGTCAAATGCCATTTAGAGGTGTGCTCACAACGTTGGTGTACGGTGCTATTTCAGGAATATTTTGATGTTTTTGTCCTGGATTTTCCGTTTGCACAGTCACATAATCACTTTAAGATGTTTTCTTGTTCATGTTTTTGTTTTTTGTTTGTTGCGGTTGCACCCGATTCAAGAGCCGAATGGCTCACAGGGGCTTTACCAAATAAATGGAACTATGAACTATGACTTCTAGAGAGCTCCCTCCAGCGGAGGCCCCTTTGGCCAGTAGTGACGTAAGCAAGCAATTTCAGCTGCTGCACCTTTATCTTTACCCTGGGTGTCAGTAGTACAGTTACAAGAAACGCCACCTTATGAAGCTGAATCACTTTGGTGGGAAGTTGACGATGGTTGTCGTACGAGAAACTTGTCCCATAACACACAAATTACGATATTACGCCCCTGGCTTAGGACTGCCCAAAGAGATGGCTACCATCCAGCACTCGAAAGGTCATGAAAACACTCGTGAACTTTTTAAAAGAGACAAAGTATCGCACCAGTGTGAACTTGGCAGCAACATTCCGGCCGCGCTGCCACCTGCCCCTACAAATATTAGAGTGTTCTTTTCTGGCCGGCAGGAGCGGCGGGGTTGCCAAGTCGACATTCGTGCAATGTCGACTTTTTGGCCGTCGAGCTGCCACAGCGAGAACAAAAGCCGGAGGATGGAACCGCATAGCGAGCAATCGCCTGGCACTGCACGGGGTTTGAAGTGGTTTCCCTTAGCAGGCACGTTCGGATTGAAACTGAAATGTCAATAGAACACCTTCACCGACAGGCTCCCTTGCTAGGCAACGGGGCAGCCTTTGTGAGTGTTTGACAACGTCTCATGCCCACACACAATCACCCGCCATGGGATATCAATCGTCTGGCTTTAGTTATTTGCTTTCGTCTGGAAAATGTTTGCGCTACATTACGTTCCCTCCAGCCTCATTAATTGGGATAGCAGCCCTTTGAAACCTGTGAATTTCACAGATCGGTGATCATTCATTAGATATTAATTAAACTTGTGTAACTAGGGTTCAATTGGTGATAATTAGCAAATGCTACTTTTAGCACAGATAGCATTTCTGGTGTTACAAGGGTCCTCAAGTGATTTGATTTTGTTATAATTGACTGGTATGGCATTCCTGAGAGTCCAAACTGCTAGGTTTATCGCTTTCACTTTTTCTTTACTGATAAAATAAAAAAAACTGTACATGTTTCAACACTTCGCAGGTCATCCAAGTTGAAACCCCATGAAGACAAGCATAAAGAAATGTTTATCAGCTTCATACATTCAAGCAGTGCATTTACAAAAGGGCCAGCCTTTGAATATTAAGGAATTTCCTGTCAAGGGATCGTCTGTATCACACGCACCCTAGTTATCTGCCAGAAAGGCCAATTACACAGCTATCCAAAATGACCTGGCCTCATAATTTATAACTGAATTTTCAATGCATAATGATGCTGCATAATAGATGTAAGGTGCTTGCATCTCATTTATAGACAGTGCCAACCCCTCTACAAAGCAGGGGCCGTCTATTGCATGAATTAGTCATATCACATAAAATGGGCCAGGTCAGGGATCCCATTATTAATTTATGATCGGCTTTTAGGAGGAACGCTGCGAGGTTACAACTGTTTCTATTAGCACCGGTCATCACGGGACCTTTAATGTGTCCAAAGTAGATGGGGAACCTTTAGATTTTTAATCCGGAATTCTTTTAATCGCTTTCCAAACGAAGGTTGAAAGCATTGGCGCATTAGCGCCATCCGTCCGACCTTCCGTCCGTCTGTCCGCGCCTCTGTCTGTAATTTAAAGGGGGGGGAGTACAATAACTCTCATGAGGATGATTGAATATGAACCCAACTGTTGTGAACAGCTGTGTTCATATTATGGACTGACACTGAAGACAACTGGCCACATTGAGCAAAGCGTGGCCCGTGCCCTCCCTGGCAGAGCCGATACCGGAGCCCCCGTTGTATGTATGTTGAACTTCTTTTGCACCGTACGTAGCCAACCGTGCTAATCGGAGTTCCCGGGGATGGACAACAAATCACGGCCTACAGATTCCGTGCCGCTTCCTGAGCACCTGGCACGAACTCTGGCATTATTATCGTTATTGATAATTATTATTGATAATCATTGTTATTGCTAATTACATCCTTTGGATAAATACCTGTCTGGTAAAGTGTATGCAAGATTTTTTCCCCCTTGTTTAAATAATCGAGTCAACTTACAATTATCCAGGATAATGCGTGGTGGAGGGGGGAGGGAGTGCCCGTATAAAACGGAAACGTGGATATCAACAAATCATATCCACATTAAGCAATACAAACGTACTTATTGTTTACCCACCTGGCATGATGGAGGGGGTTGAAGGCAGGATGTCTAATATACGTTTACTGTTTGTTAAGGTAAACCGCTCCCTTGCCAACGCATTCACAGTCCCGTCGACAGTCACCGGCTCTCAGACAACGATTGTGGGACAACTCGTAATTAAACCGGCGTGCGCTTAGATATATTGTTTTTTTTTAAACACGTACTCGGTTTTCGCAGCCAGTGTTGTGATTCACGATAGAACACGTACTCGGTTTTCGCAGCCAGTGTTGTGATTCACGATAGACGTTTGGATAAGGCCACAGAGCGATCTAACTAAATTTGTGTTGTTAAGACCCCTCCAGCACTCGATGTGGCCAAATAAATAAAATAGTCGCGTGCAGCAACGTTTAACAACACGGCATTCTTACATCCAAAGTTAGCAATGATATACTTTTGGAACTAGTCATTTGGTTTGGAGAATTGATCGACTTATCAGTGAGCTGGAAAGATAATAATTTGGCGTGTTGTCAGATGCTTGCACACCACATCACAATTGAATTCGTTTGGCTGTGCTGGGTGGTGGATAGGTCTTGATTGCAGATGTTTGGTCAGATCATGATGTGGCCTAACCCAAACATCAATCATGAATCAAAGATGTTTTTTGTTCACAAGCACAGTTAATTTGTAGCAAAGAATCATCTGCTCACAGGTAATAGGGAGTTCACTGTAAATATGAGTGACCGTGGCTTGCTTTTTTGATGTGCCGTGTACATTAATACCTAACAAATCATACGTAACTTTGTGAATGCTTTTGGTATTTAATAATAAACATCCATAGGTGACTTTTACAAATGTACCATGCGATATTTTTAGTGCATCATTCTTGAAAAGATAAATTAAACAAGCATACACAATGTGCACATTTCTTACCATATAATTAGTATATATACACAGTACTGTAAACTTGATGCAGAGTGTATCTAAACGTATGGGTTTTTTATTGATACATCACGTTTTTTCTGTTTTTTTACATATAGTACATTCATTCTTCTGGGATCATCCATCGGGTAAGTAGCGCATATAAACTGCCGCTTTCATGTGGAAATGCGTTTACGAAAAAAATAACAACTTGGTGCTGAATCCATGGGAATCTGATGATTGCCGTTACATCAAAAACGACGATGCCTGCCGGGCGAGTCCAAATTGATCGTCAAAGTTAAAGTTATTTGTTTAACACGTAGATTTTCGCGACCAATGTTATCTATAATAACGGGTTTTTTTGGGATTAGATCGTGTGAATATAAATGTGTCGTTAAACCCGCCATCACCCGGCACGGCCAATTAGTGAGGTTTGTCACGTCAACAAAACGTGCCAATTAGTTACTACATCAGCACACCGGTGTGTTGGAGAGTAAACCCACAACATTTACAATTTGAGTATGACGTTTCAATGGTGATTACAACCAGCTTCATCAGGCGATTAGCCAGAATTGTGAAGAAGTCCTCCTGTTTCTTCAGTCTTAAATACGAATGAAACAAGTAATTTCCTGCCGAGATGGGCGGGGATACTCTTTGGTTCTTTTCGGTAAAGTCACGTAGATAAAAAAAAATAAAAAAAAATCACGACGTTTTGGCCACAACACAAGTGGCCTTCATCAGGTGAAGGGACCAACCTGTCCGGAGGACAGCGTTGGAGTGAAAAAAGTCAAGCGCAGGTCGCCTCCTTTACGCTGTGAGTGGGTAAACAGAAAAGACGCCTTGACAAAGGAATTAGCATAAAATGTAAAGTTGTGCAAGCTCACAAATAGCATCAAAAATACATTAGCACCACCGTGAGAGTTTGGGATGCCACTAATTGAATGAACATACTGTACCATTAAAAATTCCTTTAACGTTTGGTTCGATTTAGAACATCTTTCCAATGGTTGCTTAATTTGAAGCCATCTTCTCGGTTGAAATTGTGTCTGTGTTTGTAAATCTGAATTGCCTCGTGAAGAAATCTCTGATAGAAACCCGTGGGTTTACATAGAACCTTGGTATCGGAGAAGACTATATCGTGATCACCCACAACGTTGTAACAGTGATCAGCCACGGCAGAAGAATTCGTTCTGCCATGTTTCAAATCTGATTTGTGATCGCGAATTCGGTCAGAGACATGTCGTTTCGTCTCCCCGATATAGCAGTCACCAAAGGTGTAGATCAATTTGTAAACTCCGGGGTACTGTACGTCAGGAATGACATCCTTCACGGAAGGGATCAGGTCACGGATTTTGTGTGCTGTATTGAACCGGACCAGGATCTTGTGTTTGTTTAGAATTTTGGAGATCTTTTTAGTAACGCCTGCTATATATGGTAGTGTGATGGTTTTGATCGGAGTATCAAGTGGTTGTTTCTGTATGGAGGGAGAAACAGCTTGGCGGATGGTACGGTCAGAGTATCCATTCCTTTTGAGGGTCAGATGTACATGTTTTAATTCACTGGTCAAGTGGTGTTGGTCCGAAATGCAATGAGCCCTGTGAAACGTCGTGATTTTTATTTATTTTTTACCTACGTGACTTTACCGAATAGAACCAAAGAGTATGGATCCTTGCAGTCACGGAAGCTTCAAATCTAGAATGGGCAGGGATGTCCTGCTGAAGTGGTGCATGGCTTCTCTCACCTCCCCCACCACCACAGTGCTACGGGGCTGCTGTAATTTCACTTACAGGAGTTGGCCATTGTGTTCTGGCATCAGGGCCCAAAATTTGGCCCACTTTGAAACTTGACCTATGAAGTAGTGAACAAATCCAGCATTTATGAATTGCCGAACGGACGCTGAGGTTGCTGTTGGCGTGGTTTAGATACGTCATCAAAATGTGTCGGTGGGAAATATTTACTAATTTGCCTTGCTGCACCGTGTCTCCCTGTGTGTACCCTAGGATCTCAAACCAGGGAATCTCGCTGTAAATGAAGACTGTGAGCTCAAGGTACTGTGACACTTTATGGCCAAGACTGTTAATCAGGACTAGGAACCACACTCGGCCTGCCGCGTTCGTAGTTCAGTGTGCTACAAACACACACGAATGCCAGATATCTGAGTACCAATCCAGAACCCTGAATGTTATTTGGTGTGAGTCTCCAATTGGTCCACTGACCTTAAAAATGGTTGCCCGGGGAAGTGTGTCACCATCATCACTGGGCATGGGGGGGTGCGTGGTGTCAGTGTCACACCGCCGTTACATGTGGCAGAGTTTCACTGTTTTAGGAAAAACCGGCGATGCACTGCAGGTTCCACTCATGTGTATTGGCTGCTGAAATAATTCGGTGTTTTTTGATACTTGCGAGTTCATTGTAGGGACTGCTGGCTACATCAGGCCCTGTACAGTAATTAATGTGTGTGTGTGTGGAGTGGCAGGGTAGCGGTTAGCGTGCTGCGCTACGAACCCAGCTACTCGAGTTAAATTCCCACTAACGGCCAACACCAGTGACAATTATCTAATCGGTTCTGGGCCTCCCCTAGGTTTACTCAGCCTCAAATGAGTACCTGGTGCAGTGTGTAAATATTGCCACTAGGGAGAAGAAGGTGGCCGGGTGTGGTGCTGGCCACCCACCCCCTCGTGTGCCGTGCCGGCCTTCATAGGTGCTCGCTAACAGTACTTGCCCCAACAGTCTGTTAAGGCTACACGGGGGATATTTGTCTCACTACATGTGCATGCTCCTCAAAGTGCACCTAGCCTCGCTCGGGCTTCGTGGCGACATCACCAACACATGGTGGTAAACGACAGCTGCTGTTTGTTGTCATCGTTGTTGCACCCGTCTCAGATCCTGGACTTCGGGCTGGCTCGCCACGCCGACCAGGAGATGACGGGCTACGTGGTGACACGCTGGTACCGCGCTCCCGAGGTCATCCTCAACTGGATGCACTACACGCAAACCGGTAGGGTCAGCGGGGGACACTCTGCAACCACTCGCAACCACTCACAACCACTCAACATCTGGGACCCGAGCACATCCATCATGTTGGCGGCATTTATAGCATTCGTATAAGGCGTAATGGTGGTCCAGTGTTATCACTTGTGCCTCACTGCAAGAAGTGTCAGGGTTCAATTCCCTAATCGTGTGCCGTTCTGTGTGGAGTTTGTATGCCTCCCCCTCTTCTGCATGGGTTTTTTTAAAATCTGGGTTCTCCAATTTCCCCCAAAGTTGATAAAACATACCATGTGATTGGCATTGACCAAACATTTCAATGCCGAACCCCTCCTCCACTCCCCTGCAAATGACTCCATTGGGATTACGCGTAGCAACTTCGCCCCCGACTGAGATTCAGTGAGGCTTTCCTAGGCAAACAAGCAAAACAATAATAGCATAGGTAAGGGAAAATAAGCAGGGAATGTCTCTTGTGTCGCTGTCGTTCCCTGGTAGGTTGAATTATAACAAGTGGGCAGCCCAGATTATGGACTTGACGTGACGCTCACATAGCCCTCATCTCACCCTCATTTATGTGAACCTCGCCACCCACTGTGTGACCCTCACCACCCACCACGTGACCCTCACCACCCACCACGTGACCCTCACCACACAGCACGTGACCTTAGTCACCCACTGTGTGACCATCGCCACCCACCACGTGACCCTCACCACCCACCACGTGACCCTCACCACCCACCACGTAACCCTCACCACACAGCACGCGACCCTAGTCACCCACTGTGTGACCCTCACCACCCACCAGTTTATGTGATTCCCGGTAAGCCTGATGTGATTGGATGTCTCCCCCCGGCCCCGCACACAGCTCGATCGCACGTCTGTCTATCTGTGGTATGATTTTGAAACGCGGTTGTGAGGCTTGCATGATTTGCCAGGCTATTGTAAATCGTAGATAAGATAAAACAGCGCCAAGGGTCAATATGATGAAATTACCGGGCCATAGGTAAAACTATTTTCTCAATTTCAGTCTCGTTTGCATAAACGAAATGTCATCGGCTTTCAAATCAGTATACCTGATTGGCTGAAATTGGTGCAACAGTTTAGGAAAAGTTATCTGTTCTAGTTATCTGGGCAAGTATACATATTAAAATACATATAGCAAATCAACCACTTATATATCGATAACACAGACAACAAGGTCACATGCTTTATTCATAAAACAGCCAAATCTGTGGGCATGTATTTCGGTGAATTCGTAGCTCGGTAAGGAAATACTGGAATGCAAAAAATCCACACATTTTCCTCCACTAACCGAATGAATGTTTTAATTACAATAGGATGACACTATTATTTTTAATCATTATGGTTACCGAACTGTATCATGGATGCAACTCCCCCTCTGCCGATTCCCATGGCTCTCACTGCACCACTCACGCACACGCGCATTGTCCACGCTCATTAAATGCGTCGCTGCACCACCACACCTTTTGAGATTGTTTCACGCCCAAGCTCAGCTAAACCGTCAAATGAATTGTACGCCGCTCTCCCCGCATCCCACCGATGCTACTTGTGTCCCCGCTTCAAACTCTGTTGAGTGCCTTCCGACGCCTGCCTCTTGAGACCTGGATCGTAAAAGCCAGATTAATTGCAGTGCCGTGTAAATGAACAACCCTTTGTCGATCCAGAGCCTTGCTTCCACTCCGTGCTGACGTGGGGGTTATTTGGCCATACTTCACCCACACTGGCTCACCGTGGGTTGGTGAAGGTGTACAGTGCATAGAAGTACAGTGCAGAAATTGATTTTGTCTTCCTCTGCTGACCACCACATATCACCACAACATATAAACTTTTTATTGGTGCCAGATAAAAGGGTAAAAACCTATAAACTACGATTAAACTTTATATTAGTTTTGGTGCCAGATAAAAGGGTAAAAACCTATCAACTACGATTAAACTTTATATTAGTTTTGGTGCCAGATAAAATGGTAAAAACCTATAAACTACGATTAAACTTTATATTAGTTTTGGTGCCAGATAAAAGGGTAAAAACCTATCAACTACGATTAAACTATTTTTAACCTTACCAAGTAAGGCCCACTGAACTATATAGGTCTTTTTCAGAAGCAACCTTGCCCACAAATTATAGGTCAACGAAGTGGCTTATCAAGTGGAAACGTATATATCAGCCGAATACTCTAAAGTATGTTAATTCTCAATGTGGAGGGAAAACTGGAGGAGCCGAAGAAAAATCCATGCGACCACGGGAAGAATATGCAAACGCCAAATATATGGGCGTCAGGACTGGGATCGAACCCAAGACTTCCTATATACCAGGCAAGGCAGTTAACATCTCGCCACCGCCTGCGACTTGTTGTGCATGGGGCTTGCCCGTCCGAGCTTCATGCGGGGCTCTCCCTGCTTAGCGCTGGAGATGGAACGTCGCCGGACACGTGCCGGGTGATTTGGTCGAAGTGTCTTGCGGCGTGAGTGCTGTGTTGAGCCTGTCCCCTCTGCTCTGCAGTGGACATCTGGTCGGTGGGCTGCATCATGGCGGAGATGATCACCGGAAAGCCTCTGTTTCCTGGGAATGACCGTATCCTTTGGCGACCTTTACCGAGCGGTGGAGAGTGGTGGGACAGCGGTTGGGAGGAGAGAGTTTTGTCCAACCTGTACATGTACAGCACGTGTTTTTTTGTTTGTTAATCTACTACCGGATGAGGTTGTCCCAATGTCATGCGGGTTTTTTTTTTACCATACTTCACCACACTGGTCCAATGCCACTTGGTGACGGTGGGGGAGGGCAGAACTACAATGGATTTTCTGCACTGCCCTCTGCTGCCCGCAATGGCCCATTCCATCTCTGCTTTGCGCAAGGTGGCAGTCACTTATCCAAGCAATATCCAGGCTCCAGACCTGCTTAGCTTCCGAGATCTGATTTAGATCAGGAACATTCCGGGACATTTTGCTAACAAGCGTTGTTTTCATATTAGACTATAGTTCCATTTTACCCGAAAAATTGTTGCAAGAACCATTCATGTCTGCTGTAGTTTCTGTTCATATTCAAATTGTACTGATTGACCCCCTCTGCTTTTAATCAGTGTCAGTTTTGTAACGGTCACAGTTTTTATCGAATCAATTCAGACATTTAACAATTATTGGGGTAATTTAGCCACACGTTCACCTGAAACACGTAATCTATCCACTGCTGGATGAATGCTTACCCAAAAATGGAAAATTGTGGACGTCATCAAAGAAATGGGACCGGTCGTTTGAAAATATTTTCATCTGACCAACTGGCTGTGTCTCTGCCTCGTGTGTGTTTTGCGTCGTTGCCGCCCGTACAACTCAAAAGCACTTCGGATGGCTACGCAGCACAACCGCGAAAGCCTACGCAATGGTGAATACAATGTTTACACGGACATGAAATACCTCATTCGTGGAATGATGTCTCAATTACAGTGCTGTATATCTCATTATTTTCGGAAATCTCTCATAGCTCCTGCTGCCCTCTCTATTCTCATGCCCACACTATTTCTGTCTCTCTCTCTCTTACACACCTCCCAAAACCTCCCCCCTCTCTCAGCTGCCTGCCAATCAGACAGTGATTATAGTTTACTCCTTCTCCCTCCTGCTGTTCCTGCTGTCTAAATTGGTAATCCGCTTTACTGTCTGCACGTACGATACCCCCTCGGTTGACGTCTCAAAACATTAGTCTCGGATTTTTACATTATTTTTACATAAGTGTACATATATCATGTTTTACATATTTTACTTACAACGTACAACACAGTAGACGTGTGTATTTTTTTTTTTAGAATGTCTTAATCACATACTATGTGATGTCTAATCAAGTCTCTCCTCTAAAGGTTTTCAGGAGTATTTATTTTTACCCTGTGTATAATCCGATTCTTTTGTACAACGTCTCTTCTGTCTCATGAATATGCCGACGTTGAGCCCTTGGTTGGTCCACCGCTGGGTGGGGTCTCCTCTTGCTGTGCAGGCTGCAGGGGTTTATTTGACAACACTTCACCATGCTGGTCAGTGCGGATTAGTGAAGCTATGGAGCATAGATGCGGGAGTTTAGTACAGTACAATAATTAATGTTATTGCACTGCCCTCTGCTGCTCACTACGTAGCCCCGCAGAAGCCTCTAGAAACCCGTTGAGGATATATGGTCACCCATCCAGACTCAATCCAGGCTTAACTCTTTTAATCTTTTTTAAGCTTTTAAGATCTGACAGGTGATTTAGTTATAGGCCTCACAATCCTCAAATGATTCCCAAAAGTATTAATCAGTAAGGTCCATTCTACTGCATTTGGCTTGGGACATTTGGAAAATGTATTATTGAATATTTGGTATTGATCTCCTGTGAATATGGTTACCAACTCTGGCTGAAGCTATTCCCGGAGATTTTTAAATTAAATGTATTTTCTTAAAATACCCCATTATTGTTATAATCTCCTGCATTGCGTTCAATAGTCACCAAGAGATCGATGCCTTTTTCCAGTAGAAACTCCCGGCCAATCCGGGACAGTTAGCAACCCAGCGTGTCAACAAAAGTGTACACACTGAGTGGTAGTTCTTTGTCAATGACAACGGCCTTGACGAAGTTCAACCAGACATGGACCAGCTGATGCTGATCCTGAAGCTGACGGGAACACCTCCACAGTACCTCGTCGACAGAATGGACGAGAATGTGAGCTGCCTCTTGCACTTCATTACCCGGGGTCCTGGCACTCGCCACTGGCTCCAGTTCACGTTCTACGGTGCTGCGGGTGTATTGAGCAAAGCCTCCAGGTCCAATAATTATTAATGCGGTACTGGAGCTGGGCTAATCAATTATTCATCGTCGATTAGTGCACAGGTTATCGGTTCGATTTCTCGACACAATTGGATTACCAAAGATGGTCACTGCGTCGCACACTTTCAGTTGCGCTTCTGCGGCCGTCTAAAATGCTCTTGCTTCTGATATTAGAAAGCCACTGCACTTTTAAATCTGAATAGTAAATAAAAATCAATTAATTAATAAATAATTGCTGGCCTTCCCCCGCACCTCCGATTCGCACGGTTGACTACGTACATTGCGAAAGATGTTTAACATACATACGTACAACACAGATATAATTGGCGAAAAAAAGTCTCACTTCTGTTTACATATGTGCCGCTGGAAGGGAGGTGATGGGCGAAGTTTTGTGATGCCATCACCATTGTTAGCTGTTGAATCGCACTGGGCATGACTTGTGGGGGGTTTTCTGCCTTCGGGAGGCAGGATGTTGGGGTAGCATTCGTTTTTAAATGGGCTCGAGTAATTAACCCCCCAAAAAAGTAGTTGAAAACAATGATGAGTTGATTCATGGACTTAATTGACTCTGTCCCAGCTCTAATACATACCCGAGAGGGTGCATCACTCAGGGTTGAAAACAGGAAATGACAATTATACACAAACTCACGTAACTTTTCAATGTGATAACCATCAGCACTAGTATGCTAATGTTTTGCGTGATTTATAGGCAGGCATGGGCATCCCAAATTAAACTTACATCTTGGTCCCTAGAAAAATTTGTCTACAAATGCAGAACAAATTATTTGGTGGTGACACTGCTGCTGCGTTGGCAGTGGTGCACAGGGACAATTAAGAAGAAGACCATCTCAACGCATTTGGCAATAACACGGTGGCCTTAAAAGAGAAAAGATATAGAGTCGGTGAAGATTTGGGCAATGACAAATTATTCGTAGCACAAAGCCATTGATTTCACGTGTTTGATTTGTATGTAAAACCATTGATATGTCGAATTTTAATTGTTTTCAAATGTTTCGATTTAAAGCTTTCGGGACTGCAGGGATTCATATTCTTTGTTCTTTCGGTAAAGTCACGTAGAAGGGAAATAATATTATTTCGGTAAAGTCACTTTACCGAAAGAACCAAGAATATGTATACAAATCCCGAAGTGTGCTAACATCCTGTGCGTCGAGAGCGAGCAGTTGGCTCTAAACGCCGATTCTAAGTGGGCGATTAGTGCTGCACGGATTCGATGGAACTGTCGCTCGTGTTTGTGGTAGAAGTGGCTCGTGACGTGACGGTGGAAGTGTTCCTGTCTGTTTTACACGAATGCCTTTTCGTCATTGTAACCCCGAGTGCTTAATGCTGTTGTCACTTTCTTGTTGGTTTTGTTGTTGTTGTTGCAGGCAGCCAAGTACATAAAGACGCTGCCCAAGATGGAGAAGAGACGGATTTCCACCGTGTTCCCAAACGCCAACCCAATAGGTCGGTTGCTGCACTGAACGTAGTCGCTGTTTACTTGAGACAATTTGTACAACAGCCACGTGGTTGGCGAATTGAGCTGAGTTGCATTGTTGTGGTGTAATTCCCAGGAGCTGCATGCAATATTTCAGGATATGACCAAAATAATAAAAAAACATTGTTCACCCTAGGATGCAGCCTCAAATATTATGTCTTTGGTATACTTGTTACAGGCTCTTTCATAACACATTGTTACATATACGGGAAGACCCGTAGATGCTTTCTCATGTCACTGTTGGTGGAAGGGCCTCTACTCGAGGGAGCTTTTGAGAGCTCCCCTAGAGGGTATTTGGTCTACTCTTCCCCAACTGGCCAGATGTCTTGTAAGAGTGTTCTGCATTTCAGGGCTGCCTGCTCAGGTGAGGAGGCTTGTGACACATACTGTCCACGTTTGTGACTGCAAGCATGTTTCTGTGTTGCATACTGTTGTCTTTATGATTACCTTGTGTAGCTGTTGTTTAAACACGCGGTGAAAAATCGACGTATTTTTTTTGTTAACTCTTAAGTTTCATTTATGGGTAGCAACCACCTGGGCTTGCTTGGCAGGACATGTGGTCGGATCGCCTTCGTTTCTGAGGGGGGGTCACTGTTTTGTCAACTGATTTTTCGATCGGATTCAAATTACAGGACTAGGTTACCGCTGTAATGAGCTGCTTCCTGGTGTGCTTCGCTAGACTCAATACCAATGAACTTCATACAGATGGATGGATGTTAGAATACATTCTCCCTTGCGTTCTTCTTTCTAGGGTTGCCGCAACTAGGGCCAGATTAACGCAGGGCCCTCTATGGGCTGCTGCTTGGGGGCCTCTGACTTTCAGAAGCCATCCACACAAATATATATACACACAGCGTTAGAATATTTGGAATGCACTTCTGCAGCACTCTGCTACATCCTGTGGTGGAAGTTGGTAATTTTCAGCTGTAGTGTCACATGTGTACATTGCTGCCAGTTATATGCCACCATTTGAATAGTTTAGTTCGTTTTAACTTTGAGTTAGCTGCTCGACTCATACATCGTATTTAAAAACATTTACGATCTGAGCATCGTCAGGTGACAGCCACAACATTTGCTCAGATTGTAAATGTTGTGGCTTTGCTCTCCAAAACACCGGTGTGATGTACTAGTAACGAATTGGCACGTTCTGTTTACGTGACAAACCTTACTAATTGGCTGTGTCGGGTGGTGGCGGGTTTAATGACACATTTATATATTTACGCGATATAGCCCCAAAAAAACCTCTCATGGATGATATTGGTCGTGAAAGCCCAACGTGTTAAACCAGAGTAATTATTATAATAATAAATTGACGGTTCAATTGACACCACCAGTTGCCTCTCCACTTTCCCGTCTCCTGTGCAGCCATCGACCTGCTGGAGAAGATGCTGGCGCTTGACCCCGAGCAGCGGCCCACGGCCTCGGAGGCTCTGCAGCACCCCTTCTTCTCGGAGACTCGCGAGCCGCTCGAAGAGACCGAGGCCGAGCCGTACGACCAGACGTTCGAGGGCGTCGAGCTGGAGACGAGCGAATGGAAAAGTAACGACTTCTCCCTCGTCCCCTTCTCTTTCTCTCCGCTCCTCCCGTTTGCTTCTCCTCCGCTCCCTGCTCCTCTCTGCTCCAGCTCCGGCTCCTCCCTGACCCCCCCCCCTCCGAGTTTGTCTCTGCTCCCCCAAAAAACCACCGCTTCTCCTGACCTTACGTCGTGGCGCAACGCTTGGGCTTAGAACAGTTGAGCTCGGTGTGAGCACAGCCATGTGCAGGCGGTAGTTCAAGCTCCTGTTGTTTAACCAGGCGAGAATGCAGGAGACCAGGATGAGTCTCATTTACAAGAGTCACCCGGGGTATTAGTCTGCCAGTAGGGAGCGATGATTGCTAATGTAGAATCCCAATTGAGTCGTTTGCGGGTCATTTTCCAGTTTGACATATTTGAAACCTGACACCGGCACTCAATGGCTCATTCTTGTGAATTATGTCAGTGGATCATTAACGTCCACTGTGAAGCGCATAACTTGTATAATTATCATTATTGCTACTCCAATATTTACACCCGCAGTATTAACCGGGGCGGCCGCTGGATTCGAACCGTGAACCTCTGCAACAAGTGGCAAACGCGCTTCTGCTGGGCCGTGGGACCCATTCTGAGAACAAAAATGTTATTTTTTTACGTTGTTAAAAGACCAAATGACCCTGAATGTACCCGACCTCAACAGATTTCACAAGATAGGTATTTCTGCGCCTGGTTAGCGAGCCCTCAAACGAGGGCCACAAGGTGGCGAAGGTATGGCAGTACAACAAGAGACTTAAATCTAAGCGTGCATCGTTTTCAGCATATCCCGGCATCCTCCCACATGAACCCAAGCGCTCGTTCATGGAGCTTCTGACCAAATAATATCCCAAAGTCTTGAGACTCGCTGACACTTCCGTGGGTAAATAAAGAGTGATTATTTATTACTAAATTGCAATATTTTACATTTGGTGTGATAATTGGTGCTCTTCCTTTCATTCGTTTGGCGCCGATCAACAATTTCACCTTGAACGGCACAAAACGAACGCCCCCAGGCCTCCATTCTGAAAACCAACAAAATAGACCAGAGGGAGAGTGGGAGTGCAGTGGTTAGCACACTGCACTACGAACCCAGCGACTCGAGTTCCATTCCCATTCACAACAATAACAGTGACGAATATCTGAACCAGTCCTGGGCCTCCTGTAGGTCGACTCGGCCTCGAATGAGTACCAGGTGTGCTGTGTAGTAAACATCGTCACTAGGGAGACAAAGGTGGACGGGTGTAGTGTTGGCCACCCACCCCTTTTGTGTGCCGTGCCAGCCTTCATAGGTGCTCGCTGACAGCACTTGCCCCAACAATCTGTGAAAGACTATATGGGGGTTCATTGTGTGTGTGTGTGCGTGTGTGCAGGTCTGATCCATGTCGAGATAACGACCTTTGATCCAAAAAACCCGCACCAGCTGGCCACATAGAGCCTGGCCTGGCCCGGCACGAGCGTTCACCCTCAAACGTCCACTCGCGGCCACCCACCAGCAAACCCCCGGGGTTCATCGACACAGCAGATGCTTTGTGATTGTCAGTTTCGCACACACACACAAACATTTTGTTGATTAAACGATTATACTTCACGTGCAGCGTAGAATGTAACAGCTTCGAGCTCTCGCAAGAACTGATTTCCTTGGCCTCATCGGCACGCCAGGTTTTTAATGACATTTGACATTCTCTCCAATTGAATTACAGTTCACATGTGTGGTGTACAACACAGAACACAATATCAACAGTTGCAGGCAAATATGCATCATACATATATCTACACACACACACTTATATGCAACTTCGTTTGTCAGTCTGTTCACATGTTTGTCTGTCGCAGCATTTTCTTGTGTAATTATCTTCTTACATGAGTCGGGAAGGATACATTCTGACTGTAAGAAACCAGGAACCTATGGTACTGAACGTCACCTATGTTTGACCCGTGACCGTTGACCCGGGTGAAAGAAATGCATGCTACTTGCAATGAGTGGTGTGCTTTCTACTGGACAAAGCGTGCTATTGCAATAGTCGTGTCATCTATACGGTACTATATGACACTTTACTTGTCATAAGCGACTGGTGAGTGTCTAATGAGTGCAATTGGTGAGTGTCTGGTTAGTGGTGAGCGTGTCAGATAAGCGGTGAGTAAGGGTTGCCACCTTTGCTAGTTTTTTCCAGGATCGTCCTCTCTTCGAGGTAGCTACTGCCCTGGGAAATCTGTACGTCTTCCCGGGTAAAATAAAAGTCCCGTTTGTTTTTGTTATCAGTTGCATAGAGATGCATCACTCAAGACTATGCATTTACATGTGGTCCTCCCATCTGGTGATTGTGAGATATTCATCTTTCCATGATATGTCTCCGTTTCTTGTACCTCAGAGGTAGCTGTCCTTACACTGAGTGGTGAGCTATCCACCCTGCCTGTAGGATGGCCTGCCCTATCGTTACAATACATTTACACTACACAGTATCATTGGAAAGCCATGTCTTGCATACCCTCTCTCTCTGTTGACTGTGAATTGGAAATTAGGCTTTGTCTCGTGGAGCCGGCAGGAATTTAGATTTTTTTAAATATTCTTTGGGTCTTTCGGTAAAGTCAAGTTGATAGGTTCAAAAATAATACAAATTAACAAAAAACTACGACGTTTTGATCGCAACACAAGCGACCGTCATCAGGTGGACGGTCGCTTGTGTTGCGATCGAAACGTCGTAGTTTTTTACATTTTTATTTTGAACCTATCTTCGTGACTTTACCGAAAGACCCAAAGAAGATGAATTCCTGCAGTCACGAAAGCTTCAAGTCAAGATTTAGCAATTTAGTTGTTTGTCATTGCATTCTGGTCGATTATTGCCTCTGCAGATGTCTCCAACACTCCCTTTGAACGTTCCAATTGGACAAAAGAGCACAGTCTGCCGTTTTGTTAATCTGCAGGGTGAGGGGTTTTATATGTACGGCATAACCCCGTATAAATAATAAAGTAGGCTATTGCATCGTGACCTGGCCCAGCATTCCTGTGGTGTTCTGCAGAACACCTTAGCTCTCGGTATATTGTTTTAATTTCGCAGGGGTAATTTGAGTGAACAAATGAAGTAGTTATTATTTACAAAGAGGAGCTGTGCACTGTTTCTCCTGGACAGGTTTAATATCCCTATGAGCGTCGGTCATTGTTTCTTACTCGAGTAGGGTGGTGGAAAGGGTGGAAACACCATCACGTCAAACAGGGTCATCAACGCTTAAAACTCACGATAGACCTTGTTGGAATTTAATCGTATCCCGTGTTAAAGAAAATTCCGATGCGGTCTCCAATGAATCATCCCTTTATTTAAAACGTAACAGGACCTCTTTTGTTCTACATCAAACCAGTTCGAATCTCGGCTTGCCATCTTCGCCCTCCATCACCTGTGCCCCCAACATACACACCGTGGTCCGCACGGTGACAATTTAACGCGTGAGCTCGGAGGGTGATGCATCTAATATTGATGAGGCCGATGCCGAACACAAGAGATTGCATTGCCGTTATCTCCCAAGCGCCGTTTCCCATTTGTACGTCTCCATGTCGTGTACACTGACGTTTCATTACTTTTTAATGATACGTGACGCCATTTTGTAAAACAAAATAAAACGTGAAACTCTTTAATTAAATGTTCTCTATGAATTGTTTTTTTTCTTCCGTTATGGGTGTTGAGCGGATGTATCGAATCGTGTTCGTTGCATTGAAGTTAAAGCCACTTTCTTATTTTGTCTGAGCAACTGAAAAAGTCTCGATATTATTGTACCCAAAACACGGAGTGTTGATGGAGCGACGAAAACCAGCTTGTGTGCAGGCCCAAGGTGGATCGTGAGAGATGGTGGCAGCTTGCGGGGGACCTTCATCCAGCAGTGGATCGATCAAGGCTGACAATGATGAATGCATTTTTTTCCCCTTCACAAAATATCGTTTTGTCCTTTCTGGGTGCCATATTTATCGGATGAGAAGCTACCTGTGCTGACATAGGCAGGAATGAGAATGAGCAAAAGTTCACGGAGAAAATATTTCCAAGCAGAGTTCTGGATATAAAAATGCATTCATATATTAAAGGTGTCACATGCCGTGCATTAATAAAACCATAACTTACTGGCTACCACTCCAAGGTCATTGAGCCATTGCGATACAAGGACTGCTGTGTTTTTACGGAGTCTCGCGTGTGCTATTTGCGGCTGAGTTATGCCCATAACATCGATAGCAGACACGACCACGAGAGACGGGCATATTTCTTTGCTAGGTGGGTCTGGTGGTGCCCTTGAGGGGGCTCTCTCTCTACTCTGCCGTGCTCGTGACAGATTTATCAAGATGATTTGGAATGGCCATCCAGTGCAAGGGGGATTACTTAACGAGAAATTGAGAGAAACGACAGAGCCCATAAACCGTAGTCTGGCATAATAGTCTCGCAACCTCTTGGGAGCCACTGCTTATTTTTAAAGTAACAAAAGACCAGGTTGAGTGGTATTTACACAACACTGTGTGTGTGTGGGGGGGAAGTTAAACGAAAATAGAGAAACTGACAGGGGAATTCGAAGGACAAAGGAAAGTGTGCTACTGGTTTGAAGCTTTTCTTCTTTGAATCGCACACAGGGTGAGCCGGGAGTTGTTTCGCACACCCGCAACACGCCAGATATTTCACTTGTCAGTGCCACATGCGGTGGCATCGCTTTGATGGATCCAATTTCCTTTTGTGGCCAATAACAGTGAAGTGCGTGATCACCGTTTGCAATGAATGGGTCATGAAATTCAGTAAATCCCTCTTTTGCCATATCAATACATTAGCACATCAGTACTACAGTTTTGTTGCCATAGGCAATAATTTATGCCCTGGCCCATAAACTAAAATTCAAAACTCTGAAGGCAAGGGTTGGTAGATCATACTGATCTGCGAAGCTCCAAAACCCACTGAGCTGCAAGATGATCATGACGTGAAACGATACGGCCCTGAAATAACTTGCTTACTCCACTGCTGAACTAGATAAATTAATTATTTACTGTCCCAGGTAAATCCCAAGCGACTCGCTCTTTTTTTCAGAGGTGACCTGGCCACACACGAAAGCTCATCGAAATGGCTTATATCATGTGGGATTTTCTAATCGCCAAATACTCTAAACGCATGTTTCTAAATATGGAGGGCAAAGCTGGGGTGCCCGGACAAAACAAAACACGCCACTATGGGGAGAGCCAACACATGGGCTCCAAATGTACAGGCGTCAGGGTCAAGATCGAACTTACGACTTCCTGCATATCCAGTAAGGGAAATAATATCTCCACCATCTCGTCACTGCTGGTGGAAGGACCTCAACTGGAAAGTACTCGAGGGTATTTAGTCTACTGTGATTACCCACAGTAGACTAAATTGCGCTGTGGTGTACCCATTTATATTTTTGGGTGGGATTTTAAAATCTCGCATTGTTCTAACTGCCGCGCAGTTCGAATAGGACCGGCAGCCTCTGCAATTGCAAGTCCAGTGTTCGATCTGTGAGAGCACGGGGCAGCGCTCATAACATGGTGCCAGTGCTTCATAATTAGCCTGAACAGTCTGGAACACTGTTCCAGGAATACATTTTGGCACACCACATCCATGTTCGGCTTAATTAGGACAATGCGAACATCGGGTACAAACATATAGTGTCATTATGGATAAGCGTATTTGTCCGCTAGTGGTAGTGCCTTATGCCCAGCAGCGTTCCGGAACATTCGAGTGAGAAAGCTGGAATGGCGGCTATGCACGTGACCTGTAATCCGGCACTGTGAAGGCAGCAAGAGTTGGTGGATCGCCGCACAAAATGTTGTGAAACTTCATTCCCGTGGGTGTCGAGGGGGATGCCATACGCTGGCTCACCAGGAGAAAGAAGCACAACAAGTGGACTAATCGCCATCTGCTTCCATCTTTACAGAGGATTTGAGTGTTGCTTCAGTTTTTTTTCCACTTGTAGGATAAATAAGTGCATTACTAATGATGAAGTCCTGATGGTAGTACAGAAAATGGGTTCTTGATTGCATCAGCAGATGTTGAAGTGTTAACCCCTGCTAAGTGTGGGTTTGCTCTCGGCGCTTTGTTTTTTTCCACTTGCAGAACACTTCCCAAAAAAAATTATCATTGTGCTGTAAGGCTCCTCTGAAAACAATATATTGAGACTTGGTGGTATTTTACTCGATATAAAATAGAAGGCAAAGGCGCAGCCCTGCAATTCCTTGCTCACGCCACTGCTGGTGGAAGGGCCTCCACTCGAGAGAGCTCTAGAGAAGCCTATCTAGAGGCTATTTTGCCTACTCTTACACGCTGGCCAGACGTTTGAAGATGTTGGAGTAGACACACTTCTTTCACTCGACCGCTGATTGACTCTCTGTGGTGTATCAATTTATACTTCTGGGTGGACAGAAGTGTGGATACTTAGGAAGCTTGCTCATTGTTTAAACCGCAGCTCCGGACCTCCGGTAGATCAAATCGAACCAGCAAGCTATGCATTGCAATTTCATCGTGTTAACCGTTAAACTACAACAACTCCCTTCTTGGATAAATGGTATTGGTATTACATATGAGTGGTGTGGCTGAGTGCATTACCACATAGTAGAACTGAAATATAAGTATGACATTTCTGTACGTAATGTATTTATTTTTCATATACCATTATCTGTCCACCTTTAGGTCGTGGCTCCCCACGTTAGGAGCACAGCCTCGAATGCTGCTTACATGGTTACACTTAACTGCTGCATGAATACAGCACACGTTGGTGTGATGTTTTCATTCCATCGCTGCTCGGGTTGTGTCTGCAAAATGGTAAGGCCTTATGAAATATTAAAATGTAAATTTCTCAACCAGGTCAGGAGCTATCGAAATCACGTTCTAATTTACAAGTTGAGACTTGTGAAATTGATTGGATGGGGTTGACAATGCATGCCTGAAGTCATGCGTATTTTAGTTGAGATTGCTGGATCGCTGACAGATGGAGGTAATGAGTTGCGATACAGTCCGGCAAGCCAACGGGGTTGCTGTAGATGGTAGTACAGCAAAGTAGTTTTCTGACCTGCGAGACGTTCCACGAAAAAAATTATAGAAATGTATTTCCAGGCATTCTAAATCAGGAATTAACTAAATGGCCTTTATATTTAGGGAGGATTTAATGAGTGAACGTACTGTACTGATACATTACCTATATTTTATTGTGGTTTACACAAATGTGACATTGTCAAAATAAATCTGCCTTTGACCACATCAACGAGAATTTGCATGACCTCAACAGATCTGGGAAGCCAACCAGGTTTGAGCCTCGATAGGTGCTTGGATGGGTGACCCACCATACCCACACAGGTTGCGATATTCCGTCGTGGGCAGCAGAGGGCAGTGCTGTAAACTATATTGTAGTGCTGTTTTTCTCACAGGTGTGTGTTCCCCCAACCCAGCGAATATAACATCCGTGACCCGCATTAGCTATGGGAGGCCTTCATCCAGCTATGTGTTGGTTATACGGTACATGCACAAAATAAAAGGCACATTGCGAAGAAGTCTTACACCAAACATATACTTTTTGTGTTCAGCACTGTCCTCCAAACTGCTACCATATAGGGGTAAAAAATAGCAGCTTTATGTGCTGTGAAGAAGGGCCATTGGCCGAAACGTCGCCCATTAAATATTTTAAAGGAGTGTTATTGACCAGTGTGTTGAGTCTTGTCCGTGCACCGTTGCCCACGCAGGCTCAGCAAGCAGCAGCATCACCACCAAATAACGCATTGCCACGTGGGGGCAGGCAAGGTCTGCCCGTGCTGATCTGATGCATTGTGGGTAAAATGATCATCTGTGTGAAAGGGATGAATAGGGAAGGGAGGAGGTTCAGTGGAGAAACAGAGAGGGGCAGAGCAGGCAGGAGCGAGCCAGAGCAGACAAGAAAATCACTACCGACACCACCAACAACAACAATATCGCCGCCACCACCATCAACCACCGCGGAGACGGGCAGCAAATAAATCATCAGTTGGGGGATCTTCTGCTCACTTTCTCTGAGATGTACACATGAAGAGGGAATTCGACAGCTCCACTTAAACTGCGCTCGCATGGAGAGGTATTGTCCCGTGGATCGTGTGCGTGCGTGTCTGCCGTCCCGTGGACTTGTGCGCGTGTTGTGACCCATAAGCCAGCAGCGACGGATGGTTTTTCGGGCTTAGCTATTCGGCACGCAAAGTGGTTCAAACATTCGCGACACTGCGCTGCATTCCATCCGGCCGGTACGTTAAGGATGATGCGATGATGTTACTTACACCCGGCTCGGCTCTAAAACAATTGCGTCGGCTTTAAGGAGCGGCGTGCCGTTGAGTGTGCGCGGGACACCTCTCTCTGTGTGTGTGTGTGCGCGCGCGTTGGTGCTCCCGATGATGCCGCTGGAACTGTGCCCATTGTTGCACTTCGAGACTGCCAGATGGCCAGGCTCGGCGCACAACAACCGAGGCAGCGGAGGAGAATCGCAGCAAAGCGCCCCTTTGCCCTCTCTCTCTCTGGTGGCGTTCATCGTTCCACGTGAACTTTTAGCGGACGTTCGCGCGTCCGCCCGCAATGTTTTTAGACCGCAGCATTCAGCAACAACTTAACGCGAATTGGCGGACGTTCGATGCGGTCGATGAATATTTACAGCGGGTAGGTTATTTTGTTTTTTGTGTTTGTGTCGTTGGGTTTGGCCGTGCGTACGGTGCGAAAGAAGTTTAATAAACATCCGTCACGCTCGTCGTCATTTTCATCAGCCATGCTTCATCCACTGCTGAACCAAGGGGCCATCCTTTTCCTCCCTCCCCACCAAGTAGCCGTCTCTCACAATCCCACGATGTTAATCGTTATCCACCGAGCCACCTGCACAACGACTTTAGCTGATTTCGTTGCTCCATCTCTTCGGATGTAAGTCCTCCTCGATGCTTCCATTGTGTTAGACAACTGGGAACAATGGCACGTTCAATACGGTATACGGGCACACGAGATCGTAGTTTCACATCGCTGTATAGATATACCCTTGATGTGTTCTTCTTTTGCTTAGAGTGCATTCGGTGTACACGGCATTCGTGATCTCCATTGTTTCATGGAGATAATGTTTATCACGTGTGGACTACAATAATACTATGTTGTGTGTGGACTGTGTTATGTATAGACCGTATATGTTCCGGTTGTACCTGTACAAGAAATACCGTAATGCCCTTCATACTGACTTGTGTTTTTTTAATGAACATCATAGTATTGTATCAATTGTTAATTTTCATTCACATGAGCAAGACCCTAAAGAAATTCTGTGTTTGGTAGCAAGCAGGGAAAGCCACTTTATCGAATGTGAATGATTCTCATCTGACGTTATTGAGACGTACAGACCTAGCTGAGTAAATATGTACACACACACGCATACGCACGTTATTTTCGGCTGTTAAAACAATTACCTGTGTCGGAAAGTCATTTGGGCAAAGCAAATTTCCCGTTTACAGCCAATAAAACGGTGGTGGGAAGTTCCACGTTCCCATGACGGGGGACCCGTATGTCCGTGTAACAACCGCTTGGGAGAGTCGTTACACAGGGTATTGGGGACACGGGGTGGCTCGGCTGTTGGCGTACTGAACCCGGCCACACCTGAGTTTGATTCGCGGTCACGGCTAACGTCAGTGGCGAGTGTTGTCCGTTGCACCCCCAAACCAGCACTGAGCAGCGTGGTGAAGTATGGTCAAACAACCCCCCCCCCCACCTCCCGCGACACAACATTGCGTGGGGGAACCTACATCCAGCAGCGCATTGACGAAGGGCTTGTTACACGTGTGGTTTGTGTGTACGAGGTGAACTTGAAAGACATCGGTATTAGTTGAGTCAATGTTCTTTTTGATTTAAACGCGTGGCGTCAGTCCGGCACAAATAAGCCGCTCGAAGCGTCATAGATACACCCGTGAGCGAGTTTGTGTGTGTGTGCGCGTGTGTCTGATTTTTTTCTAGAGAAAAAAAAGGCTGGACATTTAATTGTCAATTATTTGCGACGACACGGTGTGTTTTGTTGGCCAGCTGCCCCTGTTCAAAAATTAATGTTTTCTGCTGGATTCATGAACTGTGGACAACATAACACGCACGGAATCGTGTGTGTAATTTTGCACCGTACATATGTTGTGGCAGTAAAAAAAAAACATACATACTTTGGCTGTACTAGATGTATGCAATTTCCTGAAATGCTTTCCCATTAGTAGGTGGCAGACAAAGATCCCCCGTATGGCCTTAACAGACTGTTGGGGCAAGTGCTGTTAGCGAGCACCTATGAAGGCCGGAACGGCACACGAGAGGGTGGGTGGCAAGCACCACGCCCGGCCGCTTTTGTCTCCCTAGTGGCGAAGTTTACACACCGCACCAGGTACTCATTTGAGGCTGAGTCGACCTAGGGGAGGTCCAGGACCGGTTCAGATAATCGTCACTGTTGGCCGTGAGCGGGAATGAAACTCGGGTGGCCAGGTTGGTAGTGCAGCACGCGGACCGCTACACTACCGCTCCCCACAGACGGCACGCACACACGGTAGTACCTGCTGCGTGTGGTGTGTGAAAAGACGTCTTCTAAAATAAAATTCAGGGGCTTCCGAAAGTGGGAAGTGTGAGAAGCTGGGAACGCAATCCACACACAGCAAGGTCAGCGTTGACCATTCGTTATGGGTAATGGTGCAGCCCTGCAAATTGCTTGCCTCAAGCCCCTGCTACAGGAGGGGCGTCCACTACAGGCAGAGGTCCAGAGAGCCCTCCTGCAGAGGATAGCTTCTGCCTTACTCTTCCACGCTGGTTAGACGTACTTAGGATAGATGGGAGTACTCACACTCTACCCCCACCACATAATGACCTGCCGATAAACTTTGCAGTGGTGTACTCATTTATTCTTCTGGGTGGACATAGGGGCGATCGGAGTTGGGGGAGGGAGAGGGTGGGGGTGAGCATTTAAGAAACATGCTCAATAGTTTTAGCTGCCGTGCCGGGAGATCGAATCTAACCGGTGACCTCTGCTAACCACACCGCCTTGGGTTACTGCCGCCCTAAATTTAGGGCCACGCACGTGAAACATTCGGCATCCGCTCATTTTCGCCCATGCTTTGGTGTCAGACGACAATGACGGAGAGTGAGAAAATGACATCTTTTGTGTTTTTTTGCAGACACTCGTATTTATGGCTGCATGATGACTGAATGGCTTAAGCTGTTTGCAAAGTGGTCTTTGGCTGACCTGCCTCTGCCACCCCCTGTCACTGTTGACATTGCTGTGGCACGTATTTATCACCGGGTGATGCATTGCTTAGATAATGCTGGCTTTCCGCACCTATTTATTTGAGCAATGAGCAACGAGCTGGACTTTGAAGACCACTTTGTTCCGTTCAATAAGGTTCCGTATAATCCAAATGTGGCGCGTGTGTATGTGTGTGTAACAATACGGGGGGGGGGGGGGGCGGGGGCCTGCTGTGGCGTGGGTAATTTGAGCAACCTTGTACGGGCGTCGGTGTCGCATCGCTTTTTCTATTCACGTTCGATTAAAAAGAAAATCGAGAAAAACTGCGAGGTGCGAATTAAGCACCCAAGGGAGGTGCTTGCTTGGAATTACATTGACGGGAAGAGAAACGCGCGGATCGTCGAACAAATGCAAGTCGGAGACATCGCGTTAACTGTTAAAGAAAGTAAAGTGGGCTTGGAGAATGATGCATCTGCTAGAACGGGGGTCTCCAATCAAAATAACAAGACTAGCCCATTTTTTTTCGAATTCGGTACAGAACTCAATATTTCAAGAGCTGCAATGCATGTGAATGTATACACAGACGTGCATTACGTCTCGATGCGGTCCGTGAAGAGCCGCGTGCGGCTGCTAGGCTGCAGGTTGCCGACCAACCTGCGCCAGAAGGAATGATGGCAGATAGACGAGACTGGTGATGGAATGGTGGTCCAAGGAGGGGAACGCTCCTGAGAGGAGGGGAGGATGCCCATCGCAAATGGGGCGACGAGATCTGTTCGTATGAAAGAGGAGAGCGAGATCGGTTTTGGCATCGCAGAGTCCGAAAGGATTGGTGACGGCGTGGGGAAAGGTCTTCATCCGGCAGTGGTTTGAACATACCTGATGATATTGCACCTATCTGGTTAATGCCGCGGGTGTAATGAACCTAAAATTCGCGCCGTCTGCTTCACAGTGGAGATTAAACATTCCCTGTCGTCATTCAAATCGAGTGGGCCTTTGTGTGCAAGCGTCGGGGGTCAAAATGTCCCAAATTCAGAAAACGATCGGCAAATTTCTAAAGGGACCCTTTTTTTCCCAAATACTGTAGCAAGATGCTCACCTTTTGGTTGGCCTTTGGTTTTGAGCACTGATGAGACAACGCTATAAAAGGCCATTCAGTTTCAAGGACAATGCATGCATTATAAAATAATATTTTGTTTGCATATTTTACCGCCAAGCATGTGTCGTGTTTCATGCTGAATTGATGCCTTGCAATAGTTGTCTGTTTGGTGTTTTGGGCATCTTAACACCACCTGTGTTTATGCCAGAAAGGGTAAAGCCTGTTTTATGATCTGCAAATAACTCGATTGGGTTTATACACAGCAGCAATCATCGCCCCCCCCCCGTTTCAAGGCCTGCTGTGCCCACAGGGACAGCTGCCACTCGGGGTGCCCTTTAACATGTTTGAGACGTAATGTGGAGCACTCTTTAGATGCCACGGTGTAAAGGGCGAAACATCTAAAACAAATAATTGCTGTTATTATTATTATTTGTGTTATCTGTAATGGTATAGTCACTTATAAATGTTATTACCACATTTTTTTAATTTACCGTACAGGACTATGCATGTGTAGGTCTTTTACTGCATTTACTTTCTTCATAGAACATCAAAGTTGGCAAGTAGAGCACAAGTGCTATGAACGGTTCCACTAGGGTGCTCAACGCTGCCTACTCTTTAAAGTTTTTTTTTAAATATAGTTCTGAATAAGCAAACTTGCTGTTTCAAAAATCAAAACAGCAGCAGGTCCCCTTGGTGAAATTTTTTGTTAATTTGCCTACGCAATATGGGCATGACAAAAGAGCTCATTTTTATACATGTGAGTCACTTCGAATTATGGTGAGCACGGAGACGCTGCAGCATGCGAATGGAATTTGATAAATAAACCGTCAGGACATGGTACAGTGAGTGACTGGGCGCTATGCTGGTGTTGTGGCTATCGCGGATGTGGTTAAGTGGTGTGGTGGGTTAAGTGGTGGGTGGCGTGGGATGCCTTTGTGTGTGTGATTAATCGGGCAGCCCTTCTGCCCTTGACGAGTTCGTCTTAAGTATATGCACATTGCAGGGCTTAATTTCTCATGGAAATATATTCCACACCTCGGCTGCGGACAGTTGAGCGTACACATGCAGCCCTTTTGTTCATCAACTGCTGGGTCGTCGGAGGTTTTTTCACCGTGTCACTGCGAGTTGATGAAGCCATTCAATGCATCTTGAATCCATAGGTTTCGTTAACCGTCTTGCTATCGACTGAATAACGATAAGAATAGGGTGTATACCCTTCCGGGCAGTAAAACGGGCGCTATAGATTTTCGAACACACAATAGATAAACCTTTTGCAAGGCATCAAGTCTGCATGAACCACGCGCACTCGTGGCAAAACATGCAAAC